CCCCCCCCCATGCGTTGGAGTTACTCCCCTTTTGCACAACCCCCTTGCCCCATTTGCACACCCCCATTTGCACCACCCCCATTTGCACCATCCCCATTTGCACCACCCCCTTGCCCCATTTGCATCCCATGACTCACGACAGCATATTACATAGACGGAAAGTATGAATTACACCCCTTGACTGACACCTTCTTTCTCATTTAGTACTCTCTTCGTTCCATGTTCGCCAAACTTGTTACAAAGATTCAATTCGCTTAATTCATATGATTCTGAAGATTTTGATGACTCTGGGCTTTTCACTTCCCCTGTCACGAAGGGTCTTCGATTGTCCGCCACACCATCACGTCGACAGAGTTCATCACGAGAACAGATGGCGCAGAGATCCGCTTCCTTGGCTTCAAGACATGATGACATGTATAATGCCAAATACGTCGACCAATTTGAGCCTTCGATTTCTCCTTCCAAATTAGTTCGTCAATTGTCCACCGAAAATAAACAACGACGAGGTCTGTCACGATCACAGATGGCGCCGAGAACTACAGGTACTTGCGGATCTTTGGGACATGAGCCCCTGTTACCGAGGGGTTACCGTCACATGGTGTCGAATGGACGTAGTTTGTCGGTAATCCGCCCGTAGCGATGAGCGTGAATGCTGAAAACCTGCATTCACACCGTAGGCAGAGCATTGCTTCATGCTGTGTCACGCCCTCAAATCTGTGTCAATTGTTGATTCGCTATATTGATGATCCTTTACGCAGTCATGCTGACTGACGGTTTCATATACCGGCACTCAATGTTGCAGTCGGTTGGGAGTGAGCACCTCGCTTCACGCGAACACTATTATATAAAGCGACTGAAATCGATCACTTCCCCCAACGACTCAAAGCTTTCGCCCACTGATCTCACTTTCCTCTGTCTCTCATACACACATACATATATTTCCATCACTAATACCACACGACAAACAATGTCATCATCCAAATCCACCACCACCACTTCCCCGACCGACAACAAATCCAAATCCGCCACAACTACATCTTCTTCTGCTTCTGCTTCTTCTTCCTCCAAAAAAGCCACCAAAAAGGAGGGCTGCAATGTTTGTCAAGATTGTACTAAATTTGCCTTGGATAAAGATGTCAGTGGAGCTATGTATGGAGGACGGAATTGCGAGTGTGGACATGCTGAGGGGAGTATGTTGATTTTTACTTTCATTCTTTCTTTGATCTTTCTTTTCTTTTTGACGTACTTGTATTTTGGGGGGAGAAAAGGGGAGGGGAAGGGAGGGGAGGGGAATGGAGGGGAGGGGAAGGGAAGGGGAGATAGGAGAAAAAAAAACATAATATGAATTTTGTGCTGATTTTATTGCTAGGTCATAATTGATTGAGGATAAATGAATGATGAGGGGGTTAAGGGATGAGTGATGGGTGATGGGTGATAAGAATAGGAGGGAATGGAGGGGAAGGGAAGGTGAGGAGAAGAATGGACGAGTTGTATATATAGGTACATATCTGTATATACCTAAGTACCATTCTCATATCTTCACTGTCTATCTAGACCTTCATCTTCTCAAACATGGTCACAGTCTCTTGCAATGCCCGCAATCTGGCCTCAACGTCTCGCTTTCGGACCTCAACCACTTGCAGGGCGTCAGTGACATCCTTGTTCTGCACTTTCATCATGTCTGCCCTGATCGATTCGATGTCATGTTGCTCCTTCTCCGCTGCATCCAATCTCGCCTGGTATTTTTCTGCCTCCTTCCCGAAATCGTGAATGCGGTCCTGGACGAGCAGATAGACATTCGCGTCGGCAGAAACAGGGAATACCGCACAGCGGCAGTTGGTGGTAATGCCCTCTCCTACCTGTAGTATGGTGATTTCCACTGGTGTCTTGCCACTGAGAGACTCGATGGCGGAAATCTGGGCAGTTACGGTATCATGAGACATTTGAGTCAGAGGTGCGATATAAGCGACACCTTTGTCCTTGATAGCATATTCGACCATGAGAGATCGAATTCCTTTGGAACAGCCCAGTACAAGCTCATAGGCTGTCTCGGATCGCGCGTCATCCAACGACGGGTCATATTCCGGATAGTGCGCGACGGTGATTGAGATGGTATCATCGCCTGGCCTTCGTGGTAGCCTCTGCCAAAGTTCTTCGGTGAGGAAAGGCATAAAGGGAGCGAGGAGCCGCAAGCCAGTCTCCAGTGTCGTATAGAGTGTATCCATGGCCGACCGAGCCTCTTCGGTCGTGCCCTCGGAGATAATCGACTTGGAATTCTCGATATAGATGGCGAACAGCTCATCGTACAGGTATCGATAGCTGATCTGAGTCGACCTTGCAAATTCGCGCTCCTCAAGTGCGCGATTGATTTGTTTCGCGGCACTGTTCATCTTCGTCAAAATCCACTTCTCGGGCAGACTCTCCTTACCTGCAAGAGCACTCGTTTCGCGAGGAACAAAGTCTTCGCCGAGCTTCCCGAGTACGTATTTCGTAGCCTGGTAGATCTTGTTGCAGAATCTTCGATAGCTGTGCATCGTCTTGACATCGAAATTGATGTCGCTGCCAGATGCTTGAGTGTAGTTGACAAGGGAGAAGCGCAAGGCATCGGCGCCAACCTCTGGGATTCCTTGTGGAAAGGCCTGCAACGTGTTAGCATATGGATTCGACGATACGGCGAAGGACTGAGGCTTCGCCTCGAGCTAAAGCGTCTCATCCGAGCAGCACGAGTGTACAGTCCAGCTATGCTTTACGTGAGATATCTCAAGTCGATGCCCCCAGCGTCAACAACTTACCTTCTTCTGGTACCTTTCAGCGTTCTTGACTTCGCTCTGGGCAAGATTCCCCTGCAACAGCTTCTGATGCAGTTCATCAAGAGAAATCCCATCCAGGATGTCGATAGGATCGATCACATTCCCCAAAGATTTGGACATTTTCCTCCCATCGCTGTCTCGTATCAAACCATGGCAAAAAACCTCTTTGAAGGGCACCTGGCCGGTGAGCTTAAGGGAGAACATGATCATGCGGCTGACCTAGAAGAGGGATAAATGGTAGGTATATATGGTCAGTAAATGTTGCAGAGATGCTACCCCGACCGATAACTCAGCGGTTGTGAACTCACCCAGAAAGGTACGATATCCCACCCCGTCTCCAGGGTCGTGGTTGGAAAGTAGTTCTCCAGATCTGGCGTTTTGTCTGGCCATCCAAGGGTACTAAACGGCCAGAGGCCAGAGCTAAACCAGGTGTCCAGCACGTCTTCGTCTCGTTTCAGTGTCACATTTTTGCCCGGGAATTTCTTCTCTGCCTTGCTCCGAGCCTCTTGTTCTGTCGCGCCGCAAACCCAGTAGTCATCGTTCGCATTATTGTCAGCTTCTTCACCCTCGAAACTGATGTAGTACGCCGGTATCTGATGGCCCCACCATAGCTGTCTCGATAAACACCAGTCTTGAAGATCTCGCATCCAGGTCAAGTACTGGCGTTTCTGCACGTCCGGCCGGATGACGAGTTCGCCGCTTTCAACAACTTTGATGGCCGGATCTTTGAGAGGTTGCATTTTCATCCACCACTGAGGTTTCAGTAAAGGCTCAATGACATCTCCTGATCGGCTGCATATCGGAACGACCATCTTGTTCGGCTCTTGCTTGGTCAAGAGGCCCAAACTTTTAAGCTCTTCAATGACACCATACCTCGCATTGAATCTCTTCTCTCCGGCATAGTGACCAGCGTTGCTGTTGAGAGTACCGTCCTCATTCAAGATGTTGATGAAGGGCAGGTTATGTTTCTTGCCCAGGTTGAAATCATTATGATCGTGGGCAGGGGTGAGCTTCACTGCACCAGTTCCAAACTCTCTGTCGACATATTCATCGGCGATGATTTTCAGTTTTCTATCGGGTATGATGGGGTGCAGCGCCGTCTTGCCCACAAAATCCTTGTATCTGTCGTCCTGAGGGTGCACCGCAATGGCAGTATCGCCAAGCATCGTCTCGGGTCTTGTTGTTGCTACTTCGATGGTCTGGCCGTTGGTCCCTTCGATGGGGTATTTGAAATACGTGAGAGTTCCGAATTCGATCTTGCGGTCATATCCAGGCACATCAAGCTTCGTCGATCCCTCAAGCTCTTTTTGATCCACTTCCAGGGTAGATAGAGCAGTAGAGAGGCGACAGGACCAATGCACCAGCCTGTTGGCTCGATATATCAGGCCTTCCGAGTGGAGTTGCACAAACGTTTCAGTGACGGCTTTGGACAATTGCGGGCTCATGGTAAAGGCTTCTCGCGACCAATCCACGGAAACGCCCAGTCTACGTGTCGTTTTGTTGATCTCTCGGTGGTAGTCCTCCTTCCAGTCCTGGCACAACTGCACAAATTCCTCTCGACTGAAGTCCTGCCTTTTGGATTTGCCGTCGATGGGGTGCTTTGCGAGCTGCTTTTCGACGACGGCCTGTGTGGCAATGCCTGCATGGTCGGTGCCGGGAATGTAGAGGGTCGAGTACTGCAGCATACGATGCCACCTGATGAGGGTGTCTTCTAACGAGAGCGCCAGAGCGTGCCCAATGTGCAGTTTGCCCGTGACCTAAGAATGAAATTAGCAGGTATGAAGAGTCGTCGATCGATACATGAGTCATACATTTGGCGGTGGTATAGCAATCACGTATTTGCCTTTCGGTTTCAGACGGCCGTTCTCTTGTGTTTGTGGCTTGAACAGTCCTTGGTCCTCCCAGAAGCTGTACCAGGCAGATTCCACGACCTTCGGTATGTAGGCCTTGTGGAATTCGTCGTCAAGTGATTTCAGGATTTTCTTTCGTCCAGTTGGGGTCTCTTCGATCCAATCTTGTGATTCGACAGCAGGAGCATCCTGCCTCTTGAGCTTCTTATCCTTGGCAGCACCGTCGAGTCGTTGCTGCGCCTGCTGCGCCTGCTGTTCTTGCTTTTCCTTCTTGATGGCGAACTTCGCGAGCTTGAGTCGTTGCTTCTCGCTGATAGTCTTCTCTGAGGTCTGTGTCGAGGCCATCTTCGATTGCGCTAAGCTAGGGGAAAGAAATCGACCGCACGGCACGTCACCAAGACAAGCGAGGTTCGCAAGGTCGAGGTCGCGGCTTGTTCGGCGAGGGAGCGATGATGGCGGTGCGAACAATGTGTGTATGCGGAGCTGAATGTGCGTGTATGTCGTCGTGCTGAAGCGATTCGGGAGAAGGTAGGCGGAGCGGAGTGACTGCAAGGACGCTTCGGCTCGCGTGATTCGAAGGATGTAAGAGCAGAAAGGAGAGGAAGGGGACGATAAAGCGGGAAGAGAAGGAATGATGGGATGTGCAGCGGGAGCGCTGACAACAGAGAGGAGGCGGATGTGCAAAAAGAGGTCGAGAATATTGTGAGTACATGTAGGTACCTACGGGGAGGTAGGTGGAGAAGTGTTGCAAATAGGTACAGGTAGTTTCTGTGTTGACTGCTTAGGTACCTAAGGTAAGCGGTCTCTATACACGTTTATGTCAAAGATACATTAGGTAAGTTACCGTATCTTCTTATCTTCTGATGCTTTCCAGATTATTACCTGTTTCAACGGGCAGGTATACCGTATACTACGTACCTTAGTCAGTTTATAGTTCAATAGTGCTAAACTATATGCCCTTCCTATTTCGAATTATAGTTCTGTATCCTTATCTGCCTACCTCCTAGTGCTGTGCCTCTGTTGTGTTCCAATCCTTTCTCATAAGTGATATACAGAAAGCCTTACTCTTCAGTTCTATGTTATAGATATCCAGACTCCCCCTCCTCTACTGAGACCCAGTGACCATCTCCCCTCCTTCGTTGATTTCTCAGTCACCTTACTGAACCTCTACTGTGCTCAGCATACCGGCAGCGACAGTGCCGCTAGGAGGTAATTCAAAACTCATACCTACCTGGTACCTAATGTACCTACCTTCATGAGGTATGTATAAAAACCCGAGTGGACGATTCACTTGACGCGCGCATAGACATACAGGGAAGTTTCATAAGCTAACAATCTCATGAGTCATGCAGGGCAGTCTCCTACGGCCTCGCGTACGCTACGCGCCTCCTTGCACTGTGTGCTTCGTCGCTAATTTCCCGGTTAAAAAAAAACCTGCGCCAGTCTCTGCATAGAGTAAAAAAACGTGGGTATAGGGCAACAGTATACCCACATGGACCCCAAACTAGACTCCAAACGAATGGATTTGCCAATGTCATTGTTCAGAAATCCTTCAGAAATCCTTCTTGGCAGTGCTTTCTCGGATCAAGCTCCGGCATCAATCGACTTTGCGAATTGAACTGCTTGGCGATATGCACGTGCGGATAGCGTGCGGCCTTGTTCGTGATGGCGAAGCCAAGTGCCAACCCGAACGGATGCTTGGAGTAAGCAATGGAGGTAGGCTACCTTCTGAGCCGGGGAGTCTTTCACGACGGTAGTGACAGAGTCATGCAAAAAGCTAACGTCGTAGGCCATGAGTAAGAATATGGGATGCTTGACCTCATATCCTGATTGAATCGGATCGCACGACACCTCGAGCAAGCCGGCAGTACGAGCTGACAACGTCTCTGCAATTTCTTGAACCATAGGCTGTGCATCGTCCATCGAGATTGACATCAGTTGGTCTCGTTCCGCAGCATGGCTGTTCTCGAGACACGCCATGGAAAATGTCAGAAGGTCTACCGGCTCGCTCGATGCTGCACGCAATGACAGGTATCTCATAGCGCTGTCTCGGAATAATGCATCAGCACGCCTGTCTAGTATGACTGGAAGAAGATCGCGTATCTCTGGAGGCGACGCGTCTAGTCTTCTCAGCAGTACGTCAATACTGTCACCTCTTGCAAGCCCTTCGTTCATCTCGCACGTTACAAGCACAACCCATAGAAAGATGCCATTGGACCTCGCGACAATTTCCGAGGCAAGCTTCTCCACATTCGATTCGGCAATTGCCTGCTTTGTCCGTGCTAACTGCTGTCTCATCCTTTCGCCGGCGTAAAGCAACAGGTCTGCAGAGGTAAAATTTTCCAGGGTCAACGTCGCACTAAGTCGAAAAAAGCGTCTGAGGGATGGCCACGGGGTACTGGAAGCACACACCTTGACGTGAGGGCGCTCGACCAACTTCTCAAGCAAACTCAGCAGCACGGTGCGATCTCCTTCGCATTCTCCGAGTGCATCGATGAAGAAGCAGTAGCTGGAGGATTGCGATTTGCCATGGTCAAGCAGAGCCAACAAGACCTCGCAGAGCTTTGATTCGGATAACACAGTCTCGCGAAATGGAGGACAGCCCGTCGATGAGCATCGAGACTCAAACAAAACTCTCTCCACGATCCTCGCCATACTGCGATCATTCTCCAGAATTTGGTACACGGAAGCCCGGAGTAAGCCAAGGATACTTTTCTGCAGAGGCTTGCCAGAATTCCAGAAAAAGTAAGATACAAGCACAACGCCTGCGTTGCCAGCCCATTTAGAAAGCGCGGCCTCCGTTTCTGGAGACGTCAAGAGGAAATTCATCAAGGTCGATTTGCCGGAACCTGCCTTGCCGGTCACCCAGTAGAAGCGGTCACCCCTGAGGAGCCAGTGACTCACATCTGCGCAATTGTCGGCCTTAGTATTGGGCTGGAACACCCACGGGAAGGTTTTGACATTGGCAGCAGCGACGGTGTCTTTTCGCGAGGTCATGCCAGGAAAATCGAGTAGTCTAAGCAGTTGAGCCGCACATTCTACTTCGCTGTCCACGTCCGAAATGTTGAATTCCCCGGAGTCACAAAACGGATCAGGCTCCCTAGTTCCAGTCAGAGGCATAGCAACACAAGGGGAGGAAGTCACAAATGCTGGATAAGACAGTCGCAATGCAGTCAGGGCTCAAGAAGGTTCTTCTGAGTTATGATGGGAACAGTAGAATAAGTACGGGAGCCGCTGGGGAAACGGTTAATACCTGTTTTTGGCGCAGCTGTGGCGAACGGGAGCGGAGTTGACACCGGCCTTCTCGACATTCTCGATGCGGTATCTGAGCCGATTGTGGCACTCGAGAGGCACGGTGATCCGATAAGAACTCTGCATGCAGGCTCGTTCAAAGGCCTGATTCAGCCGCAGCACCTACTACGCTCTACGGAACTCTTCCGGGCACCTTGCTCACTCTCCACCTGCCATTCCGATGGATGGCTACACTTGTGCTGGAACAGACCCCTCTACTCTTGTATATTCGCGATGAGCATTACGAAGTTACTGCTAGCCAGGCGCCAGAGGCTGAGAATGCTCTTGAGACTGTCCAGCAAGACCATTCTTCATTCACTTCATCGCGATATGGACGGCAGCTATGCTTCCTCATATTCCTCCGGGAATTCTCCCAGTATCTGGTCTACGCTCGTTTGATGGCGGTCTTCGAGGACATTATCTGCACTCGTCACTACTCGAAAACAACTCACTGCCTTCTCAAAGACTGCAAAATTGTTTCCGTGCCGAATGAGCTTGCCTTTCTGGAGGTTGCTGATTTCCTTCCGGTGTGCTATTATCGCTCTTTTCCCGTGGACTACAGTGGCGTCGCTGTACGCGGCCGGCGCCATATCACAAAGCTTTGGGGCACTCATTTCCGGCAATCTTGACTGCAACATTCACATGGAGACTTGGCTCATGGTAATGCCTGGTCTGGAGCGCCAGTTCTGCTTGCAAGTAGTCTACACACAGTGGCCTTGGCGATTTTGTTCGTATCTATGTGTTTACCGCAAACGAACTCTAGGGGATTCCAAGCCGGTCGACCTGGGCTGAACCGAGTTGGTATCCGCGATCCCGAGCAACACCCAAGGCCTGCTCCAGATCAAAAGATGCCATGAACAGCAGATCCGCAAGCGCGCTCGGCTTGGATGCCACCACAATTGCAGTCAGATCCTCTACATTGTTCGTCACATGTGGGAGTCTTGAGGCGAAGTAATCCGTATGGGCTTCGATCACCAGCCGTGTGGCATCGTGCTCACGGACCTCAGTCTGAGAAATTCGAGCAACTGCAGAATGAATGCGGTAGCCATACCCAGGACCCTTGACGAAACCAATCTCCAATTGCTCCCTCCTTGCCCACCTGCGCGCGAGCAAAGAGGCCCCAAACGCCCAGTCCTGCCACTTCGGCACCGTCTCCATGTAATGCAGACCCTGAGAGATCTCGGTACGGCGATACACGATAGCGATGTGTATATGGTGCTTTCGGGCAACCATTTCCTCACGGAGAGGGTACGAGGAGATCGTCAAGCCACTGAAGTCCCCAAACATCTCCGACATGGTGTGTACGAATGCGACCTCGGGCTTCTCGGAGAGGATTCGTGTCGCTTCCGATAGAAAGCTTCCATGCTCCAAGATTGGCAGCAAAACGTCGTCTCCGTCCAGACAAACAATGTAGTCTCCCCCAGCTGCCTTCAGGCCTGTGTTGCGAGCGAATTGGACGCCGAGGTTCTTGCCATGGCGGATCACTTTGAGATCCGGCTCAGAGGCCAATTCTTCTATCACGCGGACGCTCATCTCGTCTGTCGAACCATCGTCCACCACAATCACTTCTCTATCGACACCTGCTGTATGCTGTCGTATCGAGGATACACAGTCGCGGAGGTAATAACCCGCGTTAAAGCTGGGGACTATAATAGACACCCGGCGCATTGTTGAGGGAGAATCTGACACTGTCAGGCCTTCTAGTGGACAAGAAGGACAAAAGTCGGCAGATAAGAAGAAGAAGAAGAAGAAGAAGATACAGCATGATGAGGACGGCTAATCACCTCGATATATCCACTGCAGAGGGCCCGCATAGCGTCAACACGCTAGCTTCTAATCCGGCAATCCGGGATGTCTTTTGAACTACCTAGCTGAGGTGGGCTCAAACAATTCTTCGGTTGGGCCTGATGCAATGCCTAGGCATGTGTGCCGTTCGTTTCTCACACCCTGTCTTCTCTCCTCAAAATCAGGCGGATTTTGTGCGACTCTAGGGCGCCTCCTGGCCGATCCAGGGCCCACAGAAATCACTTGTCACACCGAGTACGGTCACCTGGTCGGGTGCTCAGAGGAAAACGCCACGTCGTCGGCCATATATGCGTACCACGGGTCGTCGTACTGTGAAACTTTTGGGCACTCGGGAGCTGGGTAGTCGAAGTCTACCTCAATGTCGCCACGCCAGTCAGCCGCAGCCAGCTTGAGAAGTCCATCAAGTATAGCGCATGAGGGGACATGTGACTGCAGGTCGCTGTAGGTGGGTTTATCTTGGAGCCACCTCTCAAATATTTCAGTTTCTGCCGTGTAAGAATACGATTTACCGTAGGGACGCTCGAAGGTCTCCTGACGAATGAATCCTTGGGTCCGAGCAATCCGAGCGTTCGCTCTCGTGACAACTGTTGCAGAATTCACGCCACGAACATCGGTATCGCCCAAACGAGCTTGTATAGGATGTTTCGTCACGTTTGTGGCAATTGAAAACGCTGTGCCCAGCCTCACGTCAATGTCGGTACAATGCAACCGGCCATTGATGTTGTAGGGAACCTCTGGAAACGGACCCCACGAGCGCATACCTGGTGTTGTTTGCTCGAGCGAGATGGTTCCCAGCGTAAGCACACGACCGGAGGACCGAAACCTCAAGGCGTAGGATGCAACAATGTCGGTTTCGCCGTACGGAAGGCCATCTTGCAACTCGGAGAACTCTGGTCGGTAACCTGAAGTGTTTGGTTCGAGGTTTCCGATCCGCATGCGCTGATCGTGCGGTCCGGCAGAGAATCCTTGCAGCGTGATGAAAAACTCTTCTTCTGGGAAAAGCTGTCTGTTCAACAAGAGAAGCCGGGCCAGAATGTCGATGTAGTGATAGGCGCCGTGCATGAGCATACCGTAGCCGTATTTGTAGGGATGGTCTTCCCGCTGACTGAACTCGGACGGGAGATTCCACACCCCTGAGGCAGTCTTGATGTGAACAGACGTGATTGGTGTCTGTAAACGCTGCATCATCATCGCCACTGGCTGTCGAAGCTTCTTCTCGTAGATCTCGTGGAATCGACCCAGACACAACATGGCAGAATGGACGCCGGCCTCCACTGATGCTTTCGCAATGGCGTGGACGCCTGGCATCAAAGCTCGATGGTCGAGGACACCATCTTTAATGGGTAATATCAGGGGCTTGGAAACCAAGATGTCAAAGTGTTGTGCTAATGCATGCCTGATATATGCATCATGCGACTGCGGCTCCGTGGTGAGAACAATCTTCTTTCTCGTTCCGTCGTTTGTGAGCAGGCCGTGCTGGACCAGCCATCCGATGCCGGAATCGGTGCCATCTCGCAAGACGTTTTCAGGAATGTACGTGCACGATGCAGGTTGAACAGGCAACTTAGCAAGCCTGGCCTCAACTTGTTGCTGCTGGCACTCGCGGTCGATGATGTGGTATCGATTTAGATTACCGTGCACGATTGCGTTGTGTATGCACCTGGAGTACTTGTAGCCCGCCACTGGGCCAAAGCCAATGATTACAAGCTCCATGATAGCTGCTGTTACCCGATATTGCTGGAGGCGAGTTCTGTAGGAACGCAACTGGGCTTATTATGGCTACTACAAAGGGCGTCTGAAAATGAATGTGAGTTAGTACGGCTCCGGCTAGGAGGCTTGCGACAGCGATTTCTTACATTTGAAAGCAGCTTTACAGGTGCTTGTGTCCATCCAATCTTCCGAGAGGGACTTTGCAACGTCTGATATATACCGCTAGTGGGCTTCTCACATAACACAATCGGCAAAAACGTTGAAGTACCCTACATGGTGACTTATAATACTAGTCTCACCGGAGGCGATGAGGACCGAGACGTGGTTTCGGCGTCATCGGCGAAGCGGATTCCTCCAGACTGCCTTCGATAGCCACATTCTCACAATGCAAGACTGCATGCCCGCTCTTCTTGTTCAGCGTTCAGCGTTCAGCGTTCGACGATTATGATAGATCATAATACGTACGAGGTTGCGAGGCCTAGCCACCCTTTACTGGGATGGGTGACAGTAGGGACAATAGCGTCATTCGTCTATAGCATCTTTTGATAGGCAGCAACAATGTGACCAAGCGGCACAGCCGATCGTTAGACTACCCGCACCTTGATATTACCTCAGAGGGACTAGTCTTGATCTTTTAGGTGCAGACTCTCAAGCAAGTAGAGTACAATCTCTCGGGAAACTCGCTCGAGTGGAGTCATTGCATCCTGCAACCGGCAAAATAGAAGAGTCTCTTGATTTTAAGCCTGGCGAGTGGCGACGATCAAAACTGCGTCTTCTGATACGCTGTATATAGATGTAGATAGACTATCGATCGGCTGTGCCACTGTAGAAGGCGACTGTAGCGGAATCCTGCTGTTCCACGAATGTCGCCACATGCTGACAGCAGGACTCAAGATCCACTTCTCGCTGAAGATGCCGAATACGACATCTGTAAGAGATCAAATGTCTGATGTTGGTAGCGTAAGCCGCGTAGAAAGCTAAAGGAGAATAATAGTGGCTTCTTCGATGTCGAGAGAGGGAGTAGGACTGTTTACATACCGTATACTTGGAAGACTGCAGCATATTCAGCCTGGTCTTATCAGAGTCATTCATGACAAGAAAAGAAATACTCACGAACCGGACATGTTGAGTGGCTCCACTCTCACCCATAAATGCAATCACACCTTGACAGCATGACTTCAGATCCACTTACGGAAGCCCGAGATGAGACATCGCTTGGGGAAATGCCGTGTTGTTCATCGAGTCCTCTCCCAGGTGCTCTCTGGGTATCTGCATCGGATACTGGATCCACGAACTCATACATTCGCTTAAGACACACAATCGCTTGCCTGTCTCTATTACAACCTCTATCGAAAGATCCGTTCTCATTTCCCCACACCTAACCTACTTCATCATCAACAGAGAGCGAAAAGGAAAAAAAAAGGTCATGACATCCGATACTGCGCGTATCAAAGCCACTCTTGCACAAGAACGACAATTTCATCCCGTCGTGGCTGTCGTTGGAGTCGGATACGTTGGTTCACACCTGGTTGAGGCATTCGCCAGAGTCTACGAGGTGATTGCTTTTGATGTTTCAAAGCAGAGAATCGAAAAGATCGCACAGCAATTCTCAGGATCAGCGGCGGTTCGAACAACTTCACATGCCCCTGATTTGGCTGCCGCGAACGCTATTCTCATATCCGTCCCAACCCCTCTCAACCACGACAAAACCATCGATACCACGTTCCTAGAGATAGCAATACGAACCATCGCCCAGCATGTTCGCCCAGGAGTTACTGTGGTCGTAGAAAGCACAGTAGCGATAGGCATGACAAGAGAGCTCCTCAGCTTCCTGGTCGCCACAAAGCACGCTAAAGTGGGCATGTCTCCAGAGGTATACCATATCGAACGCTTACGAAAGCAGAGCTGACATTGAGTGGCCAGAGAGTGGATCCAGGGCGCAAATTTCCCGCGTTCCAGAGTATCCCAAAGATCATCTCCGGCATAGACTCTCCATCATTGGCTGCTGTACATCAGCTCTATGGGCGTGTGTTTGACCATCTGATTCCGGTGTCTTCGTTGGAGGCGGCAGAAATGACGAAACTCTACGAGAATTGTCAGCGCATGGTATGTGCGGCGTATGCCAATGAGATGGCCGACGCTTGCGCCTCCCTGGGCATCGATGAATGGGAGGTTAGCAGAGCGGCCGCATCGAAACCATTCGGTTACCAACCATTTTGGCCTGGACCGGGAGTCGGTGGCCCCTGCATACCTGTGAATCCTTATTATCTCCTGAAGACATGCAACATGCCCATCCTCCAGCACGCAACCGAAACCTCGTGGAGACGGCCTTCTGAGATTGTTGATCGGCTGATGCGAGTGCTTGAGAACAAGCGAGGCACGACTGGGGCTCGAAGGCCTTTGTCAAACTTGAAAATGCGTGTGCTCGTTGTAGGCGTAGGCTTCAAGAGGGGCCAGAGCATGCTTCATAACTCTCCAGGTGTTGCTGCCATCCAATTTCTGCTGGGAAAATACGATTTGGATGTCGAGTTCGCAGATCCTCTTGTCGATCAAACGGCTCTGGCCTACGTGCCGAAGCTGAACACGTCCGTGGATTGGAATAAGAATAGTCTTGAAGAATTCGCTGGGATACTCGTTACCGTGGATCAGGTAGGCCTCGATATGCATCTTCTTGATCTGCTTGAAGGTGTAATTGTGCACAACTACTCACCGAGATCATACACGTTGGCAAGCTTGTGAATCGGGATTTCGATTGGGCAGACCCGGCGATAGCGATCAATCGAGCTCGCTCAACAGGTGGTGGATTGGATTTGGTCGATGGAAGCGATTGCAGCTACCACAGCTTATTGGCAATCAGTCGAATGGGTTGGCATGAGATCATGGTCAGTAGAGTGTTGGTTAAGGCGACAGAAAATCTCAGTTGATGATTATTGGTACCTGAGGCACGTACCTATCACATCAATGAATTTCTCGGCATACTGTACTCACGTCCGTCCCATATACATGTACCTGACCTACCATTCTCCCATTGTGGTCGGCGATGAGGTTTACTTGTATGTAGTGCTGGCCACGAACATGTCGCTGCTCAGATATTGGCATCGCCTGAAGACTTCGAACACCCGGACTTAGTTTCTGTTCACCGCGAGTACACTCTTTCCCCTATCCAATCCCACTCTCTTCCTCGTCCGCATCTTCATCGCTCCCGCACCAAGCTTCTGCGGCGCCAACAATTCATCCTGACAGACGTAAGCCTCCGGAGCGAAGACGAGGGACTCGCCTGTTCGTAAATTCATAATACTCTCAAACATCTTCTCTAGTTCTGTACTGGTACCAGTGAGACTCGACGCCCCGCCCAAGTGGTTGCGGATGGTCGTGAACCACGCGGGCGATTTGAAGTGGTGTACAATGCTCACCGAGCATAGATCGAGCAGCTTACTTGATAGCGTGGGTTCTTGGGTGGCGATGAGAATTCTTGTGGCATTGTGCCTCTGCTCGCGAATCGTAGTCAGGAGGCGGTTGGTAAAGTTCCCAGCTGCAGGAGAATCATTCAGGTATTTATGCGCTTCATCCAGCGCGATGACCAGTCCGGCATCGGGTCGATTTTCTTTCACTAATCCCAGGCAGATCTCGAAAAGGAGACACACTGTAGCTGAGTCGATGAATGGATCGCTGAGGTCCACGATGGTGAGCGTACCAGGCTTGCTCTCGAACACATTATCCATTCCCTTCTTCTTCTTCTTTTGAGGCTGAAGAAAGCTGCGCAATAGATCCAGTCGCATGTTCATCATGCTGCGTTGACCGGGGATGAAGCTTTCTTTGTCCAGCAGTTGCTCGAACGCCGCCATTGTGAACTGGGTTCCTTGGATAGCCATCTGCCTCAGAATCTTCTGGATGACTTCCATGTACAGCGGCACATTTCCTTCGGCTTCCGAGAATGCCATCAACCGGAGCATCCTCTCGATGCTCAGATGCTGATCTTTAAACATCAACGTTGCTATCTCCAAATTCTCTGCCGCACCGGGGAGACGCGAGTATGCTTCTTCCAGCTTGAACTTGTTGCTGGGGGAGACCAGCACACGAACTCGAATCCCGCGGGAGCACAGGCTAGCAGCTTCGGAAACAGCGCTATTGGTACTGTCGACGTCGTAGTGAAAAACGACTCCGGCGACGGGCTGACGCAGGATCCCAAGTTCTTCGCTCACGAGGAGGCAGTTCTCGAGCATACAGCTCAAGGTATAGCTCTTGCCGCTCCCCTGCGAGCCGCAAATGAACACCGAACTAGGCGCGTTCGTGTTGAGAAAAACGGGCTCTTTGGCGTCAATTTCGGCGTGCTCGCCAATGTGAAACCCCAGTAGACCGTATTGTGGTAGAACGGGAGTTGTTGATGTAGTGGTCGTTGTTGGGTGATTCTTCGAGCATGTAGGGACTAGGAGGTTTGGAGGCGGCGAATGATTTTCTGTGACCATATGCTTGACTGCTAGCGAGAACAGTGGTGTCGTTCGGAACTCTTCCTCCCTACCGCTGCGACTACTCTCTTCTTCCTCGAAGAGCTGGAGGTAGTGAGCCCTCTCTGCTTTGTTGGATTTCGACATTCTGCGCCTCGGGGAGACAGTGTAAGACTTGGGATGCTTGGTCTGTTGGGGTCAGTATACAGGCTGAGTGTGGTACTTATATCCATCGTATCGACTTCCTCTTCCATAGAAGCGCATAAAGGGGCTACAGCAAACGATGGAACTTTCGGTCATTGTCTTCTCTGTGTCACTATTGCTTTCCTTTCTGCTGGTTTTAGTTCGCTCTTCCGCTTGCAAATACATACACATCCATTAGTTGGCAGCCATCAAGTACAGTTGGACTGGTCTGCCAGCCTATGCAGCGAGCTGGTTTTTCTTCTTCCATCATAGAGCACTGGAGCGGTAACTTGTCGCTACCCGTGATGCCTTTCTTCTTGCGGTCTGTGCTTGTAGCGGCTGTTTTGCAATGTGTAAGAAATTTATGGGATAGGAAGAAGTCAGTCCGCACTCGCCATTTCCCGAAGATCGCCCACCGTGTGGCAGCAAAAAAAAGCCTTGATATATGTCATTGACCCCGGCTGACTCATCAATCAAAGCATCAGTGGTTTAGTGGTAAAATCCGCGCTTGCCATCAGGCGAGCATCTTGCGCGGGCCCCGTGTTGTGAGTAGCAACCACCGTACTGTCTACATTGAACCGCATACTGATTATGATAATAGCGATTCACGGCTGATGCATTCAGTTGTGCAAACTCCTATGTTTCAATATATAGATTGCGACTTTTTCTTTTTCTTTTGCTCGGCTGCTGTCGCTCCCTCCGCTTAGTATCTCAATTTTCTTTAACGGTCTACTACTGTACAGTATAGTTGTACATATGTTTTAGTACACTTAAGGCGCTCTCCCTATAATAATCCGGTTATAGTGTTGAGTTTCCTCCTATTAGAGACAATATAAGTACTATCAATTAAAAACTTCCTTTTAGCCAGATATACCTCTAAGTCTACCCTAGGTATTAATATGTCCTACGGGCCTGCCCGTTGGTGGCACGGTGTCGGCCAATTTTCTATATATGTGCGCGCGTGCGTATGTATATGTATTCTATCTCTCTGTCTATCTTCTTCCTAGGTATCTCGTTCTCCTTCTTCTCGTTCTCCTTCTTGTTCTCCTTCTTGTTCTCCGTCTCTGTCTCTGTCTCTCGTCTCTTCTCTCTATCTCTTCTTGCTTAGCCTTTTCTTCTCTCTATCTCTTCTTCCTAGGCCTTTTCTTCTTCTTTTAAGGCTTCCTCTTCTTCCTCTTCCTCTTCCTCTTCCTCCTTCTCCTTCTCCTTCTCTTTCTCCTTCTCCTTCTCCTTCTCCTTCTCCTCCTCCTCTCCCTCTCCTTCTCCTCCTCCTCCCCCTTCTCCTCCTTGTCCTTCTCTTCTGAATTTTAGGCAATGTAGCCCGTAGGGACAGATAGGCAGGTCGGTAGGCAGGCAGGCAGGCAGGCAGGTATACCTGCGGCGGGCTTTTTCTTAAGGTGACAACGCTTTGGGTCTAGTGGATTTAGCGCGCCCCCCGCCAAGGATCGCGCCAATCAAACCGTGCGATTTCGAGTCTATTTCTCTGGCTATAGTAGTCTAAGCGCGCCAAATTGGTTGGCCTTCACTCCCCCCTGCACCTGACCTACGCTGCGCTTCGGAAGGTTTGGAGGTCGTTTTGTGTTGATTATGTACAGAACAACCTTCAGCTTACTCATCAAACACAGCATCAGTGGTTTAGTGGTAAAATCCGCGCTTGCCATCAGGCGAGCATTCAGCTTCACTGCTATCTGCGCGGGCCCCGTGTTGTGAGTAACATCCCTCGTAACACTTGCGATGAATGGTGTACTAATTGCGATAATAGCGATTCACGGCTGATGCATTCAGTTGTGCAAATTCCCATGTTTCAATACATGGATTGCGACATTTTTTCTTTTGCTCGAATGCTGTCTGTCCCTCGACCACACTCAGTATCCTTGGTTGGCCAACTTCCATAAGACCACATGGCCCTCAAGAGATTGGATTTGCAACGTGGAAATACAGTAGGTAACTCTTGGCATTGTATTCTCCAGACTTCTTCACCTAGCCCTACCTAGCCCTAGCCCTCGGGAATAATAAGAAATACCAGGTACTCCGCATATACAAGGAAAGGGGAACCTTGCATTTGGGACAAACAGCATTTTCTCCATATTCTTTCCTTTCTTTTCTTTCTTTTCGGTAGATCGGGACATTTTTACTCCAGTCTCTACCTGTCTCGGTCGAAATTCTAGAATTCTATTGTCTGGGCCCTCCCCGCCTGGATGTGGATAGACATGGCATGGACATGGATCAGGTCTGGTCGATCTTCTTCATCAATCTCTTTTCTGCCCTTGAGGGGGTGGAAATTGCTTTTCTTTTTTGTTTCTTTTTTCTCATATCCAGATGATTGTTGTTGTTGTTAGTATAGGTCGGAAAGAGAGGAAAGGAAGGAAAGGAAGGGAGAAATTTGCAGGTGTAGAGAGAAGCAGGATGGATCAGGGGAATGAACGAATGTATGAGAAAAAAGTGTAATAGAGATATAATCGGGGTAGATGATTTATTTGATTGACTAACCAACGAACCAACCAACCGGCCAACCAACAACTTTCAATATTCAACCGGGGTCAAATGTGATTTTGTTGTACCTGCATGAATGAATGATGATATACATGCCGCTGCTGCTCAGGCCTCCCTCATACTGACTGAATCTCTTCACGGCGATCGACACATGTAATTCAGTCCTACGGTGTTCAACTCTGCTACCTACGTACCTCACTAGGTAGGGTAGCCAGATCAACACCAAAAGAAATCACCATGTCACCCATCCTCAAAAACCCCCTCACATCTCTCTTCCTCTTCCTCGCAACAACAACCCACTCCACCACCGCCCTCGCCCTCCAAGACCAGCAACAACAAGCCTCCTCCCCACCCATCCGTCTCCGAAGTCCAGAAAACGAATGTCCTCACGCACCTACAACCCAACACCTCAGCGATCCTCCTTATGAGAATTACTTTTACTCCGACTGCCACTCTTCCACACAAGTTGTAATTACAACACCGTTAGAAACTTCCGATTTGAGCGTCATTAGTCCCCGAATCGTCGTCGCTTGGCCCGCGGGGAATTCTGGCGCCGTGGTGTTTTTGTCGCCGGGGGATGAGGGAGCTGTGAATGGGAGTTTGGGGATTCGTCTTGTTTCTTCTTCTTCATCTTCGGAAGCTGGTGGTACTGAAGAAGAAGAATATCTCCAACCGATTTACGAAACACCATTGGAAAATTCCTTATCAAAATTACCGTTCGTGGGCGTGGAAAGTCTTCTAGAATTAAATTCTTCTGCGAAGCTCTCCGTGGCGATTTTGGGAAGTATTCGCAATGTGCGAGATTTTACCGAAGGGCCTTCGATTTTGGTGGAGAGGATTCAGGAGGCGATTGGGTATACTGCTTTGCCAGTTGAAGAAGGAGGGGGTGTGGAACTTTCGAGATTGTGGTTGGATAATGTTACGACGATGGCGATTTCGTTCATTCCCGTGGACGACGACAGCACGAGTGGTGGAATTACGCTCGAGGAGGATAATTTGGTGAAGATGGAGGCGGGAAGGTATCGATTTCGGGCGAAATTTGATTATCCTCAATTGGAGCAATTGGATGGGAGTCAGGTGTTGAATGAAAACGCCCAAAGTCTTCTTCTGGAACAAGAAGGAGGAGAAGATGCGGAAAAGGTGAAATCTCTCACGTTTTTGTCGTATTCGAATAAATTGTTGGCGGGAGCGTGGCGGTTCTTGACGTACTTTGGCCGCGACTCCATGATTGCCACGCTGTTACTTGCACCCGTCTTGTCTGAAGGCCAAGGGGGCGCCATCGAGGCTGTCATCGGATCGGTTCTCGAACGACTCAATCAGACTTCGGGTGTGGTGTGTCATGAAGAGACGATTGGCGACTATGCGACATTCTTGAGCATTCAGCAGACGGGCATGGCGAGCACTGCTCCGGGATGTAACTACGTGATGGTCGACACGGACTACTATCTGATGCCTCTCTTGGAGAGGTACTTTCTCCAATCCACCGTGGGCCAGCAAAGGACGTCAGATTTTCTGAACACAGTTTCCACTCTCGACTTCGGTAACGCCGGCTTAACGTACGGAGAGCTCGCCCTGATCAACGCCAAAACGATCATGACCAATACCGCTTCTTTTGCCAGCGATGGCGGACAAATCAAAGAGAATCTCATCCATCTCCGCGACGATGTTCCCGTGGGAGAATGGCGCGACAGCAACACTGGCATCGGTAGTGGTCGCATCCCCTACGACATCAACACCGCCCTCGTCCCTGCTGCCCTGCGATCCATCTCCGCCCTTTCTGCCGCGGGCTGGTTTCCCGATTATCCTGAATGGGCCGATCTCGCAGCGCAGTACGCTCAAGTATGGGAAGATGACACCTTGGCATTATTCGAAGTCGTTATTCCTTTTGCTGAAGCCAAAAACCTCGTGGAAGACTATACCAACGCCGCTGGAATGGGCTTCGCTTCGAGATCTGATCTGATCCAGGGTGATATTGTATTTCACGGCTTGGCTCTGGACGGGGGCAATGATCAATCCATCGTCAGAGTCATGAATACGGACGACTGTTTCCGTCTCTTCCTACTCAACACAACCAATCAAGCCCAACTGACGGCCTTTGTCAACCAGACTGCAACAAACATTCGATCCCCGTTTCCCGTAGGTCTGCTCACGCCAGTCTCACTCGTCGTAGCCAACCCAGCATACGGAGGAGATCCCGTCTACGCCGCGAACTTCACCAACAGCGCATACCACGGGACTGTCGTCTGGTCGTGGCAACTCAGCATGATGGCCGCTGGCCTTCAACGACAACTGGAGCGATGCATCACAAGTGATGGTGCGATAGTACCAGACTTTTGCAGCGATGAAGTCGTGTACAATAATGTACGTGGTGCAAATAACGATCTGTGGGACAATCTCGAAGCGAATTCGGAACATTTGAGCTCGGAAGTCTGGAGTTGGACAATCAGTCCCGAGGGAGAGTTTGTGTTTGCGCCGTTGGGTGCACTTGCGCAGACGGAAAGTGATATTCGACAGTTGTGGTCGTTGACATTTCTTGCTGTTCGGAGGGATGACCGTTTTCGATAGGGACTTGGCCCCCTTGACTGCTGCTGTTCATTATGCGCCGAATGGGCTAGAAATGCTGAAATCTGGATGGGCGCGAAACTGCTCGGTGATGAATCTAGTCGCGAGAACATTTCCCCCCATGATAGGTAGTTTCTATACATGAGAAGCCAGCAAAAATTCGGTCTATGTTGTTGCCATTTGGACCTTTTCTTTGAATGTAAAGAACATGAGTAGAAACCCTTCCATTCCAGCGACTGACCCTTTCGGTATCTGGTTCGGTATCCGTTGCCGAACGTTGCTGTATTTCCCAATGCTGCGACTGTCGTGGACTTCTTCATCATCATAGCCAGCCAATCTCTTGCTCGCCATTTACAAAAAAAGGCATTGTCGGGTATGAAGACCACCAGATAGCAGCAAGAAACCCATCGATTCCGGAATACGCTGTCCCTCAGATAGACCTCTTGTTCGACCTTTTCCGAGGATTCCCTCCCTCCCTCATTAATCCTCCTTCTTCTTCTCCCCCAACTCAATCCCCAACTCCTCCAAATACTCACTCACAACCTGCACAATCACCCCATGATCCTGTTCCTGCTTCAACCCACTCACCACAATCACCGCCACAACCCCTTCAACACCTTGCACTCTAACCGGCCAACCCCCACCATGAATCGCATATTCCCCCGCCTTTTCCATCCCCAGCCCAAATTTCGCCGCAAAAGCCCCCTCGTCCCCCGAGAATTTATTGTGCATCCACCATGTGGAAGCTCCAAACCTCAAGACCGTGTTGCGTTTGCGAAGCACCCAGGTGTCGTTGTCCGGGGCTGTGCCGGAGTGGGTTACGGCGTGGAAGAGACAGTGCGTGGAGTGTGCGAGACTGATGTCTATGACTGTGGGTTTGGAAAAGGCGAGGAGGCGCGTGCGGAGGAGGGAGCCGAGGACCCAGGCGGTGTGGGCTGTGAAGGTGGGGAAGGTGAGGGCGTTGTCGATGGCGGAGATTTCTTCGAGGGCGCGAGGGGGGAGGGGGATGGTGGGTTCGGTGGACATGGTTTTTGTTGTTGTTGTTGTTGTTGTGGTGGTGGACTTGTTCTTGGTAAGATGTTGGGGAGTTGGTAGGATGGTAGTAGAGTATATTCTCAGCTGTTGGGTAGGAGGTAAGTGAAGAGGCTCGAGTGAGTAGAATCTTATCGTTGGGGACCCTGAGGATTCGCGTGGACTTGCTTCATATATCCTCGGCTACACATGGAGGCATCTTGATTATGTATAGAAAGGTATAATTACTAAATCATTGCACAATTGCAATGCTTCTACATTACGCACCTTGACATGCTACAGGGCGTAGTACTTTTATTGCAAGCGATTCTGGCTGAATACTGACTAGATGTATATAGAGGATTATTGAGTATCTGTCTGATATCTGACAGAGCCTTTGATTCATCAACTATGTCAACCTGCACCCAGTATATCGGTCAACGCTTCGAATAACTTTTGTGATTGTAGAAATTTCAAATTCCCGAATCGCCATTCAGAAAGTGTCTTTTCCAAAAGAACAGCCTCATCAACTTGAGTCGAAAACACATTTCCGGCATACTGTTCTACGACCCAATCTTACCCTTCACCCACTCGCCGATATTCTTGATCGATTCATTAGCCTCTGGTGATTTCCCAGCCATGAACTCAAAGACATGCTGCTGTCCCTCCGCTTTGGCCAAATGCACATCAACGCCGGCCTTTTGCGCTTTTTCATAAAATCGGACTCCATCATCCAGCAGAGTATCATGGCCGGCGACAGATATCCAATGAGGATTGAGACCCTTCAGATCACCATAGAGCGGACTGATGACCGGATCCTTGCGCAATTGCTTGTTCCCGCTGGTGTAGCGTTCGGCGAGCATATCGACAAAAGCTTTAGTACCCAAGACATCTTTCTCTTTGTTGGTTTCCAGAGATTCGGATTCCAAGGTCAGATCATACCAGGGCGACATTGCCACGGATGCTGCCGGGAGGGGCAGACCTCGCTTTCGCGCTTCCAGTGGCACAGCGGAGACGAGTCCTCCTCCGCACGAATCTCCTGCCAGAACGATGCTGTCGGGCGAGTAGTCCTGGTCTAACAAGTACTTGTATGCGCTCATACAGTCATCTAGTGGAGCAGGATATGGATGCTCAGGCACCATGCGGTAGTCGATGGATAGAGCATTGACGTTGCAGGCTTTGGCCAAGTGTGCAGTGAGCTTGCGATGGCCATTGGGAGATCCGAATGAGTAGCCGCCTCCATGCATGAAAAGCATCACCTTGCGAGAGGATGCACGTCAGCAATTGGGAGAAATGCAACAAGGACAACGAGTAACTCACTTTCTTGGGCGTTGCATCCATTGGTCTGACCCAGAGCGCGGGACGGCCAGCAATGATATCCTCTGAATAAGTCACTCCGGGACATTCTGCTGCTGCGGTATTCACCTTGTCATAGAGAGCTCGTGCGACAAATGGGTTATCGGAGGGAAAGTTGGAGGCGATTTGCTTGAATAAGTGTGTGAGAGCCTCGGATTCTTTGCTTGGTGCCATGTTTTGATATGTTGTTGTTTATAATGGACAACGTGGAGTAGGAGAATTGTGAATTGTTTGAACTACAGTCTATACCAATAGATAATACAATAAATATAGAGTAGAGGGGCATACCTTTCTAATGATGTCAGCTCCTGTCTACCTACTACTTCCTGCCTTTCCGGCCTGCCAGCGAAGTTACATGTTACCTCCTATACATCATAACTCTCGTCGAGACCGATACCAACAATTTCGGGGCATAGCAAGTGTCAGTGAGAAAAATACCGAAAAAAGGAAAAAAAAAAAAGAAAAAACAAATCGCTAAAACAAATCGCTAAAACAATGTCCGCCATACCTACACACAACCATTCGCTTACTAAGTGAATAGAGCCCGCTGAGAGTGATGTCCAACAGGACAGGAAAAAGTGGGGTAAGAGTAAGCAACATCACATCTTGGCATCAAACAGCGCCTGAGCGCGCGCGCTTCCCTCACCAATCAACTCCCTCTTCTTCCCTTTTCCCTTTCCCTTTCCCTCCCCCTTTCACACCAATTCACTATTCCACCACTCACCACCACACCCGCAAATCCGCAAGCGCTGCCTCACTCTCCATGCAAGCAAGCAATCAAGCAAGCAAAGCAAGCGCCCATGTCGTTTCAGAAAGATCTCGAAATTTTCTTATTGGTGCAACACAACTTACAAGTTATTTATTTACAGATATACCTACCTACAAGCGCTGAGAAATAAAGTATTTTGGAGTGATACTTCCCATGCGTATAGGTAAAAACGATCATTCATACGCTCTATTAGCCGCCCGTCATGCGAGGGGAGGACTTTTTTTTGGACACTATGCATGTGAAATAAGGCGTACCGTAAAGGTATTGAATAGGAGGAAGAAGGTGTTGTAGCAAATATAGTTTATGGTATGTATACACGACAGTTCTGCGAGTAAGCGAGCGAGTGAGCGAGGGAGTGAGCGAGGTCTAGGTCTATACATGGACAGGTAAGGTATGTATAAGGTAGATGGGTAAGGTACCTGACCTTGACTTGGTCTTTTTATTTTTCTTGATATCTCACTTTGTGATATACAGTTTACTTCTACTCTTCTCAAGAAAGAAAGAAAGATAAAAATAAGACTACACTCTTTTTCATCCTCATTCATTCATTCATTCATTCCATCCATCCATCCATCTCTCACCAACCCACCACCAACATGCCCACCCCACCAACCCACCGCCTCCCACACCTCCTCCTCCCCCTCCTCTCGATAACCCTCAACCTCGCCATCCTCGGCACCTCCAGCCGAACGCTACACATTTATCAAACTTCACAAACGTCCAACGTATATTTCCTGCCGATTTGGAATTCTCATTTCGATATGCGAGGTTTGAAAACTTTGGTGGGGACTTCAGTGGGGATTGTGGTGTTGAATGGGATTTTTGCGGTGGTGGGAGGGGTTTGTGGGAATGGGAATGGAAGTAGGAGGATGGTATGTTTTTTTCTTTTCTTCTTCTTCATTCTCAAAGTAAGGTACTTACACAGCTCCAGCATGTACCCACAAACACCATCCTCCTCGCCTCAAGCGTATCGAGTACCCTCCTCTCCATCATCGCTCTAGCCCTCCAAGCCACCCTCAACCACCAATCCCCACATCGAGATACCCTTCAAACATGGACGTGCATGTGGAAGAATGTGCAAGGAGAAGGTGTACCGCAATCGTTTGATACACTATGTCACGAGACGGTGAGTAGTACCTTTAACCTTACGTCTCAAAACCAAAAAAGAAAAAAGAAATCTCCAGATAACAATACGATAAAAAGACTGACATTCTTCTTCTTCTTCTTCTATAGCGCTTTGCATTTTATACGACAATTCCGAGCTTTCTCATCCAGCTCAGTCTTCTCGCGCTGGCTTGCTATGCTTTGACGGCGAAAAGTGCTACTTCGGCACACAAGAGGAGATCGGTGATTCGACTGGATGAGGAGGAAAAGGCGCATGAATTGGTGGAGAGACAACAGCAATCGTTTGATACCAAGAGTGATAGTGCCCGCAGTACGCCAGATCAGGTCAGAGTCGTGGCGGGGAAGAGGTAGATCATCCTCCTCCTCCTCCTCCTCAAGTGTTGTGGGTGTGTGTGAAGTAGTGTCATGGGAATGGAGCAATCAGCGAGCGCAGTTGTAACATATCGTCACATGGTATTTGGAATTTCTGGTCAAAGAGAAAAATGGAGTTTTGGGTATCGTGTAAGTACATGTGTGGGCCACGCTTCCAAGGGATGGCTCCCAAGTGCCAGGAATAATGGCGAACAAGGAAGAAACTTTGTTTATCAAAATAAGAAATGACAACTTCAATGAGCGTGTTGTGCCTTGGCGGCGTTACGCCTGAAAGCCGACAGGAAACTCTTCCGCTTGCCCAGGACAATGGAGCTCGAATCCGGCTGATCAACGGGCATGGGCGGCAATTTGGGCGTAGCTGTGATACTCGCGCGTCGCTTCGCAATGTTGGCTTCCGTCTCCTTCTTCTTCGCATCCGGATCCTCGCCTGTTAACCTCTCAATCTTCTTTCGCGATCTCTCCTGCGCAGATTCGTTGGTCCAGTCTCCATTGAGCTGCTTGGAAGGAACCTGTGGGAATGCAGTGCCGGCGATGAGGTTTTCTTTCGCTCGTGAAACCGACAGGCGCTGCCGTGGCGTCGTGGGCCGGGATGTGTTGGTCGGTGTGGCTTTCGCAACAGTATTGGTGGGATCATGCTTGAGGAACGAACGTGGTCTCTCTTTCTTTAAAGGCGGCGCAGACAAATGCGCCCAAGGCTTGGCGGTAGCGGTAGCAGCAGCAGCAGCGAGGGAATTGGAATCGCTCTTGGTATGGCTATGGACCCGTGGAGAGGGGGATTCTCCCGAAAACGTCTTGGGCCGAGCCCTTTTTGCCGTCTTCGGCGTGATGGGCGTGTTGGAGGTGGAAGAGACGGGGTTCATCCGTAATCCATTATTCGACGTACCACCCGAGGACTTTCTCTTGTGCACCGTTGCTGGTCGCTCTTTCTCCAATTCTGTCGCTGGCAGCTCGTATACCTCGGCAGCTGGGGCCGCCTCGCTCGAAGTTGTGGTGGTGGTAGCGAGGGCGGTGGTGGCGCTCGCCTGCACCGTGGTGTCCTGTACATCTTCAGAGATGCTGCTTGGTGCCGCGCTGTCCGTTCTCACAGTCGGAGGTCTCATCATGCCGTCCCCTCCCGGCGGAGACTCTGCTGCTGCAGCCATGTCCACCTTTGCGTCATTGCTCATCTTCGACATGCTCTTCTTGAAGTTGGGCAGGCTCTTGCGCCCGACATTGTTCATGGCGCGCCGAACACCTCCGCTATGATCCCCACTGTGATGCTTCTCTTGACGCTCGATGACTCCTGCCATGGTGGTGCCATTTGTGGCAAAGTTCTCCTCGGGGATAGGCTGGAACTTGACCACGCCACGATCGGGTGATACGCTGAGGATGTCGGCCATGAAGGACTGAATCAAAGCGGCGTTCCGCTTGTTCATGGTAGGGCCCATTTGTGAAGGTACGGCTGTGATGGATAGGATGTAGCACGGATCAAACGTGCCGCCCATGGCGAGGCAGGCGCTGTGATCGACCTTGACCATAATGGCAGAGTCTGGTCGCATGTATCGTGCGGCCAGGTGGCACGAGAGGTCCGTTACCAACGTGAACTCGTCTTTGATCTAGTGTAACGTACATGATTAGCTCATCGGTAGCATCTCTAGGTTGACTCTGGCACGAGCACATACAATGACGTTCGTGCGTAATTCGGCCACAACGGGAGAATCTCGTTGAACTCGCTCACGGATGGTGCCTTCATGAACGTTGTCCTTGTACTGGAATTGTTCGTCGTAGTACTGGGTCCGCTGTCTCGAAGGAGTGTTGTAGTATGAAGCCATGGCCGCGTCTTGCGGAGCTCGCTGCTTGCGCAGGTAATCGCTGAGGCTGGTATAGCGGCCAAGTTCAGCGGGTAGACTCTTCCTTTCACGCGGAGTTGGCGCAACTTGTACGGCGTGCTGGTCGTTCAGAGACAAGGCATTTGTGGGATTGGAGGTAAAGGCAATACCGGAAATGGTCATACGGCCGTGCGAGTCGAGAGCAGTGGAAGCGGCCGAAGGTGATTCCGACGGACTGTGGGTAGAGTGTGAGCTGGCATCTCGTCCCATATTCTCGGTGACACAAGGACAGTCGGGTGTAACACTCGCGACCACGAAATGGCTGGGCGGTTCCGAGCTCGATCACCAGACGTGGCACAGTCGTGGGCCAGACTCTGCAGAATTCGAGCGTCCAGACAGGGCAGAGACGACAGTGGTACCACAAACAGCGTGGCGGGCGCAACTCTCGGCGTTGATTGGATGAGGCGTGGCGACCGCTTCGTCCAGTGGGTGATACAGCGTCGGGACAGTCGTCGAAGAGTTGTCGTGATTAGCCGTTCCTGGAGGTGGAGACGCGCGCGCAGTGCAGCGATTTGCGTTGAGATGTTCGATCCACTTTGCAGAGGCGAATGCAGCGAAAATGCAGTGCTGTGATGTGCAGTGCTGTGCAGACAAGACACTGCAGAAAGAGAGAGAGCGAGAGAGAGAGAGACAGAGAGAAAGAGAAAAGAGGCGGTGTTCGCAAGGAGCTGGACACGGGAGTCAGCGGACTTTTGGAGTGATACCACAGTGGGAGGTAATGTAGGTCAGGGCAGGTAAGGACCGTAAGGTAGGTCAGGTAGATAGTAATCGTGCTTGCTGACGGGGAACAGTCTGGGCCATTCGCGGATCTTATGATTCTTGCAGAGCGGGATCGTCTGGTGTTGGACTCTGACAAGGTGCATGCCCATGTGTATTATACCCGGCAGGAGGCATTGTTTTTAATTAGACGCGCGCGCGCTGCCATCTGCATTGGGCGAGTCGTTCTACTACTAAGGTACTAGGAGGTCCTAGGAGGTAGTGCACCCTCTTCTGATACCGTCAGTAACTACGAGGTACGAGTCCTGCCATGTCAGTCTGTTGTGCGTGCGTCGCGGCACGTTTCACTTCGCAACGGCCACGGAGCCAATGCGGTGGTCAGTGTGGTGTCGAGTGTGAAGTGTATGCAGGTGGTGTAGTGGGTGTAGAAGAGAGAAAGAATAGAGTGTCGACGAGTCGTCGGAATGGCGGGGCGACGATTAGTTCTCGAGCTACCTTAGTCAAATTAGAGCCCCAGCAGGGCATCTCATCAGAAAGCAACGTTGAGGTATCTGGGAGAGAATATTGATACGATACATGTATACCTCAAGGCTGAGGTAGGTATTAGTTGTCCCTTATATCATCCGTGTCCCACGATAAGTGGCAACAGTTGATGATACTTGGTAGAGTCGGTACTCACAGACCCATTCGACATGCCACATGCACGGAATCCGACTCAGGTAGTCTCCAGTAGTACTGTAGAACGAGTGGACGCATCGCAGGATCCGTCCGCCTTGTCTGTGTGCTGCCGTCCCGCGCCTCGCCTCGCCTCGCCTTCTGCGCCGGTAGTGACAGATATCACGAGTACTGCGAGAACTCATCATCTCGTCTCGGGGGGTGAAGTAGAAGTGGAAGGGGAGGAGGAAGATGTGAAGAAGATGAAGAAGATGAAGCAGAAGATGAAGCAGAAGAGGAGGAGGAGAAAGGATTTGTCAATATGATTCTCACCCGATTGACACAGAAGTGGTGGAGAGTGAGCAGAACAAAGGGTGGTACAGTTGAGTGGCAGTCCAGTTGACCGAGTGGCAGTGCTCAGGTGCGGGCGAGTCATGGTCTCTTGAACAACGTCACAGTAATCAGCACGACATCCTTCCCAAATGGGACTAGAAAGTGGTGGGTGAGAACCACCGACTCTCACAGACTCTCACCACCGACGTGAATGTACCTGACTTGACTAAACTTACTACTTGTACTTGTCCCTGTAGCGTGCAAGAGAGAGATAAGAGAGAACAATCATACCAGGTATTTGTACTGAGCCAACAACAACACCACACTGTACACTACTGAACCAACGACACCACGCCGTACACACAAAGTCACACACATACACACACATACACGACCATGTCATCCGACAAAAAGTACTTCTACAAGATCCTGGATTCTCCTCCGCCTGAGCCTCTGCCCGAGAAACTCCCAGAAACGGAACTTGACATCAAAGACAACTTCATCCATCTAAGCGTACGTCTCTTCCTTCTCAACAAACACGCCAAGCAAAACCACCACCACCACTCTACTCACCCACCCACCGACCCACCGACCCAACCCAACCCAACCCATCCCAACCCGACCAAAAAAAAACATTTAAAAAATACTAACATAACAAAAAAAAATCTCCAGACCGCCGTCCAAGTCCCCCTAACAGCAGACATTTTCTTCGCCACCCACCACAAACTCTGGCTCCTCAAAATCCGCGTCGCCGACCTCGACGGAGACATTCAATACCGCCCCGAATTGCCCGAATGTCCGCATTTACACCACAGTGTGCGCGGCTTGGGGAAATCCAATGTCGAAGAGGTTATTGTCGTGGAGAAGCCCGAGAGTTTGGGTGAGGGGTCGATTTGGGCAAAGGTTCCGGAGATGGAGGCTTTGGAGGATTGATTTTTTTTGTGTTTGAGAGGGAAGGGAAGGGGAGGGAGGGGGATGGAGGGTGGATGGAGGATACTATACCTACTGAGAATTTGAATTGAATTGAGCCATTTTGTTTTGTGAATTCTTGTCTTTTGGATTTTTCTTTGGATTCCCTCTCTTTTTTCTTTTTTTCTTTCTTTTTTTCTTTCGTTTTTTCTGATTCTTTTTCTGATTCTTTTCCAATTCCTTTTTTCAATGTTTTCTAATTCCTTGTTTTTTAAAATGGATTTTCGAACTCTTTTTTTTTTTTGAATTCTTTTTGTATTTTTTCTATCCTCTTCATTTTTTCAGTTATTTTCAATTATTTTCCATTAATTTCCTCTATCTAGGGATCATTGAACAAAAATGTAATCGGAGAGAAAAAAAAAAGACCGGAAAAAAGAAAAAGAAAAGAAAAAGAAAGAAAAAGCAAAAGAAAAAGAGGGAAAATCACTGAGAAAAGAAATGTGGCATGAAAATATGTGTTTCTTTTCATGATACTGTGTGTCTGCAGTCTGTCTTTTTATAGATTTCCGTCTGGTCTGATGCGCCTTTTTTGGTTTGAGATTTCCTCTCGCTCTTGCTCTCTCTCTCGCTCGCTCTTGCTCTTTCTCTCTTTTTCGCGTAACCAAATTCACTACCTGCCTCTTGAAGTACCCAAGTCTCTGTCTCACCATATCGTGAAGAAGCAAAAGAAGCAGAAAAAGCAGAAAAAGCAGAAGAAGCAGAAGAAGCAGAAGAAGCAAAAGAAGCAAAAGAAGCAAAAGAAGCAGAAGAAGCAAAAGAAGCAGAAGAAGCAGAAGAAGCAGAAAAAGCAGAAAGAAAAAAAGAAAAAAAAAGAAAAAAGTCGTGGATATCATCAGGCGTCTGGTGTCCAAAAAAAGTGACTGACGCTCTTGGTGTTGTTTTCAATGCGCGCATAAAATCAGAGTGGCGAATGGTAAAGAAGATTTTGTCGTCGTCGTCGTCGTCGTCGTAGCAGTGATTGCTGAATATGCGTCGTCTCTCATTGCGTCAAAAGAGTCCATCGTAAATCGTGCTTCGTCAAAAACTGTCAAAAAAGAAAAGAGAAGAGTCGTTGCATGTCGTGATAGTTTCAGAGGGGTGTGTGTGTGTCGCGTTCGTCAATATCCTCGGTACCACCGTCTGGAAGGAGAGCCTTCAACTTCGGGAGATCCTGGAGCTTCACACCAGGCTGCGAGGTCATGATTTGCACCAGTGGCGCAGTGAAGACATCGGGCAAGTCGCCCTCGAATGTGACTGTCTTCAAGCCACGCACGCTTCTCAGGGTCTTCAGACTGCTCGCGACTTTCAGATCGGGGTAGCTGGGATTGTTAGACGCCTGGAAGTCTTTCTTCAGGACGTCACGGAATTTCAAGGTCAAGTGCTGGAGTTTCTTGCTTGCTGCCAGGATGCCAATGATACGGTGCTCGAGATCAGCGGACCATTGCCAGCTCTGCATGTCAATGCTGATGGTATGGGCATGCTGCATCGATTTGCTGGAGAGGAAGGCGACAATCGAGGGGATATGGACCTCCTTGGTGAATTCTGCCTGGGGATACACGATATTGAGAGGCTTCTTCTGAAGAATTTCAAGCGCCTCGGCGTTGATCTGTTTGTTGATCAACAGGACCGTAGGCGTGGTCCTACCGGGGAAGGGAAACTTCTTAGGCATACCCTGATCGGTCCACTGGGCAACCGCGCGACCAAGTATGATTGAGCTGTCAGACCAGTCTCCAGTGTGCTCGTAGATCATCTGACGAAGCTCCAGTGGCAAGCTCAAGAAGGGGACCAGTGGGCGCTGGAGCATTCTCTTGAGCTTCGCGGCCTCGTTGACGTTCAAGCCATGGAACGTCACTTCGTCGATGCCGCGTGCTTTGCCGAGAGCGGTCAATGCCTCTGACATCTGGTCTCGAAAGCCGCATTTGTGGGCCGTATCGTGGCAGAGAGTCATGTGCTCGACAAGACGCCGGTCATCGAGCTTGATACTCAGCTTCTTGAGATTGTGCGGGCCTGTCGACAACAGCTCTCCAAGCTGCTCTAGGAGTTTCATGTAACCCGCCCAGCTATAGACCATGGTCTCGTCCTTGATCATCGGATGGCCGACATCAGTTATCTCGAGGAAGCTGACTTGGCGGAGGATGGCAGGTGAAATGACATCTGAAAGGCTGTATCGAAGAAGGCCATGGTGGAAGCTAACACTGGTGGCATGTCAGTCGTGAACGGTACAAGAACTTCAATACAGAAGGCCTGACGAGTACTTACCCTTGCCTCTGCAACAAATGGGATGCTTCGCGAAAGATCTGCTTGTTGATGAGATAGACATTGGGTGTTCGCTTGTGTGGAGCAAAGAGCAGAGAACGTGAAGAGGGTTTCGCACTGAGCCTCGCGAAGGCCTTGTCAAAAAACTCGTTCAGCTTCTCGAAGTCACTGGAGAAGGAGTAGACCACAACCCTCAGCTCAGCGGGCAAACGCAAGAACGGAAAGCACTGCTTGATCAGCCGGACCTGTTGCCGGGTTACACGCCGGCCGCTCGACAGCAGGTCTTGCGAGGTCTTATGGTCCTGATTTACATTAGCAAGAGAGGGCACACGAGATTGCTTGGCCATTACCTACCATGGCTGTTGATGGAGATGCGGAGGGCGACAGTGCTGGGCTGAGAGTGCTGCTACCGCTGTCGGTGATGCTGCGAATGCTGAAGTTCGTGAGGGCGTATGCGAGTTGCGTGAGATGGTTCATGAAGATGCTCAAGGGCTGTGAGTGGGCGCCGCAATTGGCGAGCGATTATGTGGTACTTGTTGGTATGAAGAGAAGAGGAACTGAAAGCGCTGCAGAATATGTTATAGGTATTCAGTTGCGACATCGGAACCGCGACGACGTTGGTATGTTGGCGGTGAGTAAGAGAATCGTCATTGCCAGTGTGTGAATGGTGAGGGTGAAAATGGGCGTGGAGGATTGAAAATCGGGATATCGAGTGAATTCGAAATGCCACTGCCCAACAGCTTCCCGGCACAAGCTTAAAACAGTAGAGCGCGGCAAGCAATTTGATACACTTTGATTAAGGCCTCCATTAAGCCGGCAGCTTACTGCCGTTCCGTTGTCGTATGCCCGATCGGGAAGTCGTGAAGCTATTGAATATGCTTGGCAACAAACAGCCCTACAGCTTCCCAGCCACGTGCTTGAGTGAATTCTCACCTTCTTCACGACGCCATTCTTAGCGTGCGCTAGCTTGTTTCATAGCTTCGAACCTGGGTCCGCTTGTCGGCGATAAGGTCGAAAAGTATACCAATCTCTCATTGTGTCGCGCTCATTCAAGAACGCATTGTATATCCCTGTCGCAGCGACTTGGTTTTCAGCATGCAGCATGCGATAGTAGACGTCCAACTGCTCCATGAAGCCAGGGTTCGGGTCTGCAACACCGCGGCCCTCTCGAACTTGCTCGAGTGCTGCATCTGGCGTGAGGTTGTACTTCCACATCAGGTAGGCGCAGCACACTGTGGCCGACCTGCTTTTGCCCATTGCACAGTGCACAAAGACGGCCCCGCCATTGCGTAGCGCCTCCTCTGTGAATTCCGTCGTCTTATGCAAGTGCTGGAGGATGTTTTCATTCGGGTCGTCGTCGAGTGGAATGTGCAGGCGCGTGTAGAGCTGGAGGTAGTCTGCTTCGTAGATTTCGTAGTCCAGTACGCTAATCACATGCGTGATCTTTGCCTGCTGGAAGAGAGGCTGCTGGGAGTGCAGCGCAGCATATCCTCCTATCCACAGGCCGCCTCCTTCGGTTCGCGGCACCTTGTCCAGCCAGCCCATCCCTCCGTCCAGCAGAGCAAGATGAGAAGAGCGTGTCAAGTCACCCAAGTGTATATGGCGACAGCACGTGAAAAGCGCGCTGGTCGTGTCACTCGTGTGGGAAGTGTGAGGTGAAGTTGAAATTCCGGGACATTTCACCTCGGCAACGGCCCTGACCTTCACAAAATGCACAATATCCTTTGAGCTACCTCCTAGCACATCGCCATGTAGGTACCAGGTAGCAACACATTATATGAAGATTCAAATACGCCAATTGCCGCATCGAGAGAATTGATGGCCCAACTTTGCTTCAGACGAAATGCAAATGATGCAGATGTGCTTGTTCTCGTCATCTTCATTTGGGCTGTCACATGCAGGTGAGCTATGAATGGCCGGTATCTGAGAACGGCATGCAAGCATTCTAGACAGTCCTCCGTACTATATGGCTCAGATTGACGAACAAGTGGAATACCTGAGCCAATGCACATGTTGATGGGTGCTACAACTTACAAGGGAGAGTGAAGTGAAAGTCATCGCACGTGGCTGACGTTCGCAGGAGTGGCTGGGCTGACGATGATGTCGATCGCTGTGACTGCGCCTCAGATGAGCCACAACGCCAGGCTGTTCCTGTATGAAGTGGTGTGTCCATAGAACTACGAGGTACCTACATGTACCTACATGTACCTACCTGACCTTACCTACCTACCTACCTACAATACCTCCTTACACTGCACTCCTTCACCACGTCCACTCTTCTCCCCATCAAACTCACAATAACCAACAACCAACGACCTACTCTATACCAACTGCTCATCTCACCAGTGCTACACACTCCACACCCCGCGGAACAGACTTCACCATCATGGGTCAGTGTCTTTTATCCATTTCATCCTGACCCCTCCACCATGTGGTTTTGGGGCGGATCTGTCCCGCCCGCCATTGCTGGCGTCATCGTCCCCCCGCCTGGCGTCCCATCCTCGCCGTCACCGTGCGAACTGCACCTCCATTGAGAAACACAATAGAGATGTCAGTTGGAGGCTTGCCACAGACATAGAACTGACATATTTTTTTTGTTAGGTCTTGCTAGTAAGCTCGCAGCTGCCCAAGGCGGAGCTGCGCCGGTATCGAACTTCACCCAGCAAGGAGCTGGAGCCGGAGCTGGACAAGGCGGCTACGTAAGAACATTCTCCCGTGTGACGCACTCGTAAAGCTGTGCAGCCTGTGCTCATCTCTTCCCTCCTACACAGCCCGCACACCAGCAGGCGCCACCTGGACAGCAGCAATACTCCGCCTACCGGCCACCGGTAAGTCACCCATCTTTCTTTGTTGCTTTCCTATACCCGCCCTGCACTCTCCACCTCGACTGCTGCCTATCTATCTCCCGTCCAACACCGTCGCGTCGACATGCCGCTTGCTTCACGACTCGCGGCTGGCGGTGCCGGACTGCTGCCAGGCCAGGTACCTTCAGCGCTGCAACCTGGAGGATACCAGCAACAACCGCAACAGCAGCAATACCAACAGCAACCGCCATTTTCACCTCAACACTATGGATCGCCTGCGCCGCCGCCGCCGCCGCCAGGAGGACAATACGCCAGGCCACCTCCACCTCCGCCGCCCAGGCCCGGGCAGACTGCCAGTCCTTATCCGGGCGCAGCTGCACCCTATAGCCCTCAGTCCTATCAACAGCAGCCATATCAACAGCAGCCCTGGAATCAACCACAATACGGCTACGTTCGTGATCACTAGGGACTGGTAGCGACTTGCTATCTGAGCGCAGCTAACATATCTATGAAGCAGGGCGGACCACCATCCGGACCACCTCCACCACAAAATTACCAGCAGGGCCCGCCTCCAGGACAATATGGAGCCCCCCCTCCGGGCCCTCCTCCGGGCCAGCAGCAACAATACGGTGGCCAGGCCAGCTCTCACGACATCCAAGGCTACCAGCGCGAGCTAGAGAAGGCCATTCAAGAGAAGAACTTGCACAGATTTTATGGCCCAGGCACACAGGGCGCACAGAGATTGCCTCAGATCGCTCAGCGCGCGGCACAGTGCGTCGATCGCCTCTGCCAGGCATGGCGCATCCAGAAAGAGATTGCGAACGATATCGTCCGACTGGCTCTATACGATGTGGTGATTTACGTTGATGACTCTGGATCCATGTCCTTCGAGGAGAATGGCGAGCGTATCAAAGACTTGCAGCTTATTCTGCAGCGAGCATGCTTTGCAGCAACGCTTTTCGATGATGACGGAGTCGATCTCCGCTTCATGAACGAGGATCTTCCACTGCAGCAAGTGTCCAACATCCGTAGCGAGCAGCAAGTCGAGCAAATTCTGGCAACCAAGCGGTACAAGGGCCTGACTCCTTTCGGAACCGAGTTGCGCAAGAAGGTCATCGACCCCATCCTGGTGCAGAAGTTGAACAGCGGTCAAATGCAAAAGCCACTGCTGATTATCAGCATCACTGATGGTCAGCCAGCCGGCGAGAACCAGAACACTCTGATAGAGACAGTGCAGTATGCCGTTCAAGCCGCTCAACGATCGCAGTACGGTACTGGTGCTGTGGCCTTCCAGTTTGCCCAGGTTGGAAACGATCAGAAGGCTACCGAATTCTTGGCCAAGCTCGATAACGATCCACAAGTTGGCAGAGAAGTAGACTGCACGTCCAACTACGAGAACGAGTCTGCCGAGATGGCGCGAGCCGTTCCTCCAGTCGACTTGACGCCCGATCTCTGGATGATAAAGCTCATTCTGGGTGCAATCGATCCAAGCTATGACACGAAGGACGAGAAGACGCATATGGCTCCGGGTGCAGGCGGCCCTCCGCCGGGTCAGTACAACCAGCAACAAGGAGGATATGGCCAGGGCTATGGCCAGCAACCGGGCTATGGCCAGTTTACCCAACAGCCAGGAGGATACCCCCCGTGAGTCGCACAGTAGAGTCTGAACTGCTTGCCTTGGGCTAACACGTGAGACAGACCACCTGGCCAGCAGCAATATGGCGCACCGTGAGTCACCCAGCGTACTTCAAACTGTTGATCTTGTGCTAACGTGTCTTAGACCACCACAGCAGCAATACGGCCAGCGACCACCGCAGCAGCAAGCCGTATATCCTGGACAGCAGCAATACGGAGCCCCGTGAGTCGTACCAACGTAACCTCGACTGCTGATCCCGCGCTAACATCTCATGTAGTCCACCTGGACCCCCTCGGTACTAGACGTTCTGAGTTTGTGAATGCCTTTACGTACATGATGGGAAAACATGCATGCTTCCAGTATGGTTGGAGAAGCATCACGAGTAACACGGCCCTACCGTCTCCAAAGTGGAGACAACAGTATCAGAAGCAAATTATGGCAGGAAAGGCTTCACATCTCCTGCGGCGGCCTCATCATACAATATAATGTGATGCTGTCTCCATCATCATCACACACCATCTCCTTGACTAATTGGAACCCCATGCGTTCGTATATTGCCATGTTGGGCTCAGCTCTGCTGGACTCCAGATAGCATTTACGGCCCTCGCGATCAGCTTGATCGGTAACATGTCGAAATAGTAGTTTCCCAATTCCTTTGCCTTGAGCTTCAGGAAGAACTGTCACAATGTTGCAGAAGTAATAGCCTTGCTCGTCTGTCCACAGTTCGCTTTGAGCTGACGCTTGTGCTGCTTTCCAGATGTAGTATCGTTTCGTGTTCAAGCCACCACGGCCCAGCGAGAGGTTCATCTGCAGTTGCATTCTCATCAGCTAAAAACATGAGACACGGGTCAGGAGTCGTGAAGCATCACCTTGACCTGCTCCCACCACAGCCACCAATCCCCAAACCAGCTTTTCAAGGTCTGCGGCTCCTTGGCATTCGAGGGTGGAAGCCAACAAGCCACTCCGAGAACTTTCCCCTCCGAATCGGAGGTATCTTTGGCTACGTGGAAGAGAGCATGCTCTATGCCCCATTTGCAACGTATGGAAAGGCTGTGGGTGTTTCGGGCGAGGGAGAAGTTCTCTCTGTGAAAGATCCAGTGGTTGTAGGGATCATCGGCGAAGGCTGCTTGGATGCAGTGGACTGCGGAGGGAATATCTTTGGGGGTTAAGGGAGATATTTGGATAGGCATTTTTGGTGGGAATTGTGCTGAATTGTTTTGATCGTTGGCGGGGATAGAGTAGATGCAGCGCTGATAGCGGATGAGAATGTGTCTGGTACTAGCGCTATGCTTAAATTTAAGCATGTGAATATCTCTGGCACTGGCAGCCGAATCTTGAGCAGTTTCCGTGTTCCTCCCTCATTCTCCATCCGCCATGATCATCACTATATGAGACCTACCACCGCATTTCTACGCCCTTCCTCACGAGTTCTCGAGTACCTGATCCGAAAGGGCCGCATACCGTCCGCGAGCATGGCGTTGGTGGAAGTGCAAGAAACGCGCGAAGCCGAAATTTTCGAACCGCCTCCCAAAGTCGCTGTGACGCCCTGCGACCCGTGGCCGCGTCCGTACTATTTCGAAGACAACCTCCGCAGGGTCGCGCCGTACCACTTCACGTACAACACGTACTGCAAAGAGCGATGGCGCGGTCGAGGACTGTTGGAGATTTTCACAGACGAATTCCGTGACCGACCCGTCGAATACTATGTATGTGTGATAGAAGGTCGTATACTGCGCGCAAGAGAGGGATGTAGTTCTGACACTGTCGTCGTAGAAAGGGGCGATTGAGGCTGGCGCAGTGCAGATCAACGGTAAGACTGTGCCGTCTATCGAGACGATTGTCAAGAACGGCGATGTGATAAGCCATACAATGCATAGGCATGAGCCTCCCGTGACAGCACAGCCGGTCGGTGTGGTCCACGAAGATGAGGATGTAATCATCATCAACAAACCTGCTGGTGTGCCTGTTCATCCCGCGGGTCGATATAACTATAACTCAGTCATTGAAATAATGCGATCGGAGCGTGGACACGGCTTTGATCCACTCCCTTGTAATCGACTGGATCGCCTCACGAGCGGTGTCATGTTTATTGCAAAGCACAAGAAAGCTGCAGGAGAAATCACCGAACAGCTCATGGGCAGGACGATCAAGAAAGAATACGTCGCCCGAGTCAAAGGCAAGTTCCCAGAAGGCGATGTGGTGTGTGACCAGCCCATCTTGCAAATCTCGCCCAAACTCGGCTTGAACAGAGTTCGCGCAAACGGAAAGGAAGCAAGAACTGTTTTCAAACGATTGGCTTATTACCCGCCGCGACAACCGGGTCTAGATGCCTATGGGTCGGTCAAGGAGGGTTACAGCATCGTACGGGCTCGACCTTTGACGGGACGCACACACCAGCTGCGTGTACATTTGCAATTTCTGGGACATCCCATCACAAACGATCCCATCTACAGCAATCAGCGAGTGTTTGGTCAAGATCTGGGAAAAGACGCCAGCTCTGGTGCCGACGACGAAGATGTCATTACCCGTCTCTCTCGAATGGGCAAATCAGAAGTCGCCGAAGCGGTGGCATATCACGACGAAATGGTCGACGACTATAATCGAAAGAAGGCGGAAAAGATGACGGGCGAGTTGTGTGAAATCTGCCAGACTCCCTTGTACAGTGATCCGGGCCCGCACGAGTTGGGAATCTATCTTCACGCGAGAAAGTATAATTGTGCTGAAGGGAAATGGAGCTATGAGACGGAACTTCCGGACTGGGCTTTGCCGCCGCCTGGATATGAGGGCCCGAAGGAGGCGACGGAGGAGAGTGATCCTTTGGCTGTGGATATGGAGAAGTTGCAGCTGAATGTTGGTGTGGAAGACGCTGGTTCGCAGGAGACGGAGCCCGCAGAATCGAAGTGAACTGGAGCTGAGCCTACCTTAGTCTTGGGTCTAATGTCTCATGGTTTAGGCCAAGAAATGTGAAACGAAAATACCTACACGAGACTTTGTCTCAATAGTTGTATCGTCTTTGAACTATGGACAAAAAATCTCAAATCACATCCAATATTCGACCAAAAATCTAGATGGCCCGCATCAATTTTCTCTACCACGAGGTGGTCTCGAGTAGAGGATTAATTATATTTCAGGTAGCTTGTTGCTTGCTCTATGAAGCAGAGATATGAAGAGATGAGAGGGGGGAAGCTGACCTTCCCTCCCTTTCTCTTCATGATATCTCCCTCTCTTCCCTCTTCTCCCCTTCTTCTCTCTCTGTCTTTTCACCTCCTCTCCCCTCTCCCCTCGTCCTTATCCTCTCATCTATTATAAACTAAGTATATAAAATAAAATTAAATAAAAAAAATAAGGCCAGTCATCACAAGCCACGGGCAGTTCGAGTGGGGTAGGGGGTATCATAATCCATTCATCCTCCCATTCTTCACTTTTTTCCCTTTTCCAATCCACTCCATTCCATTTCCGTTTCCAGTCCACTCCATTTTCAGTCCACTCCATTTCCACTCCATTTTCATTTCCATCCCAAACCCTTGTTTCGCTCGCTCGCTAAAAATATGCCAAAGAAACAAAAACAAAAACAAAAACAAATCAAATCAAATCTATACGCCCTCGTTCGCCATGTATTGATGATGATGGTTGATCATGATTGATGATTGATGATTGTTGATGATGATTGATGATGTCGATGTTCGTCGATGATGATGATGTCGGAATCGATGTATCTCCCCTCCCCTCCCCTCCCTTCCACCCCCCCACTGATCACGCCGCGCCGGGCCGAAAAAGGGTCGTCGAAAGCGCTAGCGAAAAAAAAATCGAGAGGACATCTCATCTATCCATTTCAATAAAACTCGCAGCACTCGTCGGTGTATGGGCATGTGCAGAAGCGATGGAGGAAAACGCCGTCGAAGGTCGATCGGTTTTGGTGGTGGTGGTGAGGCTGGTGGGGATGACTGAAGCACCATTACCACCACCACCACCATAACTTTCGGCAAATGTGTCCATGGGAGTGTAGGTTTTGCTGCGATAGGCGGGGACTTCGTCCATCATCTGTTTTCGTTGGGGAGAGAGGAGTTAGTGAGGTCTGTATGCTTTTGATGGTGATGATGATGGTGGTGATTGATGATGGTGATGGATCATGTTTGGTGTGTAAAAAGAAAAAAAAAGTCCTCTTCTCACCTGTTCGACTTGCTCCAATGTCAAACCTCTTGTCTCAGGAACGAAGAGCCAAGCAAAAATAGCACAGAGGGCACAAGTCGAGCCCCAAATGAAGAAGACTTTGACGCCCAAGTCGGCTTTGTCGTAGTCGACGAGAAAAGGTACAATGATGCCGATGATGGCATTCCAGAACCAATTGCTAGCCGTGGATAGAGCAACTCCTTTCGACCGGATGGGCAACGAGAAGATTTCTCCAATGACAACCCCTGGGAAACAAAGAAAGAAAAAAGATTCGATCAGCTGGGAAACATATCATCTTTTTTTTTGTTTCGCCCCTCGTTTTTTACAGGCAGAGGTTTTACTACTCACATGCTGTTGGACCCCATGTACTCGCAAAGCAAGCGACCTGAACATTGTCAGCCGTGAACAAACATGCCTTTTTCCTTTCCTTTGGGGGGAGGGGGAAGGGGATATCTTACATAAATACAGACAAAAGTGACAAGACAGTAGTCAGCAGCCAATGAATTTGGCGCCGATACGCCGACGATTGCAATGGCGAGTTCGCAAACACACATGGCGATAGCGCCCCAGACGAGGAGAGAGCGTCGTCCAAACTTCTCTATCGCCCAGAAGGAAATCGGCGTGCTGCCCACGTTGACTATCGTTGTGATCATGGATACTAAGAAGGCGCTGTTTACGTGGATGGACTGGAAGAAGGTGACGTTGTAGTAGAAGATGAAGTTGATACCAGTCCATTGCTACATGTACATGGGACGTTAGCCTATATATGTGTATATGGTATGGAGTGCAGCAGCGGGCGAAAAGGGCGAGAAGTAGGATGGGAATTGCTGGTGAATTTCGAACATGTATGTTTCTTTCAAAACTTCAAACTTACCTGCATCATCTGTAGGGTGGTGCCAATGAAGATCTTGCGCAGGTTGGAGTTTGGTCTACTAATGCCGCCCGAAAAGATTCCAAGCCATGATACCTTGCCAGCCTGCCGCTCGAACTCGTGGCTGGCGACAATCTCAGCGAGCTCATCTTCAATGCATGTGGAGGATACCGGCTGGCCTCGGACGCGAGCGAGTGCCTTGGCCGCCTTGTCCAATCGCCCTTTTTTGACATAGTATCGTGGAGACTCCGGGAGGAGCGTCAGACCGATAGACAAGATGGCCGCCCACAGGAACTGTATGCCGATCGGTATCCGGTATGCCGCAGAGCCTTCGAGGTTCCGTGTTGCATAGCCCACGCAACTTGCCAACATCAAGCCGATGGTGATGGCAAACTGGTATAAGGATACAATTGCTCCCCGGACTTTCCGAGGCGCCACCTCTGACATGTAGATGATACTGACAGCCGACAAACAGCCCACGCCAAGACCAGCGATGAATCGCCCCGAGCAGAAGCCTGAGATATGCGTCGCTGCCATCTGCACAATGACTCCGACGGTGAACACGCCGCATCCAGGACCGATCAGGGTAGATTTCCGACCAATCAAATCGGCCGACCATCCGCTGACGAGTGCTCCGATGAACGTGCCAATGGACAGGATGGCGACAGTCAGGGACTTCTCCCAGGTCTGATATGCGTAGCCAGAAAAATCAATAGTCGAGGGACGTCCATAGTTGCGCTTGAAGCTATCCATGCCCAGCACGCCGGAGATGTAGCCGGAATCATAGCCAAAGAGGACGCCGCCAAAGGCAGTGAAGGCGCATATCGCGTACGCTTTCGCGGTGACGGGGGCTTCGACGCGTTGCCTCGAGGCCGACGACGCGATAGGTGTCAAATGGGGACGGCCGAGCGCACATGCCCCGGCAGTGAAATTGGCCATCGCTTCCTTCGGTATGTTCCCCAATCGGCTGTCCTCATTGCTCTCGAGGCGTCCGCTGTGGCATGCTGATGCTGATGCTGATGCAAAGCGGCGAAAGGGGCAGATGGGATACGGCAAGTCAGACGAAAGAAGTGAGAGCGTCGTCAGAGCAGGATAGCAGAGTAGCAGAGAGGAGTAAGACGTCGGAGAGTACACATCGTCACTCTCTCATTCTCACTCTCACTCAGAACTCGTCCACCATCATCATCAGCCTTCAAGCAGCCTGTTTCCGCGTGCCTTTGAGCGACGAACTATCCCAGGGCAGCCCCTGCGAGGCGAAAGTGCTTGGTACCTGCTTCTCGCACGGGGTTCCATGCATAACACGACAATGCCAGCATGCTCCGGAGACTAGCTGCCTTTCCTCTCGCCACGAATCACAGCGAGCCTACGCTCATATCACCCTCATATCCTCCTTTGCTATACCTTCTAGGAGCTACTCGCATCGTCACGTCGCCTCGGCTCGCGGACGAATAGGCCACGCCAGCCGTTCTGGGAACCCTTGGAAAGGGATCTTCTCGTCCGTGCGAGACTTTTTTCTGTTCCGGGAATGGCCTAGGTGGTACTTTCGCCTTTGTCCCTTGGGATACCAGTCACAAGGCCCTCAAGGGAAGAGTCCGAAGCTCTCTAGAGAGAGACAGAGACAGAGACAGAGGCGCTGCCCAGTGCGGAGACAACCAGGTTCACGATTGGCGCGCCTAGCAGTCTTCGAAGTCTTATATAAGCCGTAGTGTAGGACTGTACAAGACTACAAGTATACAAGTATACAAAGGGACGGGCGGCAAGGTATTCTTTGTCAACAACCTTGAAGCGTCCATCTGCCGTGACTCCGTTTGTGATATGTCTAGGAAGTACCTCCGTAATAAGTTCTTGATGAACTTCTTGTGTGCCCGACAAGCAATACTACCTAGGTAACTTGTGACTACTCTTATGTCATTGTCATCACAAAGCTTTTCCATTGCAGGAGACCCTTTAAACTTTGCCAGCTGTTAGGTACACACATCAGCGGGAGAGAAGAGGAGGGCCGTACTTGAAAAAGGTGAATGAACTTGTCCATCACACATTGCCGCCCCGTTCGATATTGGAAAAACACGCACCTGTGTAACATATGTTTGTCACCCAAACACCAGATGACGAGATTTTTTTGCGCAGCAGACACGTGCGCATGCAGCATGCCCAGCATCATGTCCACAAGGCTTCATCAAGCAATAGCGACGAACAAGCAGTCTTCTACTATCCAATCAAGAATGCATCTGCACGATACAGTATCTGCACCCGTCGCAAACGGGACATTAAAAACATTTGTCCGGAACATTTTTTATTGTTAATATTTCAAAAAGCTTGCATCCCTGAACCAACGGGGAAACCAACATGCATTATTTTACACAGGGGATCCATCTCTCTCTTTCTCTCTTTCCTTTTCTCCTTTTTCGTTTTACCGTTCCATGATTTCCATCATCACCATCTGGCATCATTTCCATCACATCATCACGGAGCACGGGGCACTGCTGACGGGTCACGGGTCATGGATGGCGTTGAGTGTAAATGTGGTACCTCCTAGTGCTACTCCTCCAAACATACCAATGCCTATGTAGGTGTGTAACTTTCCCCCCAAGGTACGAGTTGGGTACGACGTGTGAGGATATTGCTCCTCGAGACGGAATGCAGCACGAGAGCCTATGTAGATAGATGGAAAGCATTCTCATCCGCCAGATATTGGACGAGTCGTGAGATATTACCTACTACATATGTACTTTCCACGACCTGCAGAAGAATATGATTAAAAGTTGAAAACGAAATGTATAAGATTCAGCACGGGCAGCTATGTGCCCTTTGCTTTTTGCTTCATGCATAACATAAGCAAATCAACAGAAGAGTGACAAGACGGGGAGGATGCTTCTGCTTCTCCTGCTTCTCCTTCTTCTCCTTCTTCTTCTCCTTCTTCTTCTTCAGACGCGGTCCGTCACTTCTCATTATTGACAAGGACATCGTGGATAAGTTCAAAAAAACGCAATTTTGAATCCGCCCGGATGAGTCCGAGCGGCAGGATGGAGACTGTCCGGACTACCACCATCTCCCTGCTGCTGTACATCTGACATCTCATCACATTGTTTCATATCATCAGGCTGCTTCGGAACTAGGTAGAAGCTCAAGCATCTCACTACCATCGGTGCCTCCCAACGAGGCGGTATGATTGCCAACGCCTGAAGCTGAAGTATCCACAAACCTGGGCCAGTCTTTGCCACCAGTAGCAAGCACGCTCCACATATCGAGCTCTTTCGTAAACCACCGATCTTTCCTGGTCGTTGATCGCTGACTACCTTCCAATGCACTTCTCGCTGCCCGAGTCGTTCGGGCACGCTTCGCTCTCCGGCCCCCATCGGTATCCATCAGTCCCAGTCGCTCGCGCTGTTCTTCCAATGCCTGATCATACTGTACAATCGAGCGTACGTATGGTGCAAGGTCCATCGTGATCACACGGAAGGTACCATCGAACACCGACAGCTGTAACCCTGTATTCGTCACCGACACTTCGGCTGGCGAGGATATGGGATCAAAGCACGCGAATGCGCGTCGATTGAGCGGCTGCTCGCGACTCGCCTGTGCCCGCTTCGCGGGGATTCCACGGAGAATCCGATCACTCTGGACTGCTCTAGGGTTGACTGCATAAGTCTTCCAAGCGCCCAAAGTCATCGTTAGGAGAACATGCTTGCTGAAGTCGGAGTAGTCGATCATCTCGTCAGTTTGCAACACTTTCATTCCCTCAATGTAATGACCTCGCACCCTTTCGGGCATATCTGGTTGTGTGGAGTCGAAACAAGCCGAGTCGGGCAGACCGAGAGCTGTGCATGCATCTGCTGCGCTCAGCATGTCGGCAGTAGCTGCAAGCAAAGACAGGCCACGCAAGTTGCGCTTGGGGTCAACGAGAACTCCTGAGCTCTCTGATGATGGACGTCCATCGTTCTCATCGTCGGCTTTCCAGCCGAGTGCGCGGGAAGGCTCGACGCCAAAGTTGGTCCAGGCCCGCCACAAAGCATCTTCAGCTGAGGCATCAACGGCAGGGGTCACTCCCATGCCTTCCTGGTAGGTGTTTTCACTGACCACACGTACCGTGCGACCGAAGTGATCAGTGTCAGACCCGGGAGGCCATCGTTGATATATCCACCCAAGACCTTCCTTCGGGTCACCCACTCCCATTTGGCACCAGTAGTCAAGCTCAGTGATGCTGGCTCGTAAGTCACGGTCGTGGTGCTCATACAGACTCTTGACTGCGCCTCTTTTCAGCAGATGGCCCTCTGCTGCAGCGAGGAGCAACATGTAGTCTGTTGCCGTATCAACAGGCGGAGGTCGGAAGCGCAGGATGGCATGCAATGGGATTGTCTGGATAGCAACCAGATCCTCATCGTTGCAAGTCATGATAAAGGGCCTCTTCGAGGTCTCAATTAACTTCACAACGGTGGTCCAAAAGTCCTTGTCATCTTTAAACAAGATATCGACCTCCTCCAGAAGGATCAGCGATTGTTGCTGGTCCTTCTTCGGCTGGTTCAAGGCATCCTTGACGGCCTTCAATGTCTTAGCTTTTACCACTTCCGTTGGAACCGGCTTCTGCTTGGGCTTCGCCGCCGCTGTGGTGGACGGCTGGAAGAAAGCACTCATTTTGCCCTGCCTTCCGCTTTCGAGGTCTTTTTGAAAGGCTTCATCCATCCCCGTGGGCTCTTCGTTGCCGACGAACTCAGTAGCTGCCACTTCGGTGCCGTGATGCTTCACCAAATGATTCTCAGCCATGTCGCCAACCCGATCGAGCACGTCTTTGCCACTTCTGCGCTCACTCGAGCTGATCTCGAAGACCTTGAAACCGAGATCTTTGGCAATACCATAAGCTGCTGCAGTCTTGCCGCATCCGTTGGGGCCACTGAGCATGATCACGTTGCTGAGCTTCGTGCCGGCAGGAGCGACTTGGACAACGCTATTGTGGGACCTGCGAGACGCATGTGGACTTGCTGGCACAGAATCGCGAAGCTCACTCATCTCATAAATCTCCTCGTCGCTTTCCACCAAAAAGTCGTCCATCTCGTCAGCCTTCTTTTTCCGCTTCTTCTTCGGCTTATCTTTTGTTGCAACCATAGGTGTTGCTTTAGTCGCAGCTGCAGCGCCACCGACTGCCTGAATGGTGAGAGACTTCAGCCAATCCTTCAGCACAGCAATCTCACTCTCTGGCTGCAGCACATCAGCTGAAGTCAATGGGGCGTACTTCTGTGTCCAGGATGCAGCCTCCCCTCTGGACTGATCAAACGCTGTCATTATTGTCGGTATCCTATTGTAAAGCCTCTGCAGTGCAGGGTGAACCTGTTGCTGGGAAGGGCTAAAGGTCAATTCATCAGTGTTCTCATCAGCCATGGGAACAGATAATTGTGTGGAGATCCTGTATGCGATGTCCTGTCCTGACAGCAGCAATCGCTCGGGCACATTAAGCTGAGCGTGAGCTTCGTGGAAACCGTCTGGTCGTATGATGCAGTCTTTCTCTGGTTGTAGTTGTGCGCCAAACTGCGCTAACACCGACTCATTATCGACAAGCGGCAACCGGGCTTGTTTCTGCTTGCGTCGAACGAAGTGATCTGGACATGATCTCGCATCAACTGCCAGCGGAGCTGAGTCTGCAGCAAGTCCTCGCACATGCACCTGATCACGAGCTGGAAAAGGTGGGTCTTTCGCACCTGGATGTCTGATCATCAACCGATCTTTGTTCAACGTTGACACATATGATTGATGGTCTCGCGGATCATAACAACGATCGGCCAAGGCTTGCATCCTAAGCCTGCCAGGCGTGATGGCGGTCGACTTCCGCGAAGGCTCCTTCCTCGGGGGTGTATGGTCATCTTTGGGCTTTTCTAGCTTGAAGAAAGGATGTGGGGGTTTGTCTGGCTTTCTCGGCGTACTTTTCTTTGGTGTGACATTATTCGCCACAGTCCGCGACCTTGCCTCCTTCTTAGGCTTTTGTGCAGTAGCCTCAACCACAATTGGAATATGCTCCTCCCCTCCGAGCACGCGAGAGATTCTGTCTCCGATCGCAATCTTCGATAGAAAATCCGCGCCGTATTTGATAGTAACAACCAAGTGTCTATCGGCATGGACAGCGGCTGCTCTTCGTGGTCTTCCTCGTTTCGTCAACTGTTGTGTCGTTGGCTCTGCCAGTCTTGGCTTGTTTGTGGGAGGCGAGCCAAAAGTCCCATTCGCGTTGATACGCAGTAGCTTCTTAGGTGGAGCTCGGGGAGAAGGCGTCCTCGGCACCACCGCGTTGACATCCAGGTCTACGACTGCACCTGTGATCCTTTCATTTGCGGTGGGAGGCGAAGATCGCGGTATGATGACCTGCGGCGAGCTTCGGAGAGCCTCTGGGACTGTCCCACTTGCATCATTCGTCTCTCCAGTTCCAACATCAATCGACTCAAGCTCATTTGTTCGCCTTCGCTTGCTTCGGCAGTCATTCTGCTCTGGCTGAGCAACGCCCTCGTCCTGGATGGGGAGAACCTCCGTAGCAACGATACCGGGATGGATGACCTGGTTCAATGTCCTTTGGACCTTGCCCTTGCTCTCAGCATCTATCTTTTTCTGCTTGCGCTTACTATTCGTCCTTTTGGGCTTCTCGGTTGCGTCAATGGGCGGAGCGTCGGGTGCAAAGTTGAGATCCTCGTTACTGTGCTGATGTTCGTGGAGCTGTTCGTGGGACAGCTTCTTCGACTCTGCTCTCGTCAGCATGCTGTGCTCTCAACACAAGTACTTTGGTGGTGGGAGAGCACACCACTGGCGCGCTGGAAGAAGGGATGCACGCTCTTGCCATCTTCTGCGTTCATCACACGGAGCACTGCAATTTCTGCCATTCATAACCCGTGTTCATGGTTCATCGTAGCGTGCTGAAGGGAGGGTGAGGTGGTGGATGAAGGGGAGGTGGATAATGTATGGAGGATGTTAGCCAGGACCTGAAGCTGGTATGACGCGAAGACGCGCCTGATCTCGGACGCGTTGGCATCGAGGCGGGCACGTGATACACGCATATGATTTTTTAGCGGCGAATTAAGCGAACTGCTGGAAAAAGTTCCATTGCTATTGCTTCAAGCTGCCTTTTCACGAAGTGCACTCCAAGTCTTGCAACAAACATGTCGATCGAAGAACCATACACCATTGCTACTCTACCAAGACCGCTGGATCAGGAGCATGGCCGTATCCATCCAGCGACGGTGTCCAGCTTGAGTGGCTCACGGAAGAGAAAACGACATGAAATCGCCGTCGGCGTGGACGGCGAGGGCGTGAATATCTATAATGTATGCTGATCGGATTTCTGAGATGCTAGTCGTCGTAGCTAACAGTGGATGCAGGTCCAAACACAGAGCATCGTGAGCTCCTATGCGCTTCCTCCCCAGTCCTACTTGGCTGCACCTCCATGTTCGATATACTGCAAACGGGCAAAGCCTCTGCAATCGCAGCGGCATACATATCTCGCTATTCACACTCGATCCAACGACTCTCGGTCGAGACTTGTGGGCATTACAGAGGATCTAGGTAGACCGCTGATGGACTCACACGAACCACGAGCGCCGACCAAAAGAGAACGAAAGCTCCGCGACGGAAAGGTTGCAGGGTTGGACGTCGTCCCTGTGTCCGATGCCAAGGGTGGTATCGCCCCGGTGCTGATATCCTATGAGAATGGCAATGTGGATTGCATCTCTGGAGATTTGTCAGGGACGCGATGGGAGCACTCATCGACAGATGGAGGCTTGGTTGAGTATGCAGCAGTGGTGGATCTGGATACTGCACGAAGAGGCCTGCTCAAGAATCGCGAAGACGTGCTTGCGCTTCTGGGTCCTCATGTGTCCGACAGCGCAAATGGGAATGCTCCTTTGCTGTGCCAGGTCATTCGCATTCCGCAGCAGGCGTCTTCACAACTGAGGGTATATGCCCTGCGAGACGTCGGCACAACCACTTTACAAGGACAGCGATCGAAACTCGATCTTGTCTTAAGCTACGATGTGCCCGCGAAACACGGCGATGGAAGGTCGGTCTACGAACTGCATGCAAGCTCTGGTATGCTCTACCAGTGTGTGGGCCAACGTGTGGCCATCTTCGATGTATCCGGCACCACGCCGCGACTGTCATTCGAGAGTGGCAGAAAGTCTGGGCAGGTGCAAAGCTTCTCTCGTCTCTCTGCCGGTGCCGTTATCGTGGTATCGCAAGGTCGACTAGCAGTCTACGATACCAAGTTTGGCTCGATCCTAGGCGCGCTGACTCTGCCTCACGATCAGACGACAGCTCAGAATCAGCCAACGCCCGCGCTACTCAATCACTTCACGGATCTGGGTATTCTCGTTGCTCTGGACGGCATGAAGCTGATTGCATTCCAGCTCGGCGAAGCCATCGAAGATGTGAAACGGTCAAGAGCGCAAGGTGCGTTGCTGTCTGATGTGATTGGTAAGGGAAAGTTCACCAACGAGGCTCAACACCTTGATATCTACAGCCGAAGGGACAAAAAGCAGAAGAAGTGGGAAGAGTGGAAAGCCAAAGTCGACACAATCGCGCAACAACATGACACTCGTGCCCTAGAACGACGAGTCGCCCAGGACATCCATGTCGCGAACGATGACAAGCATGAAGAGACAGAGACGCTGGCCAATGGTGTTACAAACGGAGCTGAGGGTGCGTATGTTGAATGGGACCTGCTACCGCAACACTTCGACTCTCCGTACGTGGATCGCAGGAAAGCCGTCTATGTGCTTGGAAAGATGTTTGCATGGAGATCGAAAACGAGCGGCTTCATCCTTGGGCAAAGACACCTTGAGCTAGTCTTGCCGTCCCGCAACATCTTACGATGGCTCGCCCTCGCTGGCTACCTCACCGCCACAGAAGTGGAACACGCTCTGCCGCAGGCCGTGGAAGGGTTTGCATCAAGACCTTACATTGCACCTGGCGACATCATCCGAGCCGTCAGCGAAGCAGATCCCAGCTTCGTCCTGCTCCATAGCCTGCTGGCACTGCCAGCCTACTGGGAGCTCCCTGAGGTCGTTCAAGCCCTTCAAGTGTTGATCGCATCGTTCGATGATCAGCTCGATTCTGAAAGAGAGACCCAGCAATTCCTCACAAACGGAGACGTAGACATGGTCGACGACGACAGATCTGAAGCCAAGATCGAAGCGGAAGAAGCTGCCGCTTTCGCAGAAGTGGAGCGAGTTACCAACTTCCTGGAAGCCGGCGTATCTACTCGCAGCGCCGCTTTTCGAAAATGTCTGGATCGCCTGCAGGAATTTCCTCAGAAGAACGTCACAAAGGTAATGCGAGCTCAAATGTCCCAAGACGACATCATTTACTTCATCCACATCATGCGCCTAGAGCTCGCCAATGGCGGCTGGACTCGTCCCTATGCCGGACAAGTCGAAGAGGAACTGTCCTCTGACTTCACCTCTCTCGGTGAAGCTCAAGATTTGCACCCCAGCAACCAGGCGATTCGCACCATCGCGAACCTTCTCAGCTGCTCCGTGGATGCCATTGGGCTCAGCGGTTGGCTCATTGGCCAAAGTGGCAATAGTTGGTCGACGGAAGACCTCATCGAGAGCATGGTCAACGAGACTAGTGCAGTCGTGGAAGGCATTTACCACTTGGAAAGCTTGGAGACGTTTCTGAGGGAAGTGGAGAAGACGGGGGCAAGTATTGATCTGAAGCAGAGCACTGAGCGGAAGAGGAAACACGAGGAGATGGAGTGGACGCCTGAAACGGCGCTGATGCCTCTTGGTGGAAGAATTGAGCCTCCGTTGTTGAGTGGCAAGAAGTCGAAGGCGGTCACAGCGGAGCAGAAGAGTCGGGGGGTGGGGAAGTATAGCTTTGAGAGGATTAGGATTTGAGCCGCGATCTGAAAGGATACATTGTCGGCAGTCCCAAAGTGTCTTTGGAGGGGGTTCTATTGAAGGTTTCTTGTATCCTCGCGTGTATAAGTCGCTTGCCTGTTCCCGGTCTGCGGAAGGCCGTTGCAGTGAGTACGAAGTCCGGTCAGTCACCGCCTGAGGAGGTAGGCAGAGAGGCGGGTGGAGTTCGAATAAGCTTTGCTCCTCCCCAACTTCTGCGCTTCCTCCTCGTTGTTCACTTGGTTTTGGTACACCTCCGCTAAACACTTCTTTTCTGTGTCACTCCTGTCATGGCACTCCCACGACACCTGTCCCGAGCGCCACCGCATACAACAGCACCGCCACCTCACCCGAGGGCCATGGGTCACGTGCAGTAGCGAAATGGCGGCCGAGTGTGCCAGTGCATCCGAACATCCAGACGACATGCCGGTTGGCGCCTTGGCTGCGGACGCGGCATGCAGACTACGGCGACATCGACATCATCCCGGCGTTTTTGCTGCACACCCAACCAATCCATCCATCGCGACTAATCTTCCACGTGCCTGTATGCAGCATGGTCGTGGGCTGCGGCCTGCAGGAACCAAGTTCTCATCGATATGCAAGACGCGAGTGCTCAGGCGGAACCCGGTAACTGCAGGCAAGCGGACTGATGGCAGCACGAGCGAGCCATGGGATGCCGTGTATACAGTAGCGGGATATAAAGACGGCGTGATGTCTGGGACTCGCGAGAGAGGCTGGTTCCTCTTCGTGTTGCTCTCTTCTCTGGCGGCTGTTCTGCGGGCTGGTATTGACCTGGAAGGCTTGATATCCTGCTTCATTCGTCGCAGCATTATTGTGTCAGGGACGGAGTGACCACACCTTCGCCCACGAACACTTCAAGCACCATGCCATCCTCACTCAAGCTCGCAGCTGTCACCTTAGCCATTGGTCTCACAGCTGCAGCTCCCGCTCCAGTAAAGAGACAGGACAACGGATTTTGGAGTGCCGGAAAGTACGAGGGAGCAGGAACTTCTTACAATGATGGCAAATGGTCGCCAGGCCAATATCCAGGCTCCGAGCAGCCAGTCACACCCCACCCGTATCGTGGACACGCAAAGAGCCAGCCAGAGAAGAGCTTGAACGTACAAGTGGGACCACGTCCCTACTTTTTGGTAGATAACATGGATGATGGGCCTTTGAAGGAGAAGCTCGAGAGCTGCTCTGAAGGACCATTCGAGACTACTAGCTTTTCGATCTCGCATCGTGGTGCGCCATTACAGTTCCCGGAGCACTCTAAGGAGGGCTACGAAGCCGCCATCAGAATGGGAGCAGGTATCGTCGAATGCGACGTCTCCTTCACCAGTGATCGCGAACTCGTCTGCCGCCACTCCAACTGCGATCTCCATTATACGACCAACATCCTCGCAGTACCTGAGCTCGCCGCCAAGTGCTCCGAACCTTTCGTCCCTTACAACAACGAAACAGGCGAACTAGCCTCAGCAAAATGCTGCACGAGCGATATCACCCTCAAAGAGTTCAAGTCTCTCTGCGCAGAAATGGAAGGTGGAACTTTCAACGCGATGAACACCACCCAATACAACGGTCGTCTCGGCCAAACACCCGATTGGCGCACAAACTTGTACGCCTACGCCTGTGCGGAACCCTTATCCTTGAAAGAGCAAATATCCCTTGTAGACTCCTACGGGCTGAATTTCACCGCCGAGGCCAAAACGCCTGAGGTCCCCCTACCATTCGACGGAAACTACACTCAAGAACTTTTCGCCCAACAAATCGTCGACACCTTTGACGAAGCGAACATCGACCCCAGTCGTGTGTGGCTACAAAGTTTCCTCCCAGCTGATATCTTTTATTGGATCGACAACGCTCCTGAGTATGGTTTACAAGCTGTATATCTCGACGAACGCGCCGATCTCAACGCCACGGGGTACGACGAGGCAGTAGCTTCTCTGCCCGGCCTTGCAGCACGAGGAGTCAAAATCATCGCGCCTTCGATTTGGCAGCTCGTGACTGCCGATAACGAAACTCAGGAAGTGATTCCGTCGACTTACGCGCTCGCTGCCCAAGAGGCTGGACTGGATATCATTACGTGGTCGTTTGAACGTACGGGTCCGCTGGAGGATGGCGGGGGCTATTATTATAGCAGCGTCAGTAATTTGATCAACAATGATGGCGACGAGTTGACCGTGCTTGATGTGATTGTCCAGAAGGTCAAGGCGATTAGGATCTTCGCTGATTGGCCTGGAACTGTGACGTACTATGCCAATTGCTTCGGGCTGAAGTAGTAGTAGTAGTAGTGAGAGACGACAGACGAAATCGACGGGAACGATGCTGAATGTGAGTGATCAGATCACGAGAAACGAGACATTTCTGTATAGTTGACAACCGAGCACGGCACGCGAAGATCGATCGCAGAGGATTGTTTGCAGGTCCCTACCTACTTACAAGAAAGACCTTTCCTCATTCTTTGCCTGCACTGCCAAGAGTTATTATGCATACTTAGATGCTGCATGTCGCCGACATGCGTCTAACATTTGCCATTTCGCCGTGAGCCGCAGCACCCCGTCCGAACCATCACATACTAAGGCACTACTGTACTACTACACTGCACCTATCCTAAGCCTATCCTATCCTCTCCACTTTCTCACGCGCAAGCCGGAACACAGCCAACTTCGGCTGGCTCTCACTCTCTACCACGTTGTATAGATTACAGGAATTTTTAGCTGTGCATCCCTAGACTAAGGTATCGTCTCTGTCTCTCCCACATATACACTTCGCACATCCTTCACACACAGAGCCTTTTAGAAAGTACAGTTTTGCTTTTCTTTTCCTACCTTTCTTTTTGGCTAACTCAATCTATCTATCTGTTCAGTCCGCGGGTCTCAACGTCGTTGTCGTCCTCGTTGTCGTCCTTGACCAGGCGGATCGAAAAAGTCTCTTTCTCTCCCTATCTATCACCGTCGATCGGGATCGGAAGAATAGGGGGGTGGGGAGCTCGGGAAGATCGGGAGAGAGAAAAAGAGGAGCAATAATTGGGTCGGCATCTACTTATCTCCTCAGTGACTTGGCCGATTTTCGTGGTGGGCTACGTGGGCCGATAGGTGTATACCTATGTATGTTCGCCTTATTTTGCTGTGTGTAGTTTGTGTCGTTTGTGTAATAGTGTTGTAGAAGTGACGTTGGTCTACGGCGGGGTTTTTTTTTCTTGTACTCGCCGTGGAAAGTTGGCTATGTCTTGGCTAGGTACCTAGCTAGTTATCACTGTGGAGGACACTACCTGGGTACAGTACCTACCTTACCTAGGATATGATAGCGGATGTTGCGTAGCTAGCATCGTTTTCGGAGGAGGAAACGAGACGAGATGAGATTCGCTGTAAGTATACCTAGGTAGAGAGAGAGATCGATCATCATATCAACAGTCCGAGTGATAATAAAGTCTCAGGTATATAGGTAGTCAAAAAAACCTCATCTAATGAGATCGACTCGCTTTCGCGAGGGCATACAGATGTAGTAAACTACAAGTCGATTCATATCTTGCACTTACACGGACAGATTGTGGAGAGCACCGCAGCAGCCAAGAAGTTCATTCAGACCGTCGAACAAACGAGTATACACTATATGTGTACTAGTGAGGCACCTTCTACACAGTAGGTAGTCAGTCGTTCGGTAATCCGTCCATATCCCTCGAAATCTTACGCAATAAGAGACAAGACTAGAAGGTAGGAGGTAGTTTCTACTTTCTTGGCTTAAATCTAGAACATCTACTACCTCCTAGCATCACCGTACCTCTATAGCAGTAGGCAGGTATAATGCTCTAGAAATTCATTTTTTTTTGTATATATATGCCGAGGTTAGTGCACCCTAAACCTAAAAAGCGGAATTTAGGTGTTTCGCGGAATTCAGTCCGGAAACGACTCGAGAAAACTTTCGTCAGCTTAGTAAGGTAGTCGGCAACTGGCCTACTGGGTTATTTGCCGCTGACTAAGTTTACATCCGATCCCCTTCCAGGCTTCCCCCATTCCACCCCCATCCCTCTCCCCAGATCTCGTCCAAAGGCAAATAAAGGAGCAGCACGGGACTCGTTGTCAAGCATTATGGGAAATCTTTCGGTATTGCTCTGAGTCCCTACAGAGAAAAGTGCGGTGGATTGTTCCAACAAACCACAAAGAACAACACTGGAAAGCCTATCAACATCCGAGCCGAAAGGAACAAAGAGACGAGAGCGCCACACACACCGAACACACACTGACTCGACTACTAGTAAACGGGGGGCTTGACTCCACCTGGGATGCATCCCTAGACTATCACGAAATACCCCGCCTTGTACACGACCCCGTAGTTCTACCCCTCTCCACCCAGTAGGAGTTGGGAGTATCAGGCCGTAGTGGTATACCGTCATTACCAGCCAAAACATCTGCCTATATCCACAGCCGGGCGAGTCTCCGCCACTCCTCTCAGCCGCGCCGAAAAGCCTCATTCATCGGGAGGAGGTAACACACACACTGATGGATTGGATCGGTCCAGATGACTTCTTGTCTCTCTCTCTGTCCTCCCCATCCTCCTCCTCCGCCTCCTCCTCCTCAGGAAGGGCCAGCTCGATCCGGAATGGTGGACCAAACATACACTAGAGATTGCTAGCTTAGCCCTGGAGAGCTTTCTTTTGAATGCGAGCTCACATGTGCTGCGGCTTCCTGGCCCTGTCGACCCTTGCTAGAGTTCTCCACGAAGCGGAGCAGACCAGTGCACTTTATTATTAAAGGAGAAGCAAGCTGCTGCTCGTGGTGTGATTATATATCAGACCCAGAGCACCGTCTCTTTGTTCTTCCTCCTACTCCTCGTTCCCTCCTCCTTCTGATCTTCTTCTTCCATTGATTGCCTTCTTCTCCCCACCCATCATTCACTGGTGCCATCTCATTGTTTATAAGAAGATTGTCTGTCTGTCTATCTATCGGGCGAGAATCCAAAGGCAAAGATGACGTCCACACAAGCGATCGTGTGTCACGACACATACGCAAACAAAGGATGGAAGCTGGAGGATATCAAGGTTAGAGAACCGCAAGAAGGCGAGCTTCTCGTGGAAATGGTCGCTTCTGGTGTTTGCCATACAGATGTATTGATCGGTGGTCTTGCCAATGATGGAAACCCCATGGCCATGTACCCGCGTGTGCTGGGTCACGAAGGTGGGTAGTCCTTTCGATTCTTCTCCGCTGCTCGAAATGTCGTATAGTTTCAAGAAGAAGAAGAACAATAGGGAAAGAAGAGCAAAGCTGACCATGATATCACCCCCCAACACAGGCTCTGGCTACGTTCGAAAAGTCGGACCAGGCGTCACCGTCGCAGCCGAAGGCGATCCCGTCCTCCTCTCCTTCGCCTTCTGCGATAAGTGTGAAATCTGCAAAACCGGCGGCCACTCCCACTGCGATCACTTCACCCCCCTCAACTTCGGCCCCCACACCGCCTTCCACGCCGCCGAGGGCAAAGAGTCGTCAGGAGGAGGATCCGAAATCCTCGGACAATTCTTCGGCCAATCCTCCTTCGCCAACTTCTCCATTGTGAAATCCTCCTCCGTCGTCAACGTCAAAGGCCTCGTGACAGAAAAACGCGACTTGCAACTCTTCTCCCCGCTCGGCTGCGGTATTCAAACGGGCAGTGGAACCGTCGTGAACGTCTCCGGTGCAGGACCCAACGATGCACTGTGTGTCATGGGACTCGGAGGTGTCGGACTGTCGGCCATCATGGGCGCGAAGATCCAAGGCTGCAGAATGATTATCGGAGTGGACCGAGTCGAATCACGACTGAAGCTGGCCAAGGAATTGGGTGCGACACATGTGATTGACGGGTCAAAGTTGGATGAGGGAAAGACGTTGGGAGATGTGATCAAGGAACTTGCGGATGGAGTGGGACCGTCGATTACGATTGACACGACGGGAGCGCCCGTGTTGATGGATGCGGGAATGCAGTTTACGAGGAATCGGGGCAAGTATATTCAAGTGGGATCTCCGCCATTTGATTACACTTTGAACAGTGTGCAAGGCTTTGCGTTCATGGTGGCCGGGAAACAGTGGATTGGAGCGGTCGAAGGTGGTGCCTACCCACCCAAGTATGTGCCGCAGATGATTCAGTGGTATCGGGAAGGGAAATTCCCCATTGATAAGTTGATGAAGTTGATGCCTGCCGATCAATTCGATCAGGCTCTGCATGAGATGCACTCGGGAGTAAGTCCTTTCTTCAATCGTCCTTGCGTGTCATATGCAATTTGCTAACTCACGTTTCACAGGAGACCATCAAGCCCATTCTGACATGGTAGCGTGTCATGGTAGATAGCACCTTTATATCCGTTCTAGCTGTATCACTGTTTATACGAATGTGAACACTTACTCCACACTGCTCCAGCTGGGATCTAATAATCGGTATCCATGTTGGAATTGGCAATATAGCTCGATGAGCAGCAATGGGCCTCCACATGCGATAAGAGCCCCGGAAAGTTGCTACCATTATAGAGAAAATTGCCGTGAACTTTCTGCTAGAGAGGAGACTATGACCATGTCAGCTCCGACAGAGTAGTCATGGCTTAGAATTCGTGAAGCTACATCGTTGTTCTCTGCCGCCCGGAGGCCAGTCACGTACTGGACTTTACCGTTCTGGCAAGCATCTTCACATGCTCACCACACATGGCCCGGACCGACCACTACATCCTCTGCCATTTCAGTCCAAGACGAGGAGCCATCCTGGCGCTCCAAGTGTCGTGTTCGGTCTCGCACTCTGCTAGGATGAGGCGTTTCTACTCTCATCTTCTGCAAACTTGACAGCCGGAGCAAAGTCCCTCTTGGCATAATCAAAGTATTCCTTCCACACACGAGATTCTTGTCCAATACCCTCTCCGAAAGCCTTGTTAAAAGCCACGCTCACCTTGACAACAGCCTTCTGTTGCTCTGTGATCTTCTCAAGTTCCTGCTTGACAGCATTCTCCTTGGGCTTGAACGAGAGGACTGCACGAAACTGTGCAGCCAGAGAGTCTAAGCGACGAGCGCTCTCATGCGGAGCAATAGTGAGCAATTTGCCAAGCACGAGGCAGCAGAGGATTCGAATCTCGTGCTCGTCGACCACACCGGCAACGATACGCTCGTAGTAAGCTGAAATGTCGAGACGCTCGCGAGAAGCTGGAGAGTCCAGCAAAGCGTAAAGTGTCTCGTACGCAGACTTGCGTATCTCCAGGCCATCATCGATCTTGTGCTTGAAAGGTCCCATCGAAACCTCGCGAATCAGCTCTGGACGGATTACTGAGGCCTGGATGGCGTATGGGAGCAGTTCACCAAGATGAGGAAGGACCAGGGCAGGCTTATTGTGCAGGGCGGAATTGAAAGTTGTCAGCGACAACCGTTGATTGTCGAGATCGGTGTCTCGCAACATAGTCGACAGCAGAGGAATGATTGTTGCCTGCAGGTGAGGGTTGTAGCTAGGCTCTGTGTCAGAGAAAACGTAGCGTAATGCGGCAATGACCATACCCCGAACGGTTGAGTTGGGGTTCTGCAGGAAGGTATGAAGCTGGGGCAGATACGCAGTTGGATCGATAATGGCTAAGCGTCCAACGCACTCTGCGCCAACGACTTTGTTGTCCTCGGCTTGACCAGAATTGATGATGTTCTCCCACAGACTCTTCGTGTATGGTCGTATCTCATCTTCTGCAGTGCTGTGCTGTAAAAGCTCCTTGACTGAGTGGAGCAAGAGGTACTGTCGACCCTGTGCCATACCATCAAGGATCTTGGGTAGGTAACTTTTCACGTTGCCAGCTCCAGCGCGGCCAAGTGCTACAGCAGCGGCTAGCTTCACTTTCTCGGACTGATCTGCAAAGTATGGAGTGAAGGACTCGGGTTTGAGAGCGGATTGGGTGCTTTGACGCAGGCCAGCCTCTCCAAGAACAGACAGAGCGAGACATCTCTTCGCCTCATCAGTCTGGGTCCGTAGCTCCTGAATGAAGGAATCGAGCTTGACGCCCACGCTATCGCCGCCTGAAACCAACAAAGTGCCAATTACTTGACCAGTGACATCGGTATCTCCAGCAGGTGCGATGTCGAGTAATGCGGTCATGAGTTGACGCCCTACACCAGCTTCCCCAATGGACTCGACACAAGCGATGAGAGCGTCGAGAGCAGACCCCGACAGCGGCGAGCGAACGATGCTGCAGATGCCGGCGATGACAGCATCTGTAGCGACAGCCTCCGGCCGTCCCTTGGTAAAGGAGGCCAGGACGATCAAAGCCGGACCAATCATGTGCAGATCGCCTGACATGAGAAGGGGAATGAACATATCGATGAGCTTTACCACTATCGCGTCATCGACAATGCTCTCTCTAGAAGCTTGGTTGACAGCGAGCATGCGGAGGGCGCTGAGACTGGCCCCTCGCAGGGAACGACTTGACTTGCGAAGTTGAGCACCCAGCTCGAGTGCCACGGCACCCACGAATCCAGGCTTGAAATCCGTGGGCGATTGAGCCAGCACTGCCATCGTGTCTATCGCGCGGACGCATGTCAAGCGCGTAAGCTCATTCTTCATGCGCTCTGCGATGATTTCTTGACCAGCGAAACGGTCCTTTTCTGATAGTAGAGCTGTTGCGGCGCCACTCGTACGACCAATCAGCAAGCCAAGCGCCTGAACGGCCTTCTGACGCACTTCAGTATCGGACTCTGGCGCAGTGATACGGTTGGTGATGATTCCAAACAGTTTGGTCAACACATCACCATTGTTCGCCAAAGACGATCGTGGTGGGGTAAGAGCCTTGATGTAGGCCTCTATCGTTGTGAATGCCTCCCCCGAGACCTTGGCGAGGCGGTCCGTTGCAGATTTGATGACAGCCGGAATGATGATATCAAGATGCGGTTGGATCACTTTGGTGGGGTGAGTCTCAGCAATAGCTCGGAGCAACACCAGAGCCTCAATCCTGACGGCATTGTTGGAAAGGTTCGAGCCTGAGGAGGCGGCGGTGTTGATGATGTCCACTACGGGAGCAATGACAAGATCTGCACTATCCGAAAGGCCTCCATGCTGTGCTATTACCATGTCTTTCAGCAGGGAAATAAGCGCCTGCTTCGTGGCAGGAGTCGAAGATTTGAACAGCTTTGATGCGCCCTTGACGATCTGCGGATATATGTCAGCTCATCACATACTGGAATTTCTCTCTCTTAGACACGCCCAAAAGAAGGGAGTCGTCGATATTGAGGAGAGTAGCAGAGAGGCACTTACTTCAGGGTTAATCTTAGCCAAACTTTTCGTCGCATCTGTGGGTGCTAGTGTTGACGGCGAGGCGTAGCCGTTCATCAGTGCCTGCTGAGTTTCCAAATCGGAGCCGAGGGAATCCGAGAAGCCTCGCCTCCGCTTCCTGCTTAATGAGGTTGAGTCTGGCGTGGAAGGTGCGGCGGAGGCGCCGGTCTTCGTGATGAGAAAGGCCAGAGTTTTGATCACTTCTGTCCGAACGCTCTCCTCTCGCTCCTTGAAGCGGTTGATGAGCGCCGGCGCAATTTGACCGTAGATCGAAGGCTCCTTCGGGTCGAGCATACCAATCAGCGCATACAGTGTCTTTGCCGAGTCGCGTCGGACCTTCCAGCTCACGTCGTCCTCGTCTTCAAAGCCAGCCTCTTCCTCGAAGTCCTCATCCGCATCGAAGTCGTCGGCTGTCTCTTCTTCCTCCTCGTCCATGTCCTCGTCGTCATCATCTAGCACGTTCGGCTCATACTTGAGAAAACGCGTCGCTGCTTCTGCGACGTCTTTTGTGTAGGGGCGCATGTCTGCCGGGCAGGATTCAAGGAAGGCTGCAATGGCGACTAGAGCAGACTCGCGCACTTCCTCCAATTGTACATCTCGCTCTCCATCTGATTCAGCTTCAGCTTCGCGCTGCTGTTCTAGCTCTTCCTGGCTCAAAGGGGCAAGCACAAACGGAGCGAGTGTCCTTAGATATGGACCAAACTGCTTCGGTATGCTGCGCGCCAAGCTGCCATACACGTTGATGAACAGTCTTCGCTGTTGGCTTGTGAGATGGGACTGTCGGAGCTGCTCGATAGTGTAGCTGATGTGATTCGCAAGGAGTCGGTCGTCGAAGTATGGGGCCAGAGCAGACAGCGCCGCGACTGCCTTCTTCTTCATCACGGTACCGCACTTTTCGCTTTCAACAATGGACATGGTCACTTGTTCAAGCGCCTCCACTTCCACCATTTGTAGCATCGGCCCAAAGTTTACCGCAACAGCGTGGAGAAGGTCGAGACTGTTGGAGTCATTGCCAGTCTCCAGGTCATACTGCAACATGCCCTTAGGAGGCGGCGGTCCTGGCTTGGGCAAAGGGATGACCACACGGCCAACAAGACGCGGTATCAGCGCCTTGCTGACCGCGTTGTAAGCCTCGTTGACCTTCTGGCTTCGTGGCAGGCCCGGTGATGGGTGGGGAAGGGCAACCACGATGGCTCGAACAGCGATTGCCGGGATGGAATTGTCTATGGAGTTGTCCGTCTTGATGTTGCTGACCTTCTCAATCGTCGGGCATAATATGGGCTCTGGTACCTTGTTTACAAATGGGCCCAGCACCTTGATGGCCATATTTTGTACCTCTCCGTGACTGTCATTCAGCGTATGCAGCAGACCCTCCACTACCTTGGCGCATGTGTTATAATCGTGCTGGAGGAAGGTCTGGTGGCCATTGATCAACATCTGATTCAGGTCGTTGAGGGTCATATAGCGGATATCGCTGTCGGCGTCCTGTAGTTTGCTGAGGAGGGAGGCGACATTGTGGGAGGTGGGGTTCTGGGGGACGGTGTTGCTCGCCATGTCGGCGGCGGACGGTGATGTAGGGTCGTCCGCTGTCTGATCGCAGTTTTCTTCGTTGTATGTGACAGGCTGGAGTGCTGTGGTACTAAGGCAAGTACGTGGTCAGGTAAGGTATTAAGGTAGACAATCGAGCCTGGCCACGTGAGAGCAAACAGAGAGATGGTGCCTAGGTGGAAGTACCTAGACGTTGCCCAGTGTGGTTGTTTAGGTAAGGTAGAGCTAAGAACCGTCACATACGCTGCCCCGCCACGGCACAGGCACTACCGACCCGACCCGCCTTGCCGCCATGCAGGGATTAAAAGTGCAGTGAGTTCGAGAAGCTTGGCGGAAGCTCTCTTTCACTTTGTCGACACAAACGAGCAAGCTGTTCCTGGTCGCGTCAACCTCCTCCCGAAGGAAAGGCTGATTCCACCTCATCGGCAGCGACATGAAACGACAAAGGCCCATCCCTACTGCTGCCCCGACACAAGCAGAAGCAGACGCGCCTTCGCCTGCAGCCACCACCATGTCGGTCAAACGCCAGAAGACATCGCACGCCGCCTTCGCAGCTTCGCAGCCATTGTTCGACACGCTGCGGAATGCGCGAGACCGACTGCCCGACCAGGGCATGTACATCACCGTTGCCACCAACGTTGTCCAGCAGCTCCACGTCGGCCTGAAAATCGAGGACGGCAAGAATGACGTCGAACGACACGCGAGATACATGGACGCCATTGTGGAGGCTTGGAGGTGTGCGACGGACATGTACTGCGGTATTTTCTCGCAGTTGGCCACTATCACGGCTGAGAAGCCTGAGGAGGGTCGTGGCGCGGCTGCCTCGCACGCCGAGTTCAAGATGATGCTGGAGAGTGCACAGGGAGCACAGAAGCTTGCACAGGATTACAGACTGGCGCGAGAGAAACCCGACCTCCCGGTGGTGGAGAATGAGGTCAAGGTCAACCTCAAGCCAGAGCTTGAGCCAGCCGTGACGAGTGAGAAGGAAGAGCCAAAGTCTTCTTCTGTATTCCCACCTTCGCAGCCTACCCCTACGCCCGCCTCGAAGAAGAATAAGAAGGGTGATGCCAACACCAAGTACGACAAATCGGGCGCTATGCTGCTCTGGGAAGATGGCGAGCTCCAGGTCCCATTTTCGGTGTTGAGTACGTTAGAGAAGAAGGAGTACGCTATCGTTCGTGCGAGAACGCAACGGTCAAAGCAAAAGAAGAAGGTCGCTGGCATCAGGAACAAGGATCAAAATGTCAATGGCACAACAAAGCACAGTGCAGAAAGCTCAACTAGTCATCCGGCTGAAGCTACTGGAGCAAAGACCAACACAGTCCCGGAAGTCGAATTCGAAGATGCAGACGCAGTGGCAGCTGAAGTCGCCTTACGTATGAAAGCAAAAGAGGACGCCAAACGCGCGAAGAAAGCAGAGAAGAAGCGCAAGCGTGAGAGCGGGGACAGCTTCGTGCATGGTGACGAGGCTGTGGGCCATGACCCAGCGGCCATTGCCGAGAGGCCGAAGAAGAAGAAAGCCAAGAAGTCTGATTCTGCAGCTGAGGCTGCTGTTCCAGAAAACGGCACTGGCTCTGCGAAGCGCAAGGTCAGCGTCGAAGATGCTGCAAATTCAATTGGACCTGCGAAAGATGGAGCTGAAAAGCGAGTTACGAAGAAGCAGAAGAAATCGAAGAAGACCAGCGAGTGATTCTCAGAAGGTGTGCCAGAGGGCCAGAGACGTTGTTGGACAAGGGATGTCTGAGCATGGAGGAAGACATTGCTGACAGTACAAGTATGATCGACTTCGCAATGGTGAGCTACTTGCTCATAACCTAGCTTATATATACAAAGCGTGGCGTTTGAGCGTGTGCAGATGAACGAGCGAAGAGATACCCCTTGTTGCAAGCTTCGAGATTTTTGCGCGTATGTAAAAACATGAATTCAACTGTCCGTTGAAGTGAAGCCCTCCCTCCCGCGTTCTCTCTCTCTCTCTCTCTCTCTCTCTCTCTCTCTCACCCTCCAAGGACAGAGGCAATAACCCTATTTTATATCACAGCAAATACACCTAATCTTGAGGTTTGCAGAAGCTTGTAACTCGATTGCAGAAAGAGAGAGAGAGAGAGAGAGAGAGAATAATCCATGTGTATCCTTCATTTTATGTAACCTCTAATGTACGTCGTTGTGCATCTACTTTTCCCCCCAGTCATAGCTGCTTCGAAAAACACCACGAACACCAGAGAAAGAAACGAATCCACCATGAGGGACCTTACTCGTCGTCATCTTCCCCATCACCGCCACCAGCTTTTTTATCCTCAAGTTTCTGCGCATACTCTCTCGCCAAAACCGTGACTCTCTCTGCCTGACTACCGCCGGTTTTCTTGCTACCCTTTTTGCTCGTGCCAGCAGCATACTGCGCAGCACCCTCTTTATTCTCAAAGTCCAGCCACTTCTTGAACACAAATTTGGCCCTCCTCTTCTTCATGGGAAGTTTCACAATCCTCTCAAACAGCTCTCGAGTCTTTTCGACAGCTTCCATCTTGGCGTCATCGGATGATTGCGTCGAGATGCGTGACCGTTCAATATCGACCCACATGTCCCAACCGGAACTCCACTTGGACCACTCACTCATGAGCCCTTCAAAGATGGTACGTCCACGTTCAGCGTCTCCATTCACAGAACGGAACTCAAGGGCCGCGAACTTGGCAGTGAGCAGACGGTGCTCATTCGTCGGAACACTGTGCAGAGCCTTGGTGAGGAGCGCGCGAGCTCGATCGGCGTTTCCGAGAGTCTCCAGGAGGAATGTCGCATAGTTGAGCCACACTTCAGGACTCGCTCGGAACGTTTTATTGGCAATCATGCGTTCAAAGATCCCATCTGCCTTGGCATGTCTCCCGCTGTCGATGTATATAGAAGCGAGCTTCTCATGCATCTCAAGTGGATCTTGGACTTGTACTGCATTCTTGAATGCCTCTTCCACGCCATCATCATCGCCATACTCGACTTCGAGGTTCAGCAACGCAATCCAGATGTTCAGCTTTTCGTCGCTCTCGCGGATGTTGATGGTTCGGAGAGCTCGTTCGGCGATATTACGAGCTTGTTGGATCTCGCTGAGGCGGAGTTGGAAGGCCATGTATTGGATCCACAGGCCAGAGTTGTTGGGTTGTCCCAGGAGTTGTCGTTCGAAATCGCTGTTGCTTTGGGGACCATTTTTGTCGAGGTCACCGGTGAGGTCTTCTTTGATTTCTGACTTGCGCTTCTTTTTCTTCGTAGTTACTGTTTCTGGTTCGGATTCGTATGCTGCACCGTTGGTGCCGGCGTCGAGATCTTCCCCCTCCCAGTTGAAGCCGCTTGTCTTGAGACCGCCAGAAGCTTTTGCTGGCTCGTCATCAACGTCCATCATATCCTCAACATCGGCTTCACTGTCTGCATCTTGCACGTCTCGGTCAATCTCAACGCCACCATCTGAATCGTTGCTGAGTTCGACACCGCCATCCATATCAACGTCCTCATCTTCACTATCCTCATCTTCATCATCGCCATCATCAGTCTCATTGGCAAAGTAGCTGGCTTTAAGACCAAGGCTGATCTTCCGATTCTCGACGTCAACCTTCAATACCTTTGCTTTCACAACATCGCCAGCACTGTACAACTTTCGGACATCCTCGGTACGTCTCGCAGCGACCTCACTCCTATGGCATAACCCAGAGAGTCGTGGCTGAGTATTGTCGATGTCGATGAATGCTCCAAAGTCCTCCACCTTCCGAACCTTTCCAGTGACTGTCATGCCTGCTTCGAGGTCTGTGATGCCAAGCGGCGGCTCGTAGTTACCGTCAACATGAGACTGCTTTAGACTGAGCTGGACCTGTTTCGCATCTGTGTCAACGGAGAGCACGCGGCCCTTCACGAGTTGGTCGACGACGTATATGCTGCGCCATTCCTTAACATACTGGTCGCTCAGGTCCGAGATACGGACGAGTGCGTCCACATCGGCACCGAGCGACACGAAGACGCCCTTGTCTGCGACCTTCTTCACGAAACCGCGTACAATGTCCGCAGCCTTGAGCTGCGAAACGTTCGAGATCTGCGCGTCCTTGACGGGCAAGCTTGAGCTTAGCACTTTGGACGGTCTCAAGCTGACAAACGCACGCTTGTTCGGCGCGTCCACACTGATCACACAAGCACGTACAATGTCGTTCTTGCTGTACTGCATCAAGTTGATGGAATCGTAATCATCGCTGAGTTCCACCAGCGGAACATGAGCGACCAGGTTCTTAGCAAGCTCGACGCTGACTGCACGCTCAGTAGCCTTGATCACTCGCGCCGGGAGAACCATACCTGGAGACAAGTCCTTGAGCGCAAGAGGTGTGGAGGCGTTGTCCTGCTTGGCAGTGAGATCTAGTCGACCTGCACTGATGTCGACCGCCTTGACATTGACACGCAGCGCACAGCCAATCCGGAACCGATTCTCGACATTCTGGAGCTGTCCAACATCATCCGAAAGGTCCATGAGAGCTACACGCCCCCGAACGTTTGGCGATAGGTTAACCCAGACGCAATTCTCAGCGTGGTTGTTGACGAAGGCAAGCTGAGATGACCCAGGCTTGACAGACTCTAGATCCAGCAGAGACTTGTCGTCTTTCTGCACTCGCGACTTCTTGGCAGAAAGTTCAAACACTGGTACCTTGCCTTGCCGATGACTGAATGGAAGGAAACGGTGATTTCGTGCATCGTGGATACCGAGAACCTTGACATCGATGAGGTCGTTTTGCTTGAAGCTTTGCAACGGCGCAGCCTTGTTCGAAATTTCATCCCACGAATCGAACACCTCGCTCACATCCACTCGACCTTGCACGTTGTCTGCAAGACGAACGTTGATCTGTGTTGCTCGAATAGAGGCAATACGGGCTTTTGTAACTTTCCCTGGCTCAATGTCAGACAAAGACTTCAGCGCTGGATCAATTGGCTTGCTGAGAGCATCATCGATGCTAGCCTTCGGGTTCGAGGATTGCTCGGCTGTTGCAGCCTGTTCACGCATGGTCAGGCGGAAGCGCTTTGCGGAGACATCTGTGTCCATTACCCAGACATTGAGTGTCTGATCCTTTCGCACGCCGAAGTCAGGCTTGTCAAGCGCCTCTGCCAGGATCTGGCTTTTTGGCAATAACCCCACTATGCCGTTCGCGAACTCGACAAAGATGGCATCTGATGTGGTGTTCCTGACGAAGCCGTGCACCTTGGTGCCCTGTTTGACATCTGAAAATGTGCTGATCAGGTTGCCCGCCTTGGCATCCTCTACGAGGCTCGGCTTGTTGCTAAGCATGACGGTCTGACTCCTGTCAATCTTGTCCAGCACTAGCAGGTGCTTTAACTTCTGGCCAACACGAACACGCTTCGCCTCTTTCTCTGCCTTAGCGAGAGAGCCATCGACGAAGTGTGTCAAGCGCATCATGCCTCTCAGTCCACTCTCCAGGTCCAGAGAAATAGACTCAGCCGATTTCTCGGTCACGGTTCCACTCACTAGTTGACCGCCCGCGACCTTGTCCCAAGCCTGCTCTTGGTCTGCACCAAAAGCGACGTGGTCCTTGCATGTGACTTTCATCTCTTCAGTATCTGGACTGACTGATACGATCTTCACTCTGACAGTCTGGCCGGACCGAAAGTGCTGTTCTGGGCGCTCGATGAAAGTCTCACTCATCTCGGCAACCGGAAGCCAAGCTCGGACGGGGCCATAGAATTGCACTACAGCACCGTTGGGATGCAGCTTGATGATAGTGCCTTTGCTTTCCATGCCTGGCTGGAGGCCTTGATAGGCCTTCCAGATTTCCTCGTTGGCATCATCGACCAGCTGCTTTTTCAGCGTAAGGCGAACATGCCTCTTCTCTGTGTCTACGGACAGGATTCTGGCCTTCACAGGAAACCCCTCGCGGTATTTACGTTCTGGGTTCTTCAACTGTGCATCGCTGATATGTTGTTCTGGCACCAGACCTGTGATGTTGTCGCTGAGTTTGACGAGGATGCCTGTAAGGCCTGTAGCGCCGCCCAGGATAATCTTATCTACGGTGCCATTCACTACCGCGCCCACAGTGAGATCGTCCAAACGGAGGAAAGCTTGGTCGAGAACAGACTGCTTCAATGATACGTAGTAAATGTTGTCGATTGGACTGTATCCGATGATACGGACTTTGTGAGCAGAGTCGATCGTGTATGGTCCAGAGGTCGAAGACAACGATTCAATCCGCTTGTCTGAAATCTGCGAGATGTGTGCGAATGCAGTAACCGAACGTTCGTCGCGGCCGTGCTTGGCGGAGAGTTTGAGGTATAGACCTTTGTTTTGTGAAACCTGTGTAATCTTGGCATCTTCCACGACCGACGACATTGGCAGCAGCTGCCCGAGTTCAGCGGCCTGTGTCTTCAAGGATTTGGTGGAAATGTCGGGGAGCCTGTCCGATGCTGGTACAAGAGCTAAAGTATGAGCAAGGAAGGACATGCCGACACGTCGAGCGCCATCGTCTTCTGGTATCGCGAACACGATTCTTGCATGTGTCTTGCTTCCCACTTTATACTTCTTGCTCATGTCCTTCTCCTCCAGCCCAATGGCCTGCGAATGGATAGCATCGGCAGTCACATCGAGCATGCCCATAATCTTGCCCACAACGCCCGAAGGCCCAGACTCGGTGATGAGAACATCCACAGCAGTACCAGGCAGGATCGCATCCACTGATGGAGCATCACTTATGGTTGGAAGCTTCTTGTCGCCAAGCGCAAGTGACATTCGGCTTGGATCTGGAGAAATCTTCAGGACCTTGCCGTTGCTACCTTTGCCTGTAACAAGACACAGCATGACTTGACCTTCTTGCACCTTGTCCAGGTCGTATGCATATCCGAGTTCCTTCTTGCTCACGAAACCTTTCACGCTCTCGTCTGACAAGCCTAGGTCCATGATCAGGCCATGGTCCTCGACACTTCTTACTGCAGCCTGCACGACACTGTTGACAACTACATTGTCTTCGGGCAGGCCCCCATTGACCGTAGTTGGATCGAGGGACAGCTCGATGTGCTTTTTACTCTTTCCCTCTGCGGGGTCCGTGCCAGTCGAAGTCACGGTCGCTCGGAGCCACTGTCCAACATGGAACAGCTGCTTCAGATCGATGTCTTCGTCATCCTCATCGTCCTCATCAGCACCAGACTTGGCATCGTCCAGCATTCGTTCGATGCGCGCAGTCAGTCGTTCAGACACGGCGGTGATTGGCACATAACCTGTCAGATTATTCGGTAGTGCCAGCGCAACATCTCTGCCCGTGATAGCCGTCACTCGCCCCAGCACAACGCTACCCACCGCCAGCGTCTTGTAGCTCAATCCTGAGATCTTCACACCACTTCCCTCGACCTGCGGCAATCCATCGCCCTTTCGCGTCGTCTTGCGCTTCTTCTTCGCGGGTGCAGAGTCGACTTTATCAAACAACTCTCCATCATCGTCCTTGGCCTCGGCCTTCTGGCCCGTTTCCTGCTCGAACAGGACATCGCGTTCGGCCTGCGCTTCGATCTGTTTTCGCTCGATCGGCGTCAATACACTACCACCACCACGAGGAAACGCCTTCTCTTCCTGCTGCAGAATCGACTTTAACGGCGCCTTCTTCTCGCCGGGTTCCGCACCGCCGCGTGCCAGTCGCTCCTTTTTCTCTTTGGCATTTCTCTTCTCTTCTTTGCGCGCCTCCGTGCGGTCGGGCTGCACGTCTTTCCCTTCTTTTACCTCTTTGACGTCTGCCGGCTTTGCTTTCTTGCTGGGCCGCTCGTCCGTCACGGCCTTTCTCTTGACCGGTGCCATGTCAAAGAAGGGTACAATGGTGATATCGACCAGCAAGCAGATCGATTGTGCGTTGCGCAAGACCGGCAAGCTTCCGTCGAAAGAATTTCAGATGCAGACCCTTGCCGTCGGAGAATCTCAAGCTGTTCGGGCCGATACCCGAGAGCGGAGCAAACCTTAAGCGCGTCGTCGCGGTCGCGCGCCTTCTTTTCGCGTTCTGCAACGTAAAATAGCTGCACCTGCCACCTGCACCTGCACTTCCCTTGTCCGTCTGCTTCCTGCCCTCTGTCTTTCGCAGCTCTACATCCTCACCATCGTCCCGCGACTCTACTACATCAGGTACACTCCACCATGGCGGATTTACCGCCTCCGTCATCTCAAGAGAGCCAGTATTTCGAACACCACAAGATCGCTTTCCAGAAAGAGAACTTCCAGTCATCGCCCCCAAGACCGCAGAGCAGATCGTCCAATGCCTACAGCACGCAGAAGCCCAAAGGCCTCCCGACCATTACGCCCAGGAGGTTCAGAAAGTTCTTCCAGCCACAGAAGTCCGTCTCGACAAGAGGCAGCCGCACCAGCAAAGCAGGCCGGCAATTACGAGACATCACCAGGAATGGCGTCAATCGACGAGCAGCTGGCGATGTTCGGGTCGTCGATGACTTCGTGCCGGGTCCAGAGTACTCTTCCAGCTGTGCCAGACCATTGAAAAGACGGAAATTCTCTGCAGACATTCACAGTTCGCCACTGCAGTCCTCGCCACTGCGCCATGGACAGGTAGCAGAGCCTATTGACATATTCGACGGGGAGCTTTCTGAAGCGGAGACTTTGCCAGACCTGCTGCGAAAGCTGGAACCACGCCCGAAACAAATTCAACGCTTGCGTAGACCCGGTCCATCGCGCCGTATTATGGAGAGAAGCTTCGGCGGCTTCGATGCACTTTCCCAAGGCTTCCGCGGCGTGGACCACGGTGTCGACTGGCGAGCAGAGACTGCGGACTTTGTCACCACTCCACAAGACTCACGAGTCTTTGGGAGTGGTCCAGCATTGCCCTTCTGCACCACGGCGTGCAATACGAATCCGCTCGTAGCCGTAGGTGACGAGGAAGGCTCTGTGCACATCATGGACTCATCTCTCGCCGCAGAATTCAGTCAGCTACACTTGAAAATCAAGGTGCACAGCAATGCTGTGATGGACATTGCTTTCAGCTCAGACGACTACATTCTGGCAACAGCTAGTGGTGATCAAACTGCTCGTGTGGTCGACATGCAATCCCAACGAACAATATGTATCCTCAGTGGCCACAAAAGCAGTGTAAAACAAGTCCGCTTCCAGCCTACTGACGACAACATGATCACAACCAGCTCTCGCGACGGGAGCATCCAGCTGTGGGATCTGCGATGTGGCGGCAAGTCGGCTGTACAGAACTTCAGGACATCTCTGAAGAGCCGTAGTGGCGGAGTTTCACCAGAGACACGCTATGGCAAGACGCTTGAAGTCGCTTATGGTCATAAGTCTGACGAGCGAAGCTACAACTCAGGTCAGCGGGATGAGCTGTCCATCACATCATTTCACCACTTGCCCAATGGACGGGAACATATGATCATCACTTCGAGCGAGGTTGACGCTTCCGTCAAGCTGTGGGATGTGCGTAATGCTGGCATGTCGGCACGAAGAGGAGCACCTGTCCCTGTCTCAAGCACTCCCGTACCCGCTGCACATGGCAGTAAGCGGAACTTTGGCATCAATGCCATGGCGCTCTCGGGCGATGGCAGCAGACTCTATACCGTTTGCAGAGACTGGACTGTATATGCATATTCCTTGAATCAGATCGTCCTCGGTAATGCGCCGGAGATGTCTTCGGGATCAAGCAGGCGTCGTATGTTGAAGGAGCCAATGCCGGGCCTGGGCCCACTCTACGGCTTCAAGCATCCCCAGCTGCGACTGGCCACCTTTTACATCAAGGCTGCATTGCGGCCTGCAGCAGGCGGCAAAGGCGAGATGCTCGCTGTCGGTAGCTCGAACAATTGCCCAGTGGTATTTCCAACCGATGAGCGACATCTTCCTCAACGAGAGCGACCTTCTCAAGACGACCAGGAGGATGAGGAGGATTATGGTCTTCCAGCACCAGCAAGGGCCTCACAGCGAGCTTCCGGTTCCGATGTACCGATATATGAACAGGGCACAGCACTGGTTGGCGCACACTCAAAGGAGGTTACCTCCCTGGCATGGACAACAGAGGGCAATCTCATCTCTGTTGGTGACGACTACTCGGCACGTTGCTGGCGCGAAGATGCACAGAAGGCTCGAGCACTGAGGACAAATGGTGACTTTGGAGGAGAGCGGTGGCAAATGGGCTGGGCAGATGTCGACGCTGAGTGGGATGAGGAGGAGTGCTGAGCACGAAGTGCCCCTATGCATTGAAAAGTAGCATGAACAAGGTCACTTGGCAACTGGAATCTTTTTTTGGACGGCTACAACAGAGGCTTGATGGGAATTATAGCTCTAGAGCATATTATACCCTGTATAAGGAGTGAGTTCTGTAGATGAACAAACCAACCACATTTTACAACGTCCCGGAGCGATTTCTCCCTCTAGTATCTACACGAAGTAACCAACACGAAAACTTGCTGTTAGTCTTGTTATTCACCTCTGATATAGAAATACTTCGGGACTAGCGCAAACCTTATCGAACCTTACCTGGTAGCTATACCCAGTTCTACTAGTATGACCTATTTTATATATTCAATACAAATTAGGTCTAGAAGTAGCTAGCGTGATCAGTAGAGACGCAAACAAGCAAACAGGCTAGCGTAAGTTTGTTTAGAAAGATTACCTTATCTGTACTCTCCTTGGACCTTTACTCTAAACCTTACCTTTCGTGTTATATGTCTTCTACTGGCCATGTCCCGTTGGCTACTCAGAGACTGTCTATTCGAAGAGAAGGACTACGAAAAGCAACTGAAGCAATACTAAGGCTTATTTACTAGGCGCTTCTACCATGCCTGAGAAGATTTCTATGTGCCCTACTTCGAACAGTCGCTCTAGAACATGCTGCTCAAGCTATGCCACGTCTAGATCAGGGCTGATTATCTGGAAGGTAATGCGGAGCGTGTTCTTCATACAGCCAGAGCCTACATAACGGAACGAGCAGGGTCAGCGTTTGACCCAGAGCCAGCAAAGCCACTCAAAGGTATACAAAGGTAGACAAAGGTGGGTAGGAGATCACTGCAGCGACAGTACGAACCCTAATAGGTTGTGATAACTGGCCGCAGAGATCTGTTAGTTGAGGCACTACACCATTTCTCCAAGTCTCTCGAAGTCATCTAGACAACGGGCAACGCAGCTCTTTATTAACTATCTTTGACCTTACAAAAGAAATTTGACAGATCCGGAAATAACAAAAAAACATAAGTTGCCCCGAGATGCATCTGGAACAAAGAAATTTCCAAGATAAAAGTGTTATTCACTTTAAAATTTCCCCGCTAGAGATTATCGAAGCCAATACGAATCAATAGACCAACCAGCATCACCGAATCCTCAAAATCTCCCTCTCTGGTCGAACGGTTTGAACGCAGAATCCGGACCACTGCTGTCATGGCCCCCAAGGCCCCCACGGCACCACCTGCGAGGGCGACGAAGCCGAGGACCACCTTCACCACCAGGGCGGCGACAAACGCAGGTCAGAGAACGCCGCCGAAGTCCTTCTCAGATGCAGCAGCAGATCTCGCACGGATTCAAGCAGTTCAAAAAGACGGGGCCAGACATCGTAGAGAGCTACAAAGATTGCGAACCGCAGCACGAATTCCCGCTGGCACGACATTAACCGGTAAAAATGGGGGCATCCGAATCAGTACAGGGCGGATCATTAATCCCGAATTCGTTCGAACCAACAAGATAGATGCCCACTTCCCCGTCAAAGACACGTTGATCTTACGGTCGAGGGAGTCCAAAGGTCTGAAGAACATCGATAGCTGGAGATGCTACTGGATCGCCACTCTCCAATGTGTTGCCCACGCACCGCCGATATACCACTTGCTTGGTAACCTTCATCGAGATTGCCAGCAGACTGAGAGGCAGTGTATGGTATGCGGTCTTCAGAGCTTCGTGCAAAGCTACTGGAATGGGAATCAAACGAGGTCAACTAAAACCATATCAACCGCTGACATCCACGCTGCTGCTAAGAGGACCATCGCTGCCGACGATCCAGTTCTCGGAGATTACCACGATTCAGAACAAAACGACCCGTTTTGCTATATTGACTTTCTGCGCACACAGCTTCTGACAGTCTCAGACCCTGCCCAGCGAGCCAGCGTAGAGGAAGTCTTTTACTTTGGACAAGACCATCTCTTCGACTGCGTTGCCTGTGGCCTCACAACGCTCATCCACAGCGTTACAGACTGCTTCGGCCTCGGGCCCATCGATCTCCGCACTCCTGCTCTGGGCCTCAACGTGGAGCAACTCATTCGCCAAAACTACATGTTCGACCCCGACCTATTGCCATATACCTGCAGCAGCGCAGCTTGCATGAGAGCACAGTCGCGCCCAGGCTACACGGCACCGGCCCAACAACGCTACATCCGACTCACATCTTGCCCCGACGTCCTCGTCATACAGCTCACACGAACTGCGCTAGATCTTTACGGTAACGAATTCAAAGTCATGACCGATCACGATTTTCCCGAAATCTTGGATTTATCCGAATATCTCGCCGACCCCACCGCTCAAGTGCGATATCGTTTCTCAGGAATGGTCGCGCATCATGGAAATGAAATTGGCGCTGGTCATTATATCGCTGGTGTGCGAGGTGCGGTCGAAGGAAGCGGATTTCGCCTCATTAACGATTCGAGGAAGGTTGTCAGCACTAACAACTTTGCGGATATTCAGCAGCCGATTTGGGATAAGAAGGACAGATTTCAGCCGTATGTTTTGTATTATACTAAAATACGCGGAAAGAAGTGATAGACGGGTCCTTGTATTTGATAGATTTAGTTAGATTCTTATCGTTCAGGGAGGAAATTTAATATTTTTGCTCGCTCTCCCCTTCTCTCTTTCCATGTTTTCTTCATTGTCTATGCTACTGTAAGCGAACTCAGGCTATATTACCGTCAGAATATGCAGACAGGAGAAGGCGGCGTGGTAAGTCCAGATATTATACTCAATATGTATCTCACGTTTGTACTGCAGACCACGCAGCTCAGATTAGAGACAGCCTGCGGCGGCAAGAGCCAAGTGCCCCTGAGCCAGGCCTAAGCTCTTCGACCACAGCGTTGTATGAAGTAGCACTACATATCCGAAAGTATTCTCTCAACTTCATCGAGTCTGCGAGCTTGATACGAGACGGAAAATTGATATACAAGCACTATATAGACAAGTCCAAGCCCAACCTAGATTACCCTCTCCCTCGCCCCTATCCCTCCCTCTCTCAAAAAGACAAACGCATCTCTCACTCTCGATACCCCTTCGGCGCCCCTCCATTCCACGATCCGGCATACTCTGCTTTCCCATGCGCATCAGTCGTCCACCAACCATCATTCCAATTTCCACCCCAACGATTCCACCAACCCCCTGCCACAGTGCTCGTACCGACGACTCTGTACGTCGAGGTGTACGTGAGGGTTTTGACCGTGGTAGTTTTCCTTCCGTTGTAGCCCTTCAACGTGGCTGTTTTGGTGATGATTTTGGTGGTGGTGATCGTTTTGGTCACTCTTTTGGATGTTGTTGTCGACGTGGGTTTGGAGGTAGTCGAGGTGGAACTGGGTTTGGTGGTTGCAGTGGTGGATGTGGGACTTGGTTTTGTGGTCGCAGAAGTGGAGGTGGAACTTGGTTTGGTGGTTGTAGTGGTAGTGGAGCTGACTGTAGAGGTTGTGGGGCGTGATTGAGTGCTCGTGGTGGCAGATTTGCTTGTCGTCGTCGATGATGACGATGACGATGAAGATGATGATGACACGACACTTGATGATATCGTCGTGCTACTCTTGACATCCGAAAAAACGGAAGAGGTGGAGGAGCTGAGGTCCGAAGAAATAATGCTCGTTGGGATATCCACACTCGGCGGTTTGACTGTGACACTGACGTTGCTTGTCTCCGCACCTGGATCCTGCACGAGCTGGATACTCTCCCACTTCCCAGACTGGTCGGTGTAGTTGTAGGCGTAAGCGGGATTGTAGCTGTGAATCGTCACCTTCCTGACGAACATCGTGTATGGACCACCAAAAATATCCGTCATGCCTCCGGCCCAGCTCATGGTTCCCGAATTCTGTCCAGGATCACCTCCAGCCCAAATACCAAGCTGCAACTTTGAAGGTGTCTGAGGATATTGGTAGTTGCCTTTGTCTCCCGACGAGTCTGCGTAGTTGAAGGTGCGGATCACTTTGCCATCAACTTCCCAGTTGGTGTATGCTTTACGCCATTCGACACTGTATTTGTGGAAAGTTTCCTGTGGGCGGGAGACGTCAAACCAGGAGCCACGGTCATAATTACCAGTCAGCCCTTTGCTACACGGATACATACAATAGTTAGCCTGCGTGCTGTGCAGTACGATGAGGATGAATCGGAGTCACATCTCACCCAAAGTAGTTGTTTTGGCCTTTACCGGCTGCGAATGAGGGGTTACCAAAGTTGTTGCCAGAAAACTCGAAGTCTGATGGATTGTCAGTGAACGATGATGGTATTGAGCATCGTGCCTGGCATACCTATTTCGTCAAAATCGTCCGAGATCAACACTGCACTAGAGATCATGCCGGTTCCATTGGCAACCCTCATCTCCACATCGACCCTTCCAAAGAAGATAAAGAAGTTGGTCCAAAGCTGAGGTGCATCATACCGCTTGTTGAATGTGAACTCCGCGCCATCGGGTCCAAAGTTGATCGTGGCATAGTTGGAAATGGTCCAGTCGTCGGGGATCGACTTGATCTTCGTGAAGTCAATCTCGTACTTGTTAGTTGGCAGGCCTGGGTTCGGGGGGCATGCGCCAGTAGCGTTGAAGAGCGGGTTGCAGGGCCAGAATTGTCCATCTGCACGCTGAGCGATCGCTGAGCCTGCAAGGAGCAGGAACGCGCCTGTCGAGGTCGCCAGGCTGAACATAGTTGATAGTGGTACACTGTCGATGGTGGAGTGTCTGCGTGGGGAAGTCAATATGATCTGGACGAACAAAGAAAAGCATGTCAAACGGGGCCAGACTGTTTTCAGATTATGAGGTACAAAGGGTCGCCTCTACTCTTTCAGCCACTAATCAGATACTCATCTCGACAGTACACAGTTGACAGAATTAGTGCGCAAGAACAAATTCTTCTCCGGATCATAAGTGATCTCCAAGCCGGGTGCGATCAGCCGGTTATAGGAGTATTGTGCAGACTTGTCGTCCACAAAACTCTGCACGCCAATAGTGCCATATCTTTGCGTGTTCGATGGCACTTCACCATTCGCCTGATAATAAGTGTAGACCACAGCCCCGGCTTTAGCTTCCTGGAACGTGGCGATGAAGTGGTAGTAGCCGAGGGGCTGCGAGTACAGACTCGTATACCATTCGAAAGAAACATTCCTGTTTGGCGCTTCACCTCCAATCTCGTAGTAGAGGCCTTGTGCTGTGCCCTGTGCCACGAAAAGGTCGTTCCAGTAAGGCAAAAAGGCGGTGTCGGGAAGACCATAATCGTCATCCGTATTCATTCGTGGCAGCTGAGCATTCACGAACGAGTAGTGGTCGACCGATCCACTATCCCTACTGAGTGCTATCCAGCCATTGACGGAGACCATTACACGACTGCTTCGTATACCATAGGCCTCAAGCTTGAAAGGAAGCTCAATGGGGTAACGCTCGTCGTCAAAGTCTTTTGTGGCTAGACCGTCGCTGTCCACTCCTGTGATGGCAGTTGGCCTTGCGAGCACAACAGTTGGTGCTCCAAACTGTTGCCCGATCAATACTGTAGTCGTTTCAAGGATAGTGGAGGTGACAATCGGGGTCTCCGTAACCAAGGACTGGACAGTTCGAGTAGCTGTGACTGTCCGCGTTACCACAGGACGAATGGTTGTCGTGTTGACGGAAGTACGATATGGCTGGATGGTGGCTGAAGCGGTTACCAAGTCTAGTCGGGTGTAATTGGATGACATCGTTGTATAAGTCGTAATTGTAGATGTCTCCGGCTCCAGGCTCATGCAGCTGCAGCCGGACGAGATTGCAGATACAGCGGCTCCTTCGAGTGCTGGAGGAAGATCCTTCGGGTGTTCCCAGTCAGGGTCGGGACCATTATGAAAGTCCGGATGCCAGTGTGGCTTTCCTCCCCAGCCTCCAAAATGACGCCTGACATTATCGGTCACGTTCGAAGCAGCGGTCATGTTCGAAGCAGCAGTCACGTTCAAAGCAGCAGTCGAGTTGCCGCAGATCGTGGTCGTTGAGATGACAGTGGTATATGAGGTGCTAGTCGGAGCACGAGTTGTCGACCGATCCCGTGTAATTACGATGGTGTTGTTCGAATAGACAGTTGTGGTCGAGCTGTTTCCTGTCATGGTGACAGCGGGCAGTACGATGGCCGAAGCGCTAGCCGTGAGTGTTACAGTGGCTGCATTACTCGTCCGATTCATTGTGAAATAAGCATGCTTCGTAGATGTTTTGATCACAGTTTTTGCCTAGAGCAGACGTTAGAGTAGTCCATCCTGCGTAGAATCAGCCCACTTGCAGTAAGTCCGAGAACTGAAGAACACAATGAGCTTGCAGCATTGTAACTCCGCAAAGCTGAGACGTATGGGGCTGCCTCGCGACAGGTATCGTTGTGAACAGCTGGAGGATGTGGATGATACCAGGGTGGATGGGCACTGGCGATCGAGCTGAGAAGCACCGCTACTGCAAGACTGAAACTAGCCATGATTGAAGGACAATTATGAGAGTCAGATGAAGTGAAAGAGGGCGCACCACTGCCAAAAGCACAGCGGCGCTCGACCTAACTTGTATCGACACATATGCTGTTATTCCGAGCATACGCGCAGATGGAATGCTAACCACGGCCTCGCCTTCACATCTGATGGTCCATGCCATGCTCTCTTGTGCCACAAAAGCCTGATAAAGTGCTCCGAGGAATGCTGGCGCGTGGCGGGCGCGTGGTAGCATTGTTGTCGGTATGGTTTCGCGAGGCATGGAAACAGGCCGGTGGCAAATACCGTCCACATGTACATAGACGACACGAGCATTGGCTGTTTCATGGTCATGACCATCTATGGCCATGAACAGGATCGACGCTGTCGATTATTGGTTGGGCGAAGGGAAAAGGAAGAGTAAAGTCTCAAGAGTGAAGAGAATGGATTCACTACAGTCACGTGAGCCTTGGCATATTCTTGGCCATGACTTCAGCTCCACCGGCTGTGAAGCTACCTTACTATATAACCAAATAAACGACATGGACGAAGCACAATTTCAATTAGCCATCGAAGAACTCGCACAACATTTCCAGACTCTCAAGCATACTGCTCAACTAAAAAATTGTGATTGGCAAGATGTGACTCTTATCAGAAGCCAGAACCTCCCTTCTAGTCTGAACCACTTCCTAAGACTTACAAGACGACTTTCCGTTTGCAGCAAAAGGGCGACGAAACCACCAGATACAACTCCTCAACAACATCAAGTCCCAGAAACTCAACAAGCTCAAAGCCAGAGCATCAACGACAAACAAGCCATCGAAGAAGAAGAAGAAGAAGATCCCGAATGCCTCCCCAAATTCCCCCCGACAACAACACATCCATCGACAGACCCAGCAACAACAATAACCTACGACATCATCTACTCCCCCACCTACCGTGTTCCAATCCTCTACATTCACAAACCTCCACCACCACCTATCACACTTCCAGATGACGACAACAATAATGATGATGACGATAGTGATAATGACCCCGACCCCTTCCTCACCCACCTCCAACATTCCTCCTCCTCTTCCTCAACAATACTCCTCTCGCTCATCGATCATCCCACAACAGGAAAACCCGTATATTTCATTCATCCTTGCAGAACGCAAGAAGCTGTTGCGGAGATTTTATCATTATCATCATCAACACGTCGACTTGGGAAAAACGGTGGTGGAGGTGGAGAAGAAGAAAGGGGAGGTAGAGAAGGAGGAATGCAATGGTTCATGGCTTGGTGGGGATGTATAGGAAATTCTGCGGGATTGAGCGTTCCGATGGAGTTGGCGAGGATGGTGATGATGCCGACATTGACGACGACGAAGACGATGTCGACGGCGGGGGGAGAGTGAAATCTTGCAAAGTCACAGAATACAGCTCATGTGTGATGGTCTTGTATTCCAATGCGTCTCGTTCTGCTACAGTCGCCATGCAACCATGGCAGCTCTCACAATAGTCAAGGTAAAAGACGCAAGATGTAGTAGACGCAGTCGGTCGAAATTTCAAAGAAGCTTCTTTTATCATGCAAATCCATCTCTCATAGCTATGCGAGTTGTCATTACCAAGCATTCGCCTGTCTCCCCCGGTAGACATCAGAGTCGAGTCCACATCTATGCATTTATCCTTGGTCGTCTCGTCTTCACTTCGACAACAACCCTCGAGGACATAAGGAAATGCGCCTGGTGTCGCAAGTTCACTCGACACCTAAGCAGCCTCCTCCACATCAGCCGGTTTCTCACCCTCGGCTTCAGCAGGAGCATCCTTCATCTCCTCGTCGGGCTTTGCGTCACTCTCCTTCCCTGCAGCCTTCTTGGCCTCCTCCTCGGCCTTCTTCTTCTCGGCCTCCGCTGCTCGACGAGCGTCATCTGCTGCTTTTCGCTTGGCAGCAGCCTCTTCCTCGATCTTCCTGCGAGCCTCCTCTTCTTCTTGGCGCTTCTCGTTGAAGCGAGAAATGATGAGTGCGGCAGATGCGCGAAGTTCCTCGAACTTGGCGACATACTGTGCTTTCTTGGCGTCTTCGCCATCTTCATACAGCCAGTCCTGCGAGCATCATGTTAGCATAACTATATGAACCAGTAATTCAGGGACTGCTACAACTTACTTCAAGTTCATCGCACTTAGCGCGAACCTTGGCCTTCTCGTCATCGCTGGCAAAGTCTGCGTAGCCGTTACTGGTGTATGGCTCGTCAATCTTGCCGCGCATCGAGTAGATCTCCGACTCGAGCTCATTCTTGCGATCTTCAGTCTCGGCGACAAGTTTGTCTTCCGAAATCATCTGGCCTTCCTGCTCGAGAAGCAGATCCTTTTGCTGTTGGTCAAGCGATGCTGTGCCGGCAGAGAGTGGTAGATCACCCTTGCGGACTTGCTTCTTGACCTTGCGAGTCTTGGGCGCTGTAGCTTCGCCATTGGCTTTGTCGGTGTCCATTGCCTGTTGTTGGGAATTTGTCAGCAATGGTTCCGTTTTCAGGCGTTTCGCCACGCGTTCGTCTGCGCCAAGCCGCAATTTCTGAGGTTGCGCCGTAGTCATCATCGTGGCCGCTTCCTTCTCTTCTGTCGAAAAAAACGCAACAGGCAAACTCGGGGCTGTACTCACGTCACCATCCTTGGCCTCTGGAATAGGCTCTTCAATCTCCTGCTCCTCAACATAATAGCCCTGCTCCACGTTCAGAATACCGTGCAAGTTGAGCCGGGCTTTTAGCTTGCAGATCATGAAGTCGTCCTTGGTGTCTGCCTGCACACCCTTGACGCTGAAACGACCTATCCACGGGTTCATCTTGCCTGGTAATCCCTCGGGCTTTGCGTATTTGGCCTCCAAGTCGAACGGCTGTTTTCGGTAGAATGTGAGGATCTTGGTCGATGGCAGCGCATTGCCTCTGTTGAAGACAGTGAGGCTCGTGTCCTCGTCTGGAATGTCCGGTGATTTCTCCCAGGTGAACTCGATCGGGTAGTTCACAATGTCTTGCACACTGAAGTCGCGGACACGGAAGACTGGTGACAGAATCGCACAGCTGAAGGCACATCCTCGCGCGATGGCCTCGTCTGCGTTCATGGTAAAGCTGAGGGTCTTGCCGAAGAAGCCTTGAATGATGGACTTGAGTGCTGGTACACGCGTGCAGCCACCAACTAGCTCGACATAGTCAATGTCGTCCTTCGTCAGCTTGGCCTCCGCCAACGCTTGCTCGAGAGGAATGTGTGCGCGGTCAAGAAGTGGCTTCACCAACTCCTCCAGCTCCTCACGCTTCAACATGCCACGGACATCGACATCGTTCATCAGCGATTCAATGTTGATGGGTGCCATGGCATTTGCAGAAAGAACCTTCTTTAGCTTCTCCACTGCGGCAGCCACACGAACGCGTGCCTTGGGGTTCTCGTAGATGTCGATCTTCGATTTCTCTTTGAACTCTTGGCGGAAGTGCTCGATGATGACCTTGTCGAAGTTGCGGCCTCCGAAATGTCTGTCGTAGGCAGTCGAGATGACCTTGAGCTCTCCTTTCTTGAACTCGCAGATAGAGCAAGTGTAGTTGCTGTGGCCAATGTCGACTATCGCAACTCGTCGGGGCTTCTCCTCTGGGCCTGGCAAGTCGAGCTTGGTGATGCCGTATCCGAGCGCAGTCGCGGTCGTCTCGTTAATCAGACGAAGCACCTTGAGCCCTGCTACCTCCGCGGCGTCGATGATGCCTCTGCGCTGCGCGTCCGTATACCATGCCGGCACAGCAATGACCATATCATTGACCGGTAGTTTCAACTCTTTCGATGCGGTCTCACGGGCTTTTGTCAAGAACATGGCAATCAGCTGGGTGGCGGTGAAGATCGTCTTTTGCCCCAGATATGTGACCTGGGCGCCGACCTGGCCATTGACGTCGACCAGCGGCGCCGAAACAAACTCCTGCTCAATCTGTACATCGGGATCGTTGATATTGCGGCCGGCGAGTCGTGTGAGGGAGCCGACGGTGTTTTTGAGATTCGAGATTTCTTGCGTCTTCGCGGCCTCGCCGAGGAATCTGGATTTTGAGCCAAAGCTCACGAGCGATCTGTGGAAGGGTTAGTGGGCGGGCGGTGGGAGATGGTGGGTGGGTGGGTGGGTGGTGGAGCAGGCGGAAGACGTACGGTGTGGCGCGGTTCGAGACTTCGTTCGTAATAACATCGACACCCTTATTGCGAGCGACAGCCTGGAACGGAGGAGAAGTGGTCAGCGATGCTCATTGAAAGGCATTTGCGCTGGCGGGCGAAACTCACAATTACGCTGTTTTGCGTACCGAAATCCAATCTGGAACACTTCGTGGTTAGCTGGCGGCCGTCTGGCAATGTCGCATCCGAAGGTGTAGAGTAGTGCACTCACCCAACGACAGACATGGTGGGCGATGTCGTATGGTATGGTGTGGTGTGGTGGGTGGTGTATAGTAGATCGGTGTGTGGTGTGGAGTGGGGGCGCAAAAGTATTCGAGCTAGTGAGTGTTTGTATGTTTCTTCAGGTGTGGTTGAGGAAAAAGTTTGAGGATCGGCGCGAGCGATGAATTTGGGAGCCGCAACACAAAACAAGCAGTTCGCAAAATGGAGTCTGTGTTCGGGTGGATACTATGTCGCTTGTGTTGTCATGAATGCTCCAGTGGACTCTGACCGGGCTCGTCTTCCACTCCGTCGCCGACTAGAAGTGAATAGAAGCTACCAGTGTCTTCCCACACATTTCTGCGTCACGTGATACTGTGCAAAACACGTCATCTTTGCAACGCTGGCATCCTGGTCGCCCAACAACAACAACATCATCAATCGATATCCAGTGGACCCCATGAAGTCCACTCCTCGAGTAGAACGTGGCCGGTCCGCCTGGAGTCACTACGAGACATTCAACGCCCAACGTCGTCTTCAGCACTGTGATGAGCTACTCGACTGCCATCGCTTAATTCACGATTGGCCTAAGTTAGTAGAACTAGTGAAACGATGGCACCAAGATATACATCCTCGCCCTGTATTTCCGAGTACTACATCCTACGCTGTGCCGGAAGGTGTACCTCCTGAGATGGCTGCACCTTGAGTTGTCTTCATGACAACAGCAAGCACGCCGCAGAAGCCACTCCCTACTCGCCACAAGCATGTCTGTGAGTGACTGAAGCTCGCAGCCCTCTCCTGGTCTCCAGTTGGCGCGCCCATCAAACAACCCAGCACCAGCTAGCAGCCAGGCAGGCAGGTATGCCCAATGTTCTTCGCACTCACAGCCTCCGCTTCCCTTCCCTGCTTCCTCGCCCGCATACATCCTTCCACATTCCCATTCATGGAGTTGGCGCAAAGATCGCGGCATGGCAAGCTGCATAGCAAATTCCGTAAGCGGTATTGCAAGCAACGATAGTTGGCGGGGCTGTAGCTCCCAAGGCGGCACCCCATGTGGCACCTCCAGCGGCATAACAGGCCTAGATTCAGGATTAGCAGGTGATCAATATTTCTCGAGCTGAGAGAAGAAAACTCACCATGACTACGGCAGAGCAGCCAGCTTGGCAAATCCCGTACGCTGCTGGACCGGCGAGAGATGGTAAGATGAGGGTTGCGAGCGTGGCGAGGGTGAGAGTGGTAAAACGCATGGTTGTTGTTGTGTTGAGGGTTTGCAAGTCTTGTGGGAACTATGTGTCTGAAGGGAGAACGCTCAATGTTATGCTGTCTGGTGATTGTTGTTCTGGGATCGCTGTGAGTTTGTTTGAAGTATTGCTGTTTTTCGGTTCTTATAAGATAACGCGACAGTCACTTCCTATATGTTAGTGACTGATGTTGCTATGGAAGTGAAGGTGCCGTAGAAACCCCCTTCACTCAGTATAGGTATGTTCCAGCTGCTCCAACGTGGTGTCAAGCGAGACGAGACAGCATTGGGGTAAAAGATGTCTCGTAACATCTCCCATGGAGGATTGAGACGGCTTGACTTAACTGGATCCAGAAGCTCGCCCGGCCTCTTGTCTCCAAATTCTGGCCGTATTGTGTGCGTATACTGGACTCAAGAAATGCACCTTCGAGACATGTCCACTTACCAAGACTTGCCAATCTTAGTTCCTTTGCAGAGCGAAAATCACCTCACGCCCGACCAGTACCTTGTAATGTTATTTCCTGTACAAGTCTCGGTGCTTGCGACTTCTTCGTTGCTTTACTGCTGCGCACTTGCTTCACTTGAATTCGGATATCCATTCTTTATGTCTCGGCCGTTTGGGCAATCAATCCTTCTTACGTGCTTTTACTGCAAAGCCAGATGCCTCATATGAGCTCCACCGAGCCACACTCTGCGCGACAGTCAGTTACATACACCCTACTCGCAGCCACTTTCGTAAGTGCCTAATACTCTGAGTCGGCAGAACCGCAATTCGTTGACATCTACCTCAGATGCTGTTCGAAGCAGGACAAATTCCGCAGCTGCCAATTGCTGCTGTGCTTGTGGCACTCACGATATAGTGACCTTATTACTTGTGCAATGGAATCGTACTCGAAAGTGGCGCTGGTATGGTCGGCGACCAGACATCCACACTGTACTAGCCACACTCCGCGCGCTATTCATTTGTTCTTGCAATGCTTGTCAGTATGATGGTGACATTCTGGAAGCCACATGGATCGCTACCTGGACATGCATTGGCTCCAGTAGTGTTTATGATTCTTTCTTTTCGCAGCTTTTGGCATAGTTTCGAGATGATGTGCCACCGGGCGGAAAATGAACTTGAAGCTGCTGGAAGGGTTGGAACGTTCGCTGTGGAGGATCACCCGGTGCTACGGCGAAAGACAGGCTGCAGTGTACAGTCCGTCGTGCAACAGCCTGTGATCGTGCTGAGTTGTGGATTGCCAAAGCCTTTGCTACCCGGAGACTTCAATATACACCTCCACCAGAAAGAGAAATTGCAAACTCGGTGACCAGCCGAAGCAGCACTCAAGTAGACCATCATCAATTCCCAGGCGAGGCTCTGCTTCATCGCCGCAGGGTTCTTGGTCGCCGAAGCCTGTCGTTTGATATTGCCCACCAAAGGCTCCCTGCTTACTACCTGTACGGCGCGAGGACTTGGGGGATGTCGCAGAGCATTGTCACTGGATCCTTCCGCATCGTGCGTGATGCACAGAATATGCACGTCTGAGAATGTTCTGGGCTGGGACATCCACACGTTGCTCCCGTTGGAATGGCAAATCGTCCCGTTCATGTGGAAGGAGCATTGACACGACCCAGTGACCGGGTACGAAGAGAAAGTACCTGCATTAGTGGTCTCTGTGTTGCGCAATTACGATTTGCGCAAAAAGCCCATTGCGAGCTTGTGTCAGGCTGCTCGGTCCACTTCCGAATTGTTGTAGGTGGTATACGTGAGACGTTACACCCGCCTGGTAGACAGGAGATTTCTCCGTGAGTTGGTCGGTCGGTAGGTTCATCTCAATCTGACCGAATGGGATGTCGATACGTAGGTAGTCTCATGTCAACAACATACATGTATCTTCCTCACGACCCTCCGGCCTGTCTGTTTCGTGGTACGCATCGATATATGACGCAAGGAATGGGCGAGGCCAAGCCGTTGCCTCAATGTGGAAGGAGTCTTGACTATTGGATTTCCCGATATGTGAACGACGAGTCACCACTCATAGCGGCCTGTACAACCAGAAATTGAAGTTGTCATGATGAAGAGTTACCAATGTGACCTATGTACCCAGTAGGTATTCCGTGCGGGAAAGAGGACAAATTTCAAAGAATCATGCCATGGCCGAGGATCTCCTTGGCCAACCCACACTGGACCTGCGTCCTCGACGCAACAGACCTCCTCGGGTTACTTCTCCACGCGCCATAGCCGCAAAGAGATAGATCTCATGGCGTGGATAGGGCGCTTGTCTAATCTTTGAACAATCCAAGCATGGGCTTTCCTGTTCCCGCCACTGCTGCAGATGATCAAATGGCAGATGCATCTGTCAAGCGCCATCGTATCGACTGCCGTAGCGGAGCGACAGACTCCAATCTGCACCTGAGGCTTCCAAACGGGCGCCCGTGTGTCACATGTAGCGGATGAATGCATGGCTCGAGAGCATTACGCAGAGTCTGGGTGTGGCTGCATGAGGGGAATCAGTCTGCAACCGGGTACCAGGGACGTGAGCGCATCGGTGTCTGTCAAGAAGCATGCGCTGGTACGTCCATACTACTACGGTGACAATGATTATTCCATGATGTAAGATGGCAGAGTCGTATGCGTCGCCTGGTGGTGTGCTATCGGCGCGTCCTAGCGTGACGGCGGGCTCTTCGAGACATGACTATTGATGCCGATGAGCGGGACGTGGTGGAGGGTGAGTGTGTGTGTGTGTGTGTGTGTGCGTGTGTCTGGGAGTCTGGGTGTGTGTGTCTGGGTGTGTGGTGGACGAGGGAGGAGTTTGTGATGCATCGCATATCTCTCAGATCGTGTGCTGCCACCAAATGCAATGGACTACCTACATGTACATGTACCTGTACTGTGAGAGGGGAACGTCACCTGCCTGTCGTTGCTCCATCACAGAGGATTGGTTCGTGAATTCTAGCGACTGACGAGCTGCCTGACGAGTGCGTCTGGCGGTGAGCGAATCGGCAGTTTGCCATGCCAGCATTATGCGCGACGCAGGCTGCCGCTGCTCGCACTCTCTTCATGCCATTCGTGCAGCGCCGTGACAAGGCGCCTTTGTAAGCGCGAGCTGGCTTTGCGAGGGACCATTCGGCGGCGTCTGTGGCGCCTGCGACGATTCCTGCAGGGAGCTCCTTGCGGCAGTAGTTTGGAGCCCATGCCCCATGCTCGACAGCTTCTTCGGACGTCCTGCGTGCGCGCAAACAGATGCCTGCCATGGCCGCAGCGGACACATGGTGGAGACACGTCGCCGTTCTGCACTCCCAGCTGGCGTCGGGCAGAGCATGTCGGATGGTCATCAGCAGCAGCGGCGGCGGCAGCAGCAGCAGCAGCAGCATCGGATTGATGAGGGTTCATGATCATCCGTGCAGGCACAGGACGAGGTACAGTCGCAGAGCGGCGCCGTCGGTGTGCAGTACCATACAGTAGTACCTACCTACCTGGTAGTATACAGAGTACCTCCTACCTACAGGTAGTATACAGAGTAGCTAGTATACAGAGTCACTAGCCGACAGTAGTAGATACACACGACACGACACCACCGGGGGGCCCATCGGAGATCCGCTCGACTCTTTCGCTGCTGCATCTGAGGGCTCAACCGCTAAACCTTAACCAAGATCGAAGGGCCTGCGGTCGTGTTGCACTCCGGTGCCCGGGAGCTGGGAGCGCCAGCCGATAGGTGAAGTGTCGGGGCAACGGTTCCTCTGGGCCTTTCTGGAAGAGCTTGCTCTAGCACACCTCACTTGCGCCTGCCGCCTCCCATCCCGTCAGTGCCTCAACTGGCACCAGGCAACTGCTGGAATGGGAATTCTGGGATGCAGCTGGGCCATCATCTGCTACCGTACCTGTACAGTACAGTACCTGTAGGTGCCCAGTGCCGGGGCGGGCGCGCAGGGATCTCACACCCCAACCCAGCCGCCGCGGCGGTGAGGGGTGAGTCAGCCACGCCCGGTCGCAGTTGCCTTAGCTTCGTCGACCAGTTTTCTCTGCTTGCTGCTTTGGGCGAGCCACGACCACGGGTGGGCGGTGGACGGCGAGGAAGAAGGGCAACATGTCGCACCAGTGCAGCCCTCCATGGTATCACCAGATCTTGCCTCTTGACGAATCCATCTCGTGCTGTCTGTATCCGACGAGACTGGTGTGCGTCGGACCTGTCACTGGCTGTGCGTGGTGTTCATCCACTGGGTAGCATAAAGGACCGCCTGCGATTTAGCGTAGAGGCATCTGAACGCAACCTCAACCCAACTCGTTGCATCGGCCTCTCGCAGCAGCTGCTTCTATATAGCCTTCGTGACCGCCTGCTCGTTTCAGCTCTCCCATCATCCACCCGTTCGGACATCCTCGACGACCATACCACCCCTTCGTGTGCTCTTCACTTCGCACTACCGGCCGACGCTATCCGAGAACAACCGACCGCCTCAACTACCAAGGCATTGATCGAGCTTCTGTGGTCCATCCAACCGGACCCCGACTGCACCTCACCGTCACTTTCGACCAGCACCCCCTTCGCTCTCTCTCTGTCTCTCCCTCTATCCCTCAAGGAGATCAAGAAGCAAAGTGAGTACAGTCCCCACCACTGCCGGCCAAGGCTTCGCTAACCGGTTCGTTCAGATGGCAAAGCCAGGAAAGTGCGAGCACGCCTTCAAGATGATCAAGTCAGACACCACCTTGATTCTGTGGAACTGCAACATGTGCCACTCGGGGCCTCACTGGTTCATCTTTGAGTGTGCCAAGTGCAAACTGAAGACCTGCCGGCCATGCACACAGAAAGCTTCATGAGGAGGTACGTGCTCATACCGTCTGTTCTCTTTCACATGTATGCTGATTATGTTCCTCCCCAGAAACCCAGCATTTTATTACATTCCTTCAATTGGTTTAATTATATGAGGATATTGCTGCAGCGTTATGTTGTTAATCTAGCGTGGAGTCTGGGAAGGAGGATAGAGGCCGTATGCCTTATTGGCCGGCCGGACGGGGGAGTGTACAAGGAAGATACCATTGAGACATTGGTGACGGATGGGCGGCGGGGATTTGATTAATTTATTCTATTTATTTATTGGCGTTCAAGGAAAGAGAAGGAAAGACGACTGTCCGCGAGGACCGGTAACAAATAGATCCCGCAAAACAACATGAAATTGTAATTCGATGCCCGATTGCCCGCCTGCTCCGACTTCCTGCCAAGTAGGCTAGGGCTAGGAGGCGGCAGGCAGCGACCGTACCTACCTCAACATGGCAAGCACCCGCAGACTACCGCAATACCGTTTCTTACAGGCAAGAAGCTTGCTCTAACCCTTCTACCGTATCCATCTCTCCTCGTCGTTGAAGGCAGCGCCACCTCACTTCTGCGTCTACTGATTCTTCTCCCTCTTCGGTGATGATGACCAATGATGCTTCTTCCAACAGGTGACGATGTTCTTGCGTTGCGGTGCCTTTCGCGTGCACATGGTTAAAGGGCTGAAAATCAGAGGCGAGCGGAGCGGCAAAGACCGTGGAAGATGTGAACGTGCTGCTTCCAGCAACCTGGTTCTGGCGGTAAAGCATCACTCGAGTGGGTAGGTTTAGGAGGTACATGTAGGTGGCAGCTGTCAGCTCAACGCCTCCCGGGTCGCCTCAAATCCGCTGCAGTGGGTGGGTTCCCAAGATCGCGGGCAACCTCACTTCGGCATAGGTACCTCAGGCAAGGGTCGCCCACAGTTCACATACACGAAATGGTAAGGTACCTTAGGTAGTATGGTAGCTTGATAAAGTGAATGACTTAAGAAGCTGTGCTTGCTTGGATCAAGAATGTCACCCCAAAATGAGAAAGCCGTAGTGGCATCGGAAGGACATGGCCGCAGCTCAGAGTCCTCCCCTCGTGTCCAAAACACTTCCTCTGCGCACCTTGTGTTCCTTGTTCCTCATGAACCGCATCATCTCGTGCCTCGTAAATTCATCAATTCCGTCTTCCCATCCCCCCTTCGCTCACTCGAGGCATCAACTCATCAATCTTGTTGGCTTTAGTTGGGGCAGCTCTGATGAAGATGTCAGTGTCATAGCAGACATATGTCAAGGGTCAGAGCACACGAACAGCTCCGCACGAGCCACACGACTTGCCGCCAGAGGTCGCTGCGTTGCATTTTGGGCCTGGAAGCGTCAGCTGACCAGTCTTCATGAGAAGATCGGTTAAGTGAGAGCATAGTATTACAGGTAGGATGCATGTTGGGCGTAGAAGAGGATGTCGAGTGTGTGTGTAGGCTTTCTTCCGCGTTCTGATTCTCTCTGTATGGTCAGATGGTGTGGTCGGATGAGAAGTTGGTGGAAGAAGAAGATGGAGCTGAAGTTGAAGTCCATCCGGACAGCGGGCTACCTAGGTAGATACATGTATCCTGGCAGTAAGCGGGGCAAGTGGCACGTGAACAGGACGCACCCCGACAGGTGATCTAGAGGCGTGGGGGTGAGTGAACAGAATGGAAGTCGTGGAGGCGAGTTCCTCCTAATCTCCCACCCAGGTCTACCTATACTGCAAAGAAACAGCATATGGTGAGGCCCTTCCTGTTTCTTTTGAAGCCCGCCAAGGCATATCGAGTACGGTTCCGCCATATGCTAAAGCGGTTAGGATGCGAATGGAGAACCATGATGGAGACCCAATTTAGTGCCCAAGACTTCTGCATTCGAAGCTGTACAATACCGTGCCTCGATGCCGAGCCAAGAAGCACTTCTCCATCCTCATTCGCTCCATAGCATTCCCACAACATCCACTCCACTCCACTCCAGCTTCAAGCGCCAGTAGGATTGCCACTGAAATGAAAAAAACCTCTCTGGAGTCTTCACAGACCAACCGTCTGCTCAAGCATTGTCTTCGCCGCGCTTGTAATACCGCCGAGTGACCCCTGGCGCAACACCACGACTCATCGCCTGCCTTCCTAATGTGGTATCAACGGAGCCCATACCGGAAGAATATGCATGTTTATTCGCTGCCGTCGACTCTGGATAATACCTGTTTCCAGCATAGCTTTTCTTTTGATATGAATCGCTTTCTTCCTTGAAGCGGAAAGTGGCACGGGGCTCAACTGGTTAGAGCCACCCGCAGGCAAGTGTGGAAGTCTCTTCTCTTGAAGACTTGCTGTGCTTTTCCAATAGGTGGGTGCTTTCCTCGAGGTGATCGTAGGTAGGTCGGTCTGGCTATACCATATAGCAGCACAGTGTCTGTTGTACCCCTTGGGAAGAGAACCATCGAGCTGCTACTGATCGCACACTGCACTGGACCACGGACATACTACTCTTCTCACCACGTCGTTCAACATGCTGTCGATTGGCATCTATGGCTTCTTCTGCGTTTCTTCTCTCCTCTCCGTCTTGACGACTGCTTCTCCTCTGGCCAAGCGCGTAGCTCCGACCTTCGTCTTCAGCGGGGATGCGCCCTTTTCTGTCTCGAGCGATACTTTGGCAGCAGCATTGACCTGCCCAAATGGCAATCCGACGACCTCATCCCCACCTGTCCTTCTCGTTCATGGCACAGCGAGCGTTGGCTCAGAGACTTGGGGTGAGGGCTACGTGCCTGCCCTCAAGGCTAACGGCTATACAGCTTGCTATGTCAACATTCGTAAGTCGACCTGATGTGCTCGACGATAATATGGAATACCCTACTGACTGATATCATTGCAGCCAACCGATCAATGGGAGACATGCAAGTCAATGCCGAGTTCGTAGCATACAATCTCCACTACTTATCCTCCCTCTCCGGCGGTCTCCCACCCGCCGTTATCGCCCACAGTCAAGGAAACCCCAACACACAATGGGCTCTCGAGTACTTCCCCAGCACACGAAACATCACTCGAGCCTTCATCGCCCTCTCACCCGATTTCGCCGGTATCGACCTCCTCGGCAGCGACTCCCTCTTCTCCGACATCTGCGCAACCGGTCTCTGCCAAGCCGCACTGTGGCAACAAGCCGCAGGCAGCAACTACTACAGCGCCCTCCACGCAAAAGATTTCACCGCTCTCGTGCCCACCACTTCCATCTGGACCCAATTCGATGGAGTCGTTGCACCGTATCAGGAAAACGCGCAATTGCCTGGTGCTACGGTCATTCAAGTGCAAGATTTGTGTCCTCTTCGACTCACGACACATGTCACTATGACGGTTTCTTCTCCTGTGTTCAGTTTGGCGTTGGATGCGCTTCAGCATGATGGAGTGGCGAGCTTGTCGAGAGTGCGGAAGGATGCTTTGGGTATTTGTCTGCGCGTGAATGCGGAGGGGATGAGTAGTGATGTTATAACGGATCTTGGGAAGGATTTGACGGAGCTTGTTGATGGGTTTCTGTGAGTATCAGCCTTTTTTTTTCCTTTTTCTTCTTTTTTTGTTTCTTATTCATGATCATGTTGGCAAATGCTGACTACTTGTACCTATACTAATACCTTTTTTTGCCAGTCTTGCGACGCCACGATTAGAGGCCGAGCCTGCTTTACTACCATATGCGCAGCAGTAGCAGTAGGTATAGTAGGCCTAGGTTATATCATTTCACATGAACCCACAGCAACAATCATCATAATAATAGGTACCTTGTGAAATACAAATTTCTTCCAATGTCTATAATGATATACCTTACATATATACCTATCGACACACATCAAACCGACTCACACTCGGATCATGATCACTCGCCTGCGCATCCACCGTCGTCCACGTATTCACATGTACATGCTCCGACGCACTCCCCGCACTCGTAGCCAATCGTGGACTCACAAACATGTGATCCAGGGCCTGCGTATTCATATCAAACAAATACGAATACTTCTCCGTCTCAGGCAACCCCAACGCCTCATCCAACTCCCGCAATCCCGACACCGACGTAAACGTCCGCAAAGGCTGCACGGGGCTAAATTCGTTATAATCGCCCGCAGACATGACGTTTGCATTCGCGTCCGCGTCGAGAATGGAACGGATGAAAGAGCCGAGGACTTGTGCTTGGGCGACGCGTTGCGTGATGCCGTTGTTGACGGGCGGGCGCGCGTCGCCATGGAGAGAGGAACTTCCGCCTTTGGACGTCCAGTGGTTGTTGAAGGTGAAAAATGTGCCCTCGCTTCCTACCGTTTCCCAGTGTGCTGCCAGGGGTCTGCGGGAGGCGTCCCAGGCGGCGTTGGTGGGATCGATGACGCCTGGGTTGTAGCGGAGGGAGGGCCCGGGGAGGACTTCGTTGGCTTGCGTGCTGGAGCCTGCGGTGCCGTTGACGAGACGGATGCGGTCGGCTTTGTAGAGATATGCGGTGCGAATGTTGCCGCCGGGCTGGCCGCCGTTTTGGTCGTCTACGGGGGGGAGGTCGACGAAGCTGTAGTTGGTGCTGGAGGAGAGGGTGTTGATGGCGTCGCGGAGAGTGGTCAGTGTGATGTCTGCGGAGACAACAGCGTCGTTCACTGCGCCGTTGTTGTCTTGGACCTCTTGGAGGAAGAGGAGATCCGGGGTTTTCAAGTACTCCACGATGTGGGAGGCGATGGCTTGGAGATTGTCGGAAGCGGGCTGGAGGTTCTCGACATTGTATTGGCCTACAGTGATACCATCACAGGACCCGCTGGACTCCAGAGTGGTAGGCGGTGGCACAGCAGGACTTCTCGACGAGACGGTTCGGATCATGGTAGTGGGGAGAATTCTGTAGAAGCCAAAGCCCTGAGTGACCACACCAGTGATCTCTTCGAGAGAATCACCCAGGAGAGTCGTCGAGGGGTTTGTCGTGCCATCGAGTGGGCTGCCGATGAGAATGGCTTCGGGGTTTGCATCACGATCGCTCATGGTCAGGCCTCCGCGAAGATTTTCGCCTGTCGTATTCCACTCCCCAACCACCCAGGTGTCGTTGAAGCTGTTTGGTCTACTGAGAGCGCGTGGTCCACGGATGGTCACGAGCTCTCCGCTCAAGCTCTCCCAAAAATCGATTCCATATTGACTAGGGTCTAAAGTTGGATTGGCAACAGAAATCAAGCTTTGATTGTTGGGTGCGGCGAAGACGTCGCCATTGTCAAGCGAACTGAATTGCTCGGTCTGTAGGAAGTCAGTCAGTATGGAGCTGAGCACCGTGCACATTAGATCAATGTTGTACTCACAGGCGGATTGAGGCCTCCTTGTCCAATGACCAGAGGAACCACGGCGTTACCAGTGGAAATGGTGGTAATGTCGGTTGGGCGGTCAATCTCGGTCAGAAAGATATAGGCTGCATTGGTACGGAACTCGGTCACTCTGCCATTGAGAGAGACGACGTTGCCCACGGTGGCATTGGCGAGCCCTTCAGTGCCAAAGACATAAATCGACTCGGATGTGCTGGCATCGCTGTCGGGTGTAGTAGACCGAATCCAGAAGCCTTGCGGTCCCTTGGCGGTCACCAGTCCGCGCACTCCAGTTACATTCTGGCCGTTGAATGGCGAGAGGAATTTATTGCCGTTGATCTGGGAAATGGTAGGGTTGACCTGCTGGCTGGTAGCAGTTGCGCACAGTGCAGCGACCGCGCTGAATGTGCGGAGAGAGAACATGATGTAGACTCTGCGACTAAGGTACTGCTGTATACTAGACGACCGAATTTGACATATACCATCTTCATATATACTACTGGAGTGTCCGGTTGACTTGCCTATTCGAGACTCGCAGAGCCAAGTCCCAAGCCAAATCGCGTCCGTAGCGAATGAAGCCCATGCTGCGATAGAGTCTTATCACTGGTCGCCACCTGTTCGGAGGGCGCGACGATCGTACCTTGGCCGAGATTGTGTGCCTTGCATGTTGCGCAGTTGTCAGCAGTGGCATTGATCTTGGCCTACTGCTTATGGCCTCGTAGCTGATAGGAAGTTTGTGTTGTGATCCCTGGATGGCAGGAGGCTAAGGCCGAGTTAGGCCGAGGGCTAAGGCCGAGGGTAGTAAATCTCTGATAGATAGGAAATCTCTATATAGAGATTATATAGAGATTAATAGAAAATCATTATAATAGCATTAGTAGTATAATAGTATTAATAGTATAAATAGATATAGACACTGCCTTAAAGAGGCAGTAGTTAAACAGATTATATACATTTAATTATACCCTTTTGCTCTATACCTTCTAAGTTACAATAGGTTATAAGCCCGGATCAAAACTTTCTTTAAAGTAATAGTAATTATTCAGACTCTCTAATTACTCTACTAATAGTTCCCTTAAAAGGATATAGTATACTATTGTTAGGAGAATCTAGAGAACCTGCAGAGGTTATAGTAAACAATATTACTATATAACTGCTACCTAATTACCTACCTACTAGGATATTAATATTACTCTCCCCTTCTACCCTTTCCCCCCTTCCCTTCTATTATTATATCTTTAAAGATAGAGAAGACTAATAGGATCCTTACCAAAACTATACTATTCGAGCTATAGAAGAACATCCTTATTAGTGCCCTAGCTAATAAGGAAGTTCTTAGTTATATCTTTTATAATTTTGAATAGGAGGATACAAAGGTTAGGCTAATACTACTAGAGATAAGTATAATAGCTACTTAGGAGGAGAGGAATACTATAAATACAATATACAAAACCAATCTTGCTACTTTTATAAAGGGAGATTACCTTACTAGAGGAATTATTATAGAAAGATTAGCTACTAATCTTAGGCCAAACTTTAGAGGCCTAGATAAGACAGCTAAGGAGCTATATAATATAGTAGTAGCTACCTTTAGACTAATTATTACTATTAATATCTATAATACCCTAGGACAGATTAGGAATATTAAGTTATTAGGGAGTAATACCTTAAAATACTATAATAAATTCAACAACTAGCTCTAGACCTATTAACGAGCTATAGAACAGTACTTCTAGGCCAATTCTATAGAGGATACTAATACTAGAGCTATAGTTATAAATAGGACTAATATATCTATTAGGCACCTAGCTAGTAATGTTATATTAGGACTACTGTTAATCAAAATACTCTTTTATAACGGTATTAGCTCCTATAAATAGCTTAGGAGTTAGCGGTATATATACCCGCCTAAGAATTATTCTTTAGAAGAATTGATTATATTATTAAGGAATAAGAAACCTCTAGTATATTAGAGATAGGCAACAGTTATAGAAGGAGTACCTATAATAGAGGATCCTAATACTAAATATACCCTTTATACCTATAGCTACCTTAATAGGAGATACTATACTAAGTACCCTAAACTAGCCTCTAAGGATTAGAAGAAGAAGAAGGACAAGTCAAAGAAGGTAGCTAAGGTAGAAAAGGGGTCTAAGGTAGGAGGAGTAGTTAAGGTAGAAAAGCCTAATAGTAAAAGCTCTAATTCTAATTCTAACTCTAATTAACTAGTTGCCTATAGTAGTATATTAATACACTTAGTAGCAGTAGCTGTAAGGAAGACTATTATTAGGTTAACCTATATATAGGACACTAGTACATTATTTACGTTTATTAATAATATTAGGTACTTCTATACCTTTAAGGCAATAGAGGAACTAGCTTCTTTCTACTAGGCTATTAGGACTAGTACTATTAACTACTATAGAGAGGTTGTTATATACCTTAAATACAAAGGTAAGAAGACTAAGATCCGTATTTAGAATACCCTATACTTACCTAAGTCCGATTGCAACCTTATCTTAGCAGAACAGATCTATAAATCTACTAGTATCTACCTTAATAGGCTATTATATAGGCTTATAAGGGAAGGAAAGTAGGTTAGATTAGTTACCCTAACTAATAGAGTCCTAATCCTATACAACTCCCTAATACTTAAGCCTAAGAAGTTAATTAATACAATTGCTATACTAGCAGTAAGATAGGAAAGGCTAACTAGCACTCTCTAGTATAAGAGGCTTAGCTATATTAGTAAATCAATCCTTAAGCAAACTAAGAAGGCACTCCCTAGACTCGAGCTACTTAATACCTTAGAACTTACCTATTGCTATACCTACAAACTGTTAAAGTTATAAAGGATTGTCTTAAGGATACTAAGGACGAGGCCCCTTAAGGCACTAGATAAAGTCTATATTAATCTTTCTAGGAAAATCAGTCTACTAGATCTCTATAGGTACTAATATATTATAATTATTACTTATACAAAGACAAGAAGACATTAGCCTATCTTCCTTATTAACAAAGGAGATACTACGGCTAAGCTTACTTAATAGTTAAAGTATATCTAGAACAGGTATAAGAAGCAACCTACCCTATAGTTCTCTAATAGAGGAGGGGAGTTCTAGAATAAAGCCCTCTAGGAATAGGCAGTATAAGAGGGTATAAGATAGTATTTCTCTACCCTAGGGACTGCTAAGTAGAATAGAACTACTAAAGCAGCTAATAAGGTTATTTTCTCTAAAGCAAGGGCTATTATTATTGCTTTAGGAATTCCTATTAAGCTATAGTACTTTATAATTAGGCTAAGCAGCTAGATTACTAATAGGTTAGTTAACCTTACTATTAGGGAGATCCCTCTCTAAGTTTTCTATAGGGACCTAGACCTTAGTAACCTATTAATTGACTTAACTAAGATTAGGAAGTTTGGATATAAGGCCTATAAGTATAATAACAAACTCCTATCTAGCTAGAAATTTGCCCTAAGGGCTCAAATTTACTAGTATATTAGGTTCTAGGAGGACTTATCTACTAACTACCTTCTCTAGAGAGGTTACTTTAACAAGATAGGTTAAAGGTAGATCTATAAAGTTAAGTTCTCTCCTTATATCTAGTTTAATAAGTATACAACTTTTGGTTCTATACTTTTATTACTATCTATTAAGATTCCTTTAGTTTAGGAGGAGCTCTTATAATAGGAGAACTTTTAGGAATATATAACTAATACTAGTATTTAGTCTAGAATCCCTACCCTATTTCCCTATTCCTCTTAGGAGCCTAGAACTAGTACCCTATTGCCCTACTCTTATTAGGAAACCTAAAGGGAGAATTATCCCTATTCCTCTTAGAAGCCTAGAACTGGATTTACCCTATTGCCCTACTCTTACTAGGAACCTAACTATCAACCTTAAGGGGAGAATTATCTATCCTAAGGGGAGCTTTATCAACTATAACCAAAACCTTAGAAAATAATAGTAGTTATAAAAGTCTAATATTAAACCCTAAACTAGGATAGTAGCAGACTTGCCTAATTACTCTAAAACTCCTAAGAACTATAACTATAGATACAAAACCTAATATTACCCCCTATCTACTAAGAGCTAGATCTAAACAGCTCTAAGGAGGAGAGGAGATTTAGGTTTAATAAGGAAGATTAGGTCAATTAGGCCTCGTCATGGGTTGGGTTGGGTATGGGTTGGGTACAACCCAACTTAAATACCCAACCCTACAAATAAGCTGGGTACCCAGCTTATAAGCGGGGTACAACCCAACGGTAAAAACCCAGTGGGTATACCCAATAGGTATTGCAATAGGTATTACATAATACGAGTTGAATACCTACAAAATAGTAGAAAGAAATATTAATAAGGGATATATACCTACTACCTGATTCCTAGAGCGTAGAATTTGATAGGAATATATTCTATGTTTATTGCAGCTGCCGACCATATATGCCGACCATATATACCAATCAAAAAGGGATTACCAGAATAATGAGGGAAGCTCTAACCAATTGATTATAGTTATGAGCTACTATATACTAAGGATAGAAACTACCTTAGTTCTTAGTAAGTAGCTGAGCATCTAGAGCAGCTTGCTCCTTTGCTTGCTGCTTCAAGGCCTCTACCTCAGCGTCTTGTATCTTTTGATAAGCGCAAAGTTGATCCTCGAAATTCAGCCGCTGCCAACGATGAAACTGACGCGCAATTTTCTTTGCGTCTCCCTCGA